ACCGTTCCCAACCTGGGGAAACTTTATGCCCCAAAAGCAAACGGATTCAGGCATTCTAAGAGGGCTTTAAGCCCACTGATTGCAAGACACGCTGCCTTTGATAAAATGCAGTGGACAGGGGAGCACGGTTTCAGTGGCAGAGATGAGTTGTCCCCCAATATTCATTGTCCCCTTCTTTCTCAACATAATGGAACCTCTGATTTATACTGGGGTTAGCATAGCCACCTAGAATAATGATTGCATTTCCCAGCATCCCTTGCAACTGGGTATGACAACGTAATTAACTTCTGCAAATGAGACTGAGTAGGAGGAATCCTGTCTCCTTCCATTTTACCCCGTCTGCTCCCACAGAGTGGGAGCTAGCTTACCCCATGAGCGAAGGCAACCCTCTGAGGAAGGTAGTTACACAGCAGAATGAGCTTGGACCCAGGCAACCTTACAAAACAGAGCCATCATCCCAACTCAGACTTTTACATGTGAAAGAAATCAACTATTGTCAGCCAGGCAAAGTGGCTTACACCTGTAATCCCAGCACTTTGAGAGGCCGAGGTGGGAGGACCACTTGAGCCTGGGAAGTCGAGGCTGCAGTGAGCTGTGATTGCTCCACTGCACTCCACCGTGGGTGTCAGAGGAAGACCTTGTCTCAAAAAAAGAAAAATCAGTCACCTGTGTCTCGGTGCATTTGGGCTGCTGCAACAGAATACCTTGGACCTGGTAATTTACAAACAATACAAATGTACTGTGCACAGTTCTGTAGGCTGGCAAGACCGAGATCAGGGCACCAGAAAGATTCAGTGTCAGGTGAGGGTCTGCTCTCTGCTTCACAGATGGTGCCTTCTTGCTGTGTCCTCACTCAGCCAAAGAAGCAAGGGGCTCCCTCAAGCCTCTTTGATGAGCCCATTAACCCCATTTTTTGGGCTCTGCCTTCATGACGTCATCACCTCCTAAAATTCCCACCACCTAATACTACTGCACTTGTGATTAGGGTTCAACATATAATTTTTTTGGGGGGATACATACATTCAAACCATAGCAATTATCTGATTTGGGATTTGGGGCCCAGTGGCCAGACCCACATAGTCACTGATACACATCCCAAAGGGAAAGTCACAAAGCTAGAGCAGCAGTTACCAGTTTGTCACTGAGCTGATTCTCCCACACGAAACTTTGAGTCACTTTTCTAAATTGCTTTAGTGTTCTGTGTGTGTGAGAGAGAGAGAGAGTCTTGCTCTGTCGCCCAGGCTGGAGTGCAGTGGTGCGATCTTGGCTCATTGCAACCTCCATGGTTCAAGCGATTCTCCTGCCTCAGCTTCCTGAGTAGCTGGGACTGCCAGCGCCACCACGTCCAGCTTTTTTTTTTTTTTTTTGAGACGGAGTTTCGCTCTTATTTCCCAGGCTGGAGTGCAATGGTGCGATCTCGGCTCACTGTAACCTCCGCCTCCTGGGTTCAGGCAATTCTCCTGCCTCAGCCTCCCGAGTAGCTGGGATTACAGGCATGCGCCACCGTGCCCAGCTAATTTTTTGTATTTTTAGTAGAGACGGGGCTTCACCTTGTTGACCAGGATGGTCTCAATCTCTTGACCTCGTGATCCACCCGCCTCGGCCTCCCAAAGTGCTGGGATTACAGGCGTGAGCCCCCGCGCCCGGCCTGGGCTTTTTTTGTCTGTTTGTAATTTAGTAGAGACGGGTTTCCCTAAATTAGTCAGGCTGGACTCGAACTCCTGACCTCAGGTGCTCCACCGTCCTCGGCCTCCGGAAGTGCTGGGGTTACAGGCGCCTGGCTGCTTTTGCATTTCTCTTTTTTTTTTTTTTTTTTTTTTTTAAGGAAGATGGCAGTTTTATTTAAACACAAAACGTGCACATAAGCTGTCTATTCATTTTCTTCACTGCGCAGCCTGGCATTGGGGTTGGTGACTCTGATGGCCAGCTGGGCAGCTCTTTCCACGATGGCTTTGCGGTTCTTGGAGGAAACATTGTGAGCGATCTCAGCACAGTAAGATTTGTTGCACATCAGCAGCACTTCCAGCTCCTTGACGTTGTGGACCAGGAACTTCCGGAAGCCACTGGGCAGCATGTGCTTTGTCTTCTTATTGCTCCCATAACCAATGTTAGGCATTAAGATCTGGCCCTTGAACCTTCTACGAACCCTGTTGTCAATACCTCTGGGTTTCCGCCAGTTACGCTTAATTTTGACATATTGGTCTGACTGGTGCCGGATGAACTTCTTGGTTCTCTTTTTGACGATCTTGGGTTTCACAAGGGGTCTAAGGGCGGCCATGATGCCAACCAAGAGACGGCTCTGCTTTTGCATTTCCTAACTTAGATATACTTTACGTGCCACAAGATGTACCATCTAAAGTACAATCCGGAGCTTTTCAGCACATTCACAGGTTGTGCAACTGTCACCACTGATTCCAGAACATTCTCGTCATCAAAAAACAAACAGCATTCTCTTTAGCCATCATCTCTACCCCACCCTTCCCCCGGCCCCCCAAAAACACGAACCTCCTTCCTGCTTCTATCGATTTTCCTGTTCTAGAAAACTCATGTAAATGGAGTCATATAATATGTGACCTTTTCTATCTGGTTCCTTTGGCTCAGTATGTTTTCAAGGTTCAGGTATGTCACAGCACACGTCAGTGTGTCATTCCTTTCCGTGGCTGAACAGCATTCCGCCGTATGGATGACCAACATATGTTTATCCATTCATCAGTTAATGAACATTTGAGTTGCTTCTGCCTATGGCTATTATGAAAAATGCTGCGGGCCAGGTGTGGTGGCTCACACCCGTAATCCCAGCACTTTTCAAGGCTGAGGCAGGCCGATCACCTGAGGTCAGGAATTTCAGACCAGCCTGGCCAACATGGTGAAACCCCATCTCTACTGAAACTACAAAAATTAGTCAGGCATGGTGGTGTGCGCTCATAATCCCAGCTACTTGGGAGGCCGAGGCAGGAGAATCGCTTGAACCCAGGGGTGGAGGTTGCAGTGAGCCAAGATCACACCTCTGAGCTCCAGCCTTGGTGACAGAGCAAGACTGTCTCAAAAAAAAGCTGGGTGCAGTGGCTTAAGCCTGTAATCCCAGCACTTGGGGAGGCTGAAGTGGGCAGATCACCTGAGGTCAGGAGTTCGAGACCACCCTGACCAATGTGGGGAAACCCCACGTCTGCTAAAAATACAAAGATTAATGGGGCATGGTGGCAGGTGCCTGTAGTCCCAGCTACTCAAGGGGCTGATGCAAAACAATCTTTTGAACTCGGGAAGCAGAGGTTGCAGTAAACCGAGGTCACGCCACTGTACTCCAGCCTCAGCAGCAGAGCAACACTCTGTCTCAAAAAAAAAAAAAAAGACCGGTTGAAGCATGTCATGCCTATAATCCCAGCACTTTGGGAGGCCAAGGCAGGCAGATCACGAGGTCAGGAGTTTGAGACCATCCTGGCCAACACAACACAGTGAAACCCTGTCTCTACTAAAAATACAAAATTAGGCCCGGCGTGGTGGCTCAGGCCTGTAATCCCAGCACTTTGGGAGGCCGAGGTGGGTGGATCACGAGGTCAAGAGATCGAGACCATCCTGGTCAACATGGTGAAACCCCATCTCTACTAAAAATACAAAAATTATCTGGGCACAGTGGTGCATGCCTGTAGTCCCAGCTACTCAGGAGGCTGAGGCAGGAGAATTGCTTGAACCCAGGAGGCGGAGGTTGCAGTGAGCCGAGATCGTGCCATTGCACTCCAGCCTGGGTAACAAGAGTGAAATTCCGTCTCACACACACAAAAAAAACAAAATTAGCCAGGCATGGTTGCAGATGTCTGTAATCTCAGCTACTCAGGAAACTGAGGCAGGAGAACTGCTTGGACCCAGGAGGCAGAGGCTGCCATGAGCCGAGATCATGTTACTGCACTCCAGCCTGGGCAACAAGAGCAAGACAATTTTTAAAAATGCTGCAGCTGGATGCAGTGGTTCAGGCCTACAATCCCAACGCTTCCCAAGGCTGATGCGGGAGGATCACTGGAGCCCAGGAGGCCAAGGCTGCAGTGAGCCATGATCACACCACTGCACTCCAGCCTGGGTGACAGAGCGAGACCCTGTCTCTAACATGAAAACATGGAAATGCTACTATGCACACTGATGCACAAGCTTTTGTGCGGACACACGTTCCTGGTTTTCTTGGGCATGTATGTAGGAAGGGAACTGCTGGCTTCTGTAGTGACTGTCTCACTTGCTGAGGAGCACCAGGCTGCTTGCAGAGCTGCGGCATGTTCATTCCCACCAGTAGCGTGTGAAGGTTCAGTCTGACATCTTTGATGATTACTGGTGACATTCTTTTTTTTTTGAGACGGAGTTTCGCTCTTGTTACCCAGGCTGGAGTGCAACGGCACGATCTCGGCTCACCGCAACCTCCGCCTCCTGGGTTCAGGCAATTCTCCTGCCTCAGCCTCCTGAGTAGCTGGGATTACAGGCATGTGCCACCGTGCCCAGCTAATTTTTTGTATTTTTAGTAGAGACGGGGTTTCACCATGTTGACCAGGATGGTCTCTATCTCTTGACCTCGTGATCCACCCACCTCGGCCTCCCAAAGTGCTGGGATTACAGGTGTGAGCCACCGCACCCGGCCTCTTTTTTTTTCTTTTTTGAGATGGAGTCTCACTCTGTCGCCCAGGCTGGAGTGCAATGGTGCGATCTCAGCTTACCACAAGCAATTCTCCTGCCTCAGCTTACCAAGTAGCTCAGACTATAGGCGCACGCCACCAGACTCGGCTAATTTTGTATTTTTAGTAGAGATGGGGTTTCTCCATGTTGGTCAGGCTGGTCTTAAACTCCCAACCTCAGGTGATCTGCCCACCTCGGGCTCCCAAAGTGCTGGGATTACAGGCGTGAGCCCCCATGCCCGGCCTGGTGACCCTCTTTCAAGCAATGGCCTGTTGGTAGTAACAAGTCAATTAACCACGAGAGACTGACTGCATGTCAAAAATAATGACACCAGAGAACCCAGCAGGTGTCTGAGGAGAGCGTTTATTTCAAGCTACCCATGGGACAAAGACTCCCAGGCTTCCCGGGTGCCTCAGGGCGGGCCACTGTCCCGGTGGCATCCTCACTTCCAGCGGCCTCCAACGCGGCCCTTCCCTGCCCCCTTCCGGCTGTAGAAGAAGAAGGTGCTATCAGGAAGGAGGGGCCGCCCCAGTCTCTGAGATGCACCCCAGGCCCTCAATTCAAGAAGCCCGTCCCCCAAAATATTGGCCCCCACCCACACAGAGGAAGCAGTGAGTGAAACAACTGTCGTCTCTTTCGGATTCTGTGACTGGGGGGCAGTGTCAGGAGGCCAAAGGCCTCACTGACATGTGAGAGCTGGTAGTTGGGGGTGAGCGCGGGATGTTGAGAGGGGAGCTGATGCATGTATGAGTCGGGAGCCAGGGTCCCGGGAGGAAGGGTGGGGCAATCAGGGCAGCAAGGGCCGGAGTGAAAGAGACAGGACACCGGACAGGAGGAGAAGGCAGGGGAAGAGGAGGAAGGAAGGAAGAGACCACTGGAGAAACAGAGATTCAGAGAAGACTCCCTTGAGCTCAGCACTGCGGACATCTGGGCCGGGTCGTTCTCTGCTGTGTGGGGCCCTGTGTCGGGCATTGTAGGATGCCCAGCAGCACCCTGAGCAGAATCCCCTGCATTCCAGATGCCTATGGCCCCTCTCCTGCTGCAGAACTAAATGTCTCCCGATGCTGCCCAGTGTCCTCCAGGAACGAGACTGCCCCTCCCCTCCCCTCCCCTGCCACAGATTTAGAGGAACATAGAAAAAGGGGCTGGGCGCGCTGGCTCAGGATTACACCTGAAATCCCAGCACTCTGCGAGGCCAAGGAGGGCAGATCACCTGTGGTGAGGAGTTCGAGACCAGTTTGACCAACACAGGAAACCCCGTCTCTACTAAACAAACACAAAACTTAGCTGGGTGTGGTGGCACATGCCTGTAACCCCAGCTACTCAGAAGGCTGAGGCAGGAGAATCGCTTGGACCCAGGAAGCGGAGGTTGCAGTGAGCTGAGATGGCGCCACTGCACTCCAGCCTGGGTGACAGAGCGAGACTCCGTCACAAAAAAAAAGATAAAGGGACTGAGACCTGGGATTCCGAGAGCAGGGAGAGGAGGACGAAGAGAAAGGGGCAGAAACCCAGAGGAGTAGGAGATGGAGCCCACAGAAGGAGAGAAAGAGTGGCCTGAGAGTCAGTGGGAGGGTAGGGTGTGGGGAGGGGGTGGGACAAGAGCAAGGGCCTCAGACAGGGTCACACTCACAACTTCTGGGCGTGGCTGATGCGGTTGTACAGCACGTTGATCTGCGGAGGCAGAAGGCAGATGCTGGGACGGCCATTGGGGACGTGGGAACGGGCCACCCACCCCACCTGGAACATGCTGGTCCCTCCCAGCCCAGCCCTGCCCTCCCTCCCTGCAGAGCTGGGTCCCACCTCATATTTCTGCTGCTTCAGCTTCGCCATCAGGTCGAACTTCTCAGACTCCAGCTGGTGGATCCAGTTCGACAGCTCCTGGGCTTTCTCCCTGGCAGGACAAGAGCCCTGTGATTCAGGGAGCCAGGCAGGCCAGGCCCGAGGCCCAGGGACAGAGGGGAACTTGGGCCCAGAGAGGTTGTGGGAACCACACAAAGCCACACAGCAAGTCTGTGAGTTCAGCGTTGCTGGCACCATTTTGTTAATATTTGAAGCCAAGAGTTTTAAAATCTACTTTTTCCATATCTGAGCTAGAGCTCTCACCTTTCCCAAGGGGAGAGAAGGGCTCTCAGAAGTCTGAGCCCAGGCTCGGCGGCTCACGCCTGTGACCCCAGCACTTTGAGAGGCAGAGGCAAGCAGACTGCTTGAGCCCAGGAGTTCAAGACCAGCCTGGGCAACATAGAGACACACCATCTCTTCTAAAAATGAAAAAGCATTAGCCAGGCATGGTGGCATTTGCCTGTGGTCCCGGCTACTTGGGAGGCTGCGGCAGAAGGAACCTGGGAGGTCAAAGCTTCAGTGAGCTGTGATTGTACAACTGCATTTCTGCCTGGGCTTCAGCTCAAGATGAAAGACAGGACAGGAAAGGAGAAAGGGGAGGGATGGGAGGGGAGAGGGGAGGGGAAAGGAAGAGGAGAGCCAGCCCAGGCTGTGCAGTTAGAAAGCCCTGGTTCAAATCCCAGTGGTGCCATTCTCTGGTTTATGAATATGTCAAGTGACTTGACTTTGGAATCCTACTTCATTCTCTAGAAAATACAGAAACAAAACTGTGGGAGAGGTAGCCGGTTGCCTACCTGCTATCCCTTCTCCCTTTCTTCTAGAAATAGAGTCTCGTGCAGTAGGCTGAGTTGAAAAACTACTTTTCCCAATCTGCCTTGCAGGTAGGGTGGCTGGTGGGACGAAAGTAGGTCACTGGGTGGGGCTTCCAAAAAAGACTGTGGCTCTTCTCTTGCATCTTATTTCTGCTGCCTGGATCATAAATGTGATGGCTAGAGCTCTGGCAACTATGCTGGACTGTAAGTGATTTTGAGGGTGGAAAGATTGGGCTAAAAGAAATGGAGCAGCCCGGGCGCGGTGGCTCACGCCTATAGTCCCAGCACTTGGGAGGCCGAGGCGGGTGGATCACAAGGTCAAGAGATTGAGACCATCCTGGTCAACAAGGTGAAACCCCGTCTCTACTAAAAATACAAAAATTAGCTGGGCATGGCGGTGCGTGCCTGTAATCCCAGCTACTCAGGAGGCTGAGGCAGGAGAATTGCTTGAACCCAGGAGGCAGAGGTTGCGGTGAGCCGAGATCGCGCCATTGCACTCCAGTCTGGGCAACAAGTGTGAGACTCCATCTCAAAAAAAAAAAAAATGGAGCAGAAAAACACGAGTCTGGGTCTCTGATTCTGCAGAACTGCCACATCACCCCAGACTAAAACCCACCTTCAGAGTTCCTTCTTTTCTTTTTTTTTTTGTTTGTTTCTTTCTTTTGTTTTAGATAGGGTCTCGATTTGTCACCAGGCTGGAATGCAGTGACACAGTCTCAGCTCATTGCAGCTTCAACCTCTCAGGCTCTAGTGGTTAGTGATCCTCCCACCTCAGCCTTCTTTTTTTTTTTTTTTTTTTGAGATGGAGTTTCACTCTTGTTGCCCAGGCTGGAGTGCAATGGCGCAATCTTGGCTCACTGCAGTTTCACTCTTGTTGCCCAGGCTGGAGTGCAATGGCGCAATCTTGGCTCACTGCAATCTCAAGCTCCCGGGTTCAGGCGATTCTCCTGTCTCAGCCTCCAAGTAGCTGGGATTACAAGCGCATGCCACCACGCCCGGCTAATTTTTGTATTCTTAGTAGAGACGGGGTTTCATCTTATTGGTCAGGAACTCCTGACCTCAGGTGATCCACCTGCCTCAGCCTTCCAAAGTGCTGGGACTGTAGGCGTGAGCCACCGCGCCCAGCCCTCGGTGTATTTTATTTAAAAATGTTTACAGCGCCTCATATACCTACCTCTAGTTTCTTTTATCTAATGAAGAAAACTTAGGTAACTTGAGATCCTCAAAAAGTATTATTGGACCCAAATTAGGAGTATGTGGCCACCTATGATCCCAGCACTTTGGGAGTCCACAGCAGGCGGATCACCTGAGGTCAGCAGTTCAAGACTAGCCTGGCCAACATGATAAAACCCCCATCTCTACTAAAAATACAAAAAGAAAATTAGGCAGGTTCGACTATTTAACCTCTCTGTGCCAGGTGTAATGCAGCTCTCTGCCTCAGCCTCCAAGTAGCTGGGACTACAAGCGCCTGCCACCAGGCCTGGCTAATTTTTTTTTTTTTTTTGAGACAGTCTTACTCTGTTGCCCGGGCTGGAGTGCAATGGTGTGATCTCAGCTCACTGCCACCTCTGCCTCCCAGGTTCTTGTGATTCTCCTGCCTCAGCCTCCCGAGTAGCTGGGATTACAAGCGCATGCCACCATGCCTATTTATTTATTTATTTATTTATTTATAGTAGAGATGGGGCTTCACCATGTTGGCCAGGCTGGTCTCAAACTCCTGATCTCAAGTGATCTGCCAGTCTCAGCCTCCCAAAGTGCTGGGATTACAGGCGTGAGCCACCACGCCAGGCAGTCAACATTTTACATGCATCATGTGCACAGAAAGGAGGCCCCACAGCCCCTGCAAAGGGCTTCCAGGAGCCAGCTGTGCACACCTTTTCCCCCCTCCACACTCAGTATCCTCACATGGAGAGTTTGAAATGAGGAAGGTGGAAGTGTTTACACCATGGGAATGGGCAAGTGCTGCATCTAGACTCTTTGCCCTCTGGAGAGCAGCTGTTAAACATTTATCTTCAAGCCACTTTATAGCACAGTAGCAAAGAGTATGGGCTATTGCACCGGATTGCCTGGGTTCAAATCCCAGCTCTTCCACTTGCTAGCTGAGCAACCCTGGAAGAGTTACTTGACCCCTCTGTGCCTCGGGTTCCTCACGATTCACACAGGATAAGAATAGTATCTACATCCCAGAGCTGTAAACCTTCCGTAGGAAGCCGATGCTGTCATTATTATTTGTTTAAGGATGGGGTCTCACTATATTGCCCAGGCTGGTCTCCGACTCCTGGCCTCAACAGTCCTCCCATCTTAGCCTCCCAAAGTGATGGAATTACAGGCATGAGCCACCACGCCCAGCCTGTGCTTATTGTCACTGTCTCACTGCCTTTCACAGTTCTATGATTGTATCCACATTGTGCCAAGGAGGGACGGGAGGCCCAGAGAAGTCAGGTAGCGTGCCTAAGATCACAAAGTAGCTGGCAGAGCTGGCACTGAGTCCCGGGCTGGTGCTTTCAGGGCAAGCTGTCACTGTGCCACCCTGGGGGGGTTGAAGATCAGCCTGCCGTCCTGTGGCTTATCTCCAGAGGCAGGCTATCTTGGCAACAGATGCGAGGGACTAAGCTGGAGAATTCTCACCCGCATTCCTGGCTTCAAAAGGCAGAGCCCATCCTGAGCTCCCAGACACGTCACAAAGTTAATAAAATCTCCTGAATTGTAAGGAGGGGAGTCAACTTGCTTGACTTCTCCGGTAACACCTGCCAGATGCCACAGGTCACAGCAGCCACAAAAAGTAGGTTCTCCAACAGTGACATGTTTCGCAGAGAAGGTAGAAGAGGCCCAGAGAGGGGAAGCCACTTGCCCAAAGTCACACAGCATTGGAGCTCAGACCCGGATCATCTGCCCACCCAGATCTGGGTTTGAACTCCTTTATCCCCGCATCTCATACCCAGGCCCCTGCCGCCCTCAGCCCCACCCAGCACCTACCGGAGCTGCTCCTCCCCCATGTAGTCGATGTCCAGAGGCTTCTTACGCTCAGAGAGAATCCTGAGCTTCATCTCCCGCCCCGTCTGCCGCTTACCACGCTTCTGTTCTGCCTGAGGGTTGGGGAGAGGGCACAATAAACTGGGGGTCACATCCCACAGACCACCCCCATGTCACGACCCACAGGTCTGCACCCCAGACCCTCCTCCCTTGGACCCAGGAGTCCAGACCCCCAGCCTTTTCTCCCTTAGACCCAGGAGTCCAGGCCACAGCCCCTCCTCCTTCAGACACAGGGGTCCAGGCCCCAGCCCCTCCTCCCTCAGACCCAGGAGTCCAGGACCCCAGCCCCTCCTCCCTCGGACCCAGGGGTCCAGGCCCCAGACCCTCCTCCCTCAGACTCAGGGGTCCAGGCCCAGTCCCTCCTCCCTCGGACCCAGGAGTCCAGGCCCCAGCCCCTCCTCCCTCGGACAAAGAAGACCAGACCTCAGCCCCTCCTCCCTCAGACCCAGAGTCCAGGCCCAGCCCCTCCTCCCTCAGACCCAGGGGTCCAGGCCCAGCCCTCCGCCCTCAGACCCAGAGTCCAGACCCAGCCCTCCGCCCTCAGAGCTTGGACTCAGGCTTCTGCGGCCGCGCTCACCTTGACCAGGTAGCCGCCGAAATGGGCCCCCATGTTGGACAGCACCTTCTTTTTCTTGGCGTCATCCTCTGCCCGCTTCTTGGCCTCTTCCTCTTCCTTCCTCATCTTCTCCTCCTGTGAAAAGAAGGGGTTAACCTCATGGGCTCCCCTCTATGACTGAGAGAGGAGGTCCCTGGTCTGGGAAGGAGGGGGGCTCAGTTCTGTGCTGAGTGGAGCTGGGGTACAGATCAGCAAGTCCAGTTCCTCAGAGGCCAGGGGAACCTCAGAACCAGCAGAAATGCAGGTTTCCCGTCCTGGCCCTGCCAGTCTCCCTGTGTGACACCTGCAAGTCCCTTCCCCTCTCTGCATCTCTTTTTTTCTTTTTTGAGATGGACTCTCGCTCTGTCACCCAGGCTGGAGTGCAGTGGTGCGATCTCAGCTCATTGTAAACTCGACCTCCCGGGTTCAAGCCATGCTCCCGCCTCAGCCTCCTGAGTAACTGGGATTACAGGCACCCGCCACCACGTCCAGCTAATTTTTGTATTTTTAGTAGAGGCAATATTTCATCATGTTGGTGAGGCTGGTCTCCAACTCCTGACCTTAAGTGATCTGTCCACCTCAGCCCCCCAAAGTGCTGGGATTGCAGGCATGAGACACTGTGCCCAGCCCCTCTCTGGGTCTTAATATCCTCCCGGAAAAAATGTAAATGAAGGAGGAGAAATGCCTGCTTTTTCTGCCTGCCTCCAGCCTGAAATAGCCAATAGTGAACTCTGCTGTGTGACCTCAGTGCAGACGCTCCACCTGTCTGGGCTGCGGTCCCCCTTAGTCTCAGGAGAGGAGAGTGTCTTTTTTCAGAGGGTCCAGGAAGGGAACTGGCGATGAGGCCAGGGACTGGGGAGATTAAAGAGGCTGCAGGCCTTGAGCCCGAGGAAGGGGTTTTAGAATACCCCAAGGCCTTACAACATTCGAGAAATTCTTCATTTGCATGCCCCGGAAACAGTGGCTTGTCCAGGCTGACCCCATCTCCTTGTGGCAAGGTGGACATGATGGGTTTTTTTCTTTTTTTTTTTGAGATGGAGTTTTGTAGGGGGCAAATCCCATAAGTGCCATGGCGAGGGTCTGAAGCCTCAGCCTGTTCTCATATAAATACCGATTAAGAATTAGAAATGTAGGCTCATAGTTATTCCTCTGTAATCACAGGTAATCTTATAGTTACTTATAATCACAAAGATATATACTTAACATAACCTTTAATTGTACTAATGACTATCGGGTTATGAAGCATGGAACTGTAGTGACATTGTGAACAAGGTGACCCTAAGGCTAGATGCCCTAAGCCTCTGTCACACCCGCATAAGGGCTGCTGGAGGGCGCCTCGGCTGTGCGGCGGCGCCCGTGCTGGGAAAGGCCGCTGTTCAGCCAGCTAGGGAAGGAGACGTCCAAAATGGCTGAGACGTCTCCTTCCTGGGGAAGTCAGGAGAAAACCCGGTTCTCCAAGCTCTGGCGATGGGCCCGATGGTGTCAGGGAGGCCCGCAGACATCTGGGGGCTTAACAATCTCTGCGATTCTGTGCTTCAGCGGTCACGTTCCATGTCCGCTCTCACGCTCTGCTTCTGCACCTGGTTTCTCTTTTTCTCAGAAGATAAGAATAATAGTAGCATAATCTTGGTGTCCTTGATATTTCTAACAAATATGTGAAGAGCGCTCACGCGTCAGGGTTTCTACTCGCCTGGCCTACTTGAAAGTCCTGGGCCCCCTGTCTTCAAGACCCGTGATTTACCTGACCCTATCACCGACCACCAGTACCTCACCGACCTTCCCTGCCCACTGCTTTGTACTCAGTAAAAGTCAGAGTGTCCAGGCGCTCAGTGCCACTGCAGGTCTCCACGCTTCAGTTGGCAGCGGACCCCGAGCCCACACTCTCTTTATCTCCGTGTCGGTGTCTTTTACTTCTAGTTTCTCATCTCCGCACCAGCAGGGAGGGGCTCAGAACCCTCCAGGGCTGGACCCTATAGAGTTTCACTCTTGTTGCCCAGGCAAAGTGCAATGGTAGATCTCAGCTCACTGCAGCCTCCACCTCCAGGATCAAACACTTCTCCTGCCTCTACCACCTGAGTAGCTGGGATTACAGGCATGTGCCATCACGCCCACCTAATTTTGTGTTTTTTTTTTTTCCTTTGAGGAGTCTTGCTCTATTGCCCAGCCTCGAGTGCAATGGCACTATCTCAGTTCACTGCAACCTCCACCTCCTGGGTTCAAGCAATTCTCCTGCCTCAGCCTCCCAAGTAGCTGGGACTACAGGTGCACATCACCATGCTTGGCTAATATTTTGTATTTTTAGTAGAGACGGAGTTTCACCATGTTGGCCAGGCTGGTCTCGAACTCCTGACCTGGTGTGATCCACCCGCCTCGGCCTCCCAAAGTGCTGGGATTACAGGTGTGAGCCACCGCGCCCGGCCAACACAATGGCTTTTTGCACACTCAGCACTCCATACCTGAATTCCTTCCTAGAGTCTCCGCCTGTCGCTCAGGCTGCAGTGCAGCAGGCATGAGCCACTTTGCCCAACCTGTTTCCTCTCACTGCTATAATTTGCAAACTTAGTGGCATAAAACAATGCAAGTTTGTTACCTTACAGTCCTACAGATCAGAAGTCTGAAATTGGTCCCAATGGGCTGAAATCAAGTTGTGAACAGAACCAATGTCCTCTGGAGGTTCTAGGGGAGAATTCCTTCCCTTCCCTTTTCCAGCTCCTATAGGCTGCTGCCTGGATGTCTTGGCTTATGGACCTTCCTCGATCCTCAGGGGTAGCCTCACAGCATCTTCAACTCTCTCACTCTGACTCTCTGGCCTTCCCCTTATAAGGACTGTTGTGATGATACTGCCACTCCCCACAGACAATCCAGGACAATCTTCCCATCTCAAGATCCTTAACCACATCTGCACAATCTCCTTCACAGCTGGGTGTCAGGCAGGCAGCATATGCCTGTAATCCCAGCACTTTGGGAGGCCAAGGGGGTAAATCACCTGAGGTCAGGAGTTCGAGACCAGCCTGGCCAACATGGTGAAACCCCGTCTCTTCTAAAAATACAAAAATTAGCCACACATGGTGGCGGTGCCTGTAGTACTAGCTACTCAGGAGGCTGAGGCAGGGGAATCACTTGAACCAGGAGATGGAGGTTGCAGGGAGCCAAGATCACACCATTGCACTCCAGTCTTGGTGACAGAGCGATACTATCTGAAAAAAAAAAAAAAGGGAAGAAAAAGAAAATCCAGGAGAATCCAGGCCAGGTGCGGTGGCTCATGCCTGTAATCCCAGCACTTTGGGAGGCCAAGGCAGGTGGACTCCTTGAGTTTAAGAGCTGAAGACCCACCTGGACAACATGGTGAAATGCTGTCTCTACAAAAAAAAGTAAAAAAAAAAAAAAAAAAAAACTAGACAGGCAAAGTGGCGCGTGCCTGCGGTCCTAGCGACTCTGGAGGCTGAGGTGGGAGGATTGTTTGAGCCGGGGAGGTCCCAGTTGTAGTGAGCTAGGACCATGGCACTGCACTTCAGCCTGGGTGACAGAACGAGACCCTGTCTCCAAATAAATAAATAATATAAATAAATGATCATAATAATACAATGGGGCATCCAGCTGAAGAAGTAACATTTGGGCTCCCAGGCCCGGGGAGGCCAGCTTAGCCTGAGGCCAGGGGAGGCACCTACCGCCAGCTTAGCCTGACGTTCGCGTTCCTTCTCAGTTCTGAAGCGCTGTTGCTCCGCCCTCTCCGACCGGCGCCGCTCCTGGGAAATGGAGAAGAGTAAGGGGGTGCAGGCACGTCTCCCCAAGTCATCCCTCCCCAGAGTAGGCTAAGAGTGGAGATAAACAGGTTGGAGTGTGGCCACCGGCTTGGGTAAATTCCCAAAAGCCTCAGGCTCAGTTCTGTACTAGAAGGAAAATGATTCTCTGCCTCTCCCAAGATTCGAGGGATCCCCAGGGAGTGAGGAAGGGTGGCGGGAACCCGGACGCTCCACTCACAATGCGCTCTTTCAAGGCGATCAGCTCCTCTTCCTCCTTCTTCCGCTGCTCGAAATGCACGTCGATGAGCGTCTGCAGCTCCAGCAGGTCTTTCTCCATGCGCTTGCGGTGGATGTCCTGCAGGACGCACAGGGAGCCGGTCCTGGGAGACCTGGAGAGAGCAGCAGCCTCCCAGCGCCTCCCCGACGCTGGATGAACTGGACCGTTTCCCAGGACAGTGTCCAGCAGGTGGCAGCAACGCCACGTGTTTTGACACTAGTCAGCTCTTCCAAGGACAGGACAGGCTTCCAAAAGAAGGGAGTGGGTACCAATGCCTTTTTTTTTTTTTTCAGATGGAGTTTTGCTCCCGTCACCCAGGCTGGAGTGCAGTGGCACAATCTGGGGTCGCTGCAACCTCCACCTCCCAAGTTCAAGTGATTCTCCTGCCTCAGCCTCTCGAGTAGTTGGGATTACAGGTATGGACCACCACACCCGGCTAATTTTTGTATTTTTAGTAGAGATGGGATCTCACCACATGGACCAGGCTGGTCTCGAACTCCTGACCTCAAGTGATCCACCCACCTCTGCCTACCAACGTGCTGGGATCACAGGCGTGAGGCACCGCACCCACACGGCACCTTTTCATGATTGGCACAAAGGCCCCTGAAGGACTAGCAACTGCACCTGGGAGGGGTCTCTGTCACTTACATCAAAGTCCACGCGCTCCCCTTCTGGGATCTTTGGTGGGATCAAAGGAGGCACCACGGGGCGGCTGAGTGGACAGAAACAGAGAGACCATGAGTAGCCCAACCTCCGCAAGCCACCTCCCACCTCCAGGATGCGACGTCCAGTGAGGCAGCCGCCAGCCCCTCGACGCTCCTGAATGTGGCGGGTGCCAGCCGAGACGGGCTGTCAGTGAAACACAAAAGAAGGCAAAATTTCTCACCAATCACGTTTTATATTGATTATATGTTCAAACGATAAAAATGTATATAACAGGTTGAAAAAAATGTGCTATGAAAGTTATTTTTTTCTGTTTTACACTTTTAAAAAGGTGGCTAGAATTTTTTATTATTTTTTTTGAGACGGAGTTTCACTTTTGTTACCCAGACTGGAGTGCAATGGCACGATCTCGGCTCACCGCAACCTCTGCCTCCCGGCTTCAAGCAATTCTCCTGCCTCAGCCTCCCAAGTAGCTGGGACTACAGGTGTCCACCACCATGCCCAGCTAATTTTTGTATTTTCAGTAGACAGGGTTTTACCACGTTGCCTAGGCTGGCCTCAATTCCTGGGCTCAAGTGATCTGTCTGACTCAGCCTCCCAAATTGCTGGGATTACAGGTATGAGCCATCACGCCAGGATGCCAGGCCCCCCACCCCACCTTTTGTTTTTAAGATCTCATTGTCACCCAGGCACAATCACAGCTCACTGCAACCTCTGCCTCCTGGGCTCAAGTAATCTTCCCATCTCAGCCTCCCAAGTCATTAGGACTACAGGTGCATGCCACCATAGCAGGCTAATTTTTAATTTTTTTTTGTAGAGATAGTGTTTCACTGTTGTCCAGGCTGGGCTTGAACTCCTGAGCTCAAGTGATCCTCCTGCCTTAGCCTCCCAGAGTGCTGGGACTACAGGTGTGGGCCACCACACCCTGCCTTTAGTAAGCCATTTTAGGTGACATATATGGCTTGCCATCCATTTGTATTAGGTGGTGCTGCTCTGAAGCTCAGCTCTGATTTCCTGCCATTCCCTTGGAATTCTCTTTTCTGGGTTTCTGAGACAGCAAAGAGCAATTCCAAGATGAAGAGGACAGGACAAGGGGAGGGAGGAGGTGAGGACAATCCCCAAGGGTCTCTGGGCTGTGGAGTCAATGCACAGTGGGGCTGCCACCACCAGCTTGGAGAGGTTGATGTGCTCCTTTGGTGCATTATGTGTGGGAATAAAATACCCAGTACTATACTTCACAGGAACAAATACAGGCTCGCCTCCCACCCCTCCGGCTGGTCCATCCCTACCTCCTGGCCCCCACCCCCACCCCCATGAGCTGCCAATGAGCTTTCCTTTTCTCTCTCTCTCTCTCTTTTTTTTTTTTTTTTTTTTGACAGGGAGTTTCGCTCTTGTTGTCCAAGCTGGAGTGCAATGGCGCGATCTCAGCTCACGGCAACCTCCGCCTCCTGGGTTCAGGCAATTCTCCTGCCTCAGCCTCCTGAGTATCTGGGATTACAGGCACGTGCCAGCATGCCCAGCTAACTTTTTGTGTTTTCAGTAGAAACCAAGTTTCACCACATTAGCCAGGCTGGTCTCAAATTCCTGACCTCACGTGATCCACCTGCCGTGGCCTCCCAAAGAGCTGGGAATACAGGCGTGAGCACTGAGCCCGGCCCCATTCTCCTGTTTTCATTTATTTTTCAGAGACAGCGTCTTGCTCTGTTGCCCAGGGCTGGAGTACAGTGGTGTAATCATAGCTCACTGCAGTCTCCAAATCCTGGGCTCAAACAATCCTTCCTCAGCCTCCTGAGTAGCTGGAATCAAGTGTGTGCCACCGTGGCCGGCTAATTTTTAAAACTTTTTGTAGAGATGTTGGGGGGGGTTCTCATTTTGTTGTTTAGGCTCGTCTTGAACTCCTAGCCTCGAGCGATCCTCCCACCTGCCACTGCGCAGGCAGAGGGCACAGTGCAAAGGCTCGGGGGTATGAAAGCACAACACTGACATGCTGTCGTCTGTCAGTGGGGAAGGGAGAAGCTGGAGAGGTCTGCTGGGGCCAGATGGGGAAGGCTTTGAATGCCAGGCTGGTTGCCTTGACTTCATCTTAAGGGCAGTGGGGAGTTGAGGAAAGATGCTGAGCACAGAAGGGGCGGGGTTAGCTCTGGTGTTAGAAGGATCTCTCTGGAGTCATGGAGGACCAGCCACAAGCTGGAGGCAGGGAGGCCAGGGAGGAGACTGGGGTGGTGGTAGAGGCTCAAGGGGTAGAGGGACCACTGGGTGGAAAGGAGGAAAGAGACTGGCCGGGCATGGTGGCTTGTGCCTATAATCCCAGCACTCTGGGAGGCCGAGGTGGGAGGATCGCTTCAGGTTAGGAGTTCGAGACCAGCCTGGGCAACACAGCAAAATCTCATCTCTACAAAAAGAAAAATAAATAGGCAGGTGCGGTGGCACATGCCTGTGGTCCCAGCTACTTGGGAGGCTGAGATGCGAGGACTGCTTGAGCCCGAGACATCCAGCAGTGAGCCAGAGTTGGGTCACTGCACTCCAGCCTGGGTAACAGAGTGGAGACCCTGTCCCTAAAAAGAGAGGAAGAAGTAGTAGAGGAGTAAGAGGAGGAGGAGGAAAAGGAGGAGGAGGAAGAGGAGGAGGAGGAGGAGAAAGAGGAGGAGGAGGAGGAAGAGGAAGATGAGGAGGAGGAAGAGGAAGATGAGGAGGAGGAAGAGGAAGATGAGGAGGAGGAAGAGGAAGATGAGGAGGAGGAAGAGGAAGATGAGGAGGAGGAAGAGGAAGATGAGGAGGAGGAAGAGGAGGAGGAAGAAAAGGAGGAAGAGGAAGATGAGGAGGAGGAAGAGGAGGAGGAGGAGAAGGAGGAGGAGGAGGAAGAGGACAATGAGGAAGAGGAGGAGGAAGAAGAGGAGGAGAAAGAGGAGGAGGAGAAAGAGGGGAGGAGGAGGATGAGAAAGAGGAAGAGGAGGAGAAAGAGGAGGAGGAGAAAGGGGAGGAGGAAGAGGAGGATGAGGAAGAGGAGGAGGAAGAGGAGGAGAAAGAGAAAGAGGGGAGGAAGAGGAGGAGAAGGAGGAGGAAGAGGAGGAGGAGGAGAAAGAGGGGGAGGAGAAAGGGGAGGAGGATGAGGAAGAGGAGGAGGAGAAAGAGGAGGAGGAGGAGAAAGAGGAGAGGAGGAAGAGGAGGAGGAGTATGAGGAACAGGAGTATGAGGAACAGGAAGAGGATGAGGAACAGGAGGAGGAGGAGGAAGAGGAGGAGGAGGGGAAAGAGGAGGAGGAGAAAGAGGAGAAGGAGGAGGAAGAGGAGGAGAAGAGGAGGAGGAGGGGAAAGAGGAGGAGGAGAAAGAGGAGGAGGAGGAGGAAGAGGAGGAGAAGAGGAGGAGGAGGAAGAGGAGGAGGAGGAAGAGGAGGAGGAGGAAGAGGAGGAGGAGGAAGAGGAGGAGGAGGAAGAGGAGGAGGAGGAAGAGGAGGAGGAGGAGAAAGAGAAGGAGGAGGATGAGGGGAGGAGGAAAGGTCGGAACAAGACTAGGATGACAACGAGGAGGAGGAGAAAGAGGAGGAGGAGGAAGAGGAGGAGGGGAAAGAGGAGGAGGAGGAAGAGGAGGAGGAGGAGAAAGAGAAGGAGGAGAAAGAGGGGAGGAGGAACAGGAGGAAGAAGAGGAGGAGGAGAAAGAGGAGGAGGAGAAAGTGGAGGAGGAGGAAGAGAAGGAGGAGGAGGAAGAGGAGGAGGAGGAAGAAGAGGAGGAGGAAGAAGAGGAGGAGGAGAAAGATGAGGAGGAAGAGGAGGAGGAGGATGAGGAAATGAGGAGGAAGAGGAGGAGGAGGAAGAGGAGCAGGAGGAGAAAGAGGGGAGGAGGAAGAGGAGGAGGAGGAAGAGGAGGAGGAGGAGGAAGAGGAGGAGGGGAAAGAGGAAGAGGAGGAGGAGGAAGAGGAGGAGGAGAAAGAGGAGGAGGAGGAAGAGGAGGAGGGGAAAGAGGAGGAGGAGGAGGAGGAAGAGGAGGAGGAGAAAGAGAAGGAGGAGAAAGAGGGGAGGAGGAACAGGAGGAAGAAGAGGAGGAGGAGAAAGTGGAGGAGGAGGAAGAGAAGGAGGAGGAGGAAGAGGAGGAGGAGGAAGAGGAGGAGGAGGAAGAAGAGGAGGAGGAGAAAGATGAGGAGGAGGAGAAAGATGAGGAGGAGGAGGAAGAGGATGAGGAAATGAGGAGGAAGAGGAGGAGGAGGAAGAGGAGCAGGAGGAAGAGAAGCAGGAGGAGAAAGAGGGGAGGAGGAAGAGGAGGAGGAGGAAGAGGAAGAGGAGAAAGAGGAAGAGGTGGAAGAGGAAGAGGAGGAGGAAGAGGAGGAGGAGGAAGAGGAGGAGGAGGAAGAAGAGGAAGAGGAGAGAGACGAGGAGGAAGAGGAGGAGGAGGATGAGAAAGAGGAGGAGGAGGAAGAAGAGGAAGAGGAGAGAGACGAGGAGGAAGAGGAGGAGGAGGATGAGAAAGAGGAGGAGGATGAGGAAATGAGGAGGAAGAGGAGGAGGAGGAAGAGGAAGAGGAGAAAGAGGAAGAGGAGGAGGAGGAAGAGGAGGAGGAGGAAGAGGAGGAGGAAGAGGTGGAGGAGGAGGAAAAGGAGGAGGAGGAAGAGGAGGAGGAGGAGAAAGAGGAGGAGGAGGAAAAGGTGGAGGAGGAAGAGGAGGAGGAGGAAGAGGAAGAGGAGGAGGAAGAGGAAGAAGAGGAGGAAGAGGAGGAGGAGGAAGAAGAGGAGGAAGAGGAGAAAGGAGGAGGAAGAGGAAGAGGAGGAGAAAGAGTAGGAGGAGGATGAGGAAGAGGAAGAGGAGGAAGAGGGGGAAGGGGAAGAGAAAGGAGGAGGAGGGAGTAGCGGGGAGAGGGTAAGGGGGAGGAGAAATGTTGACTGCTGTCTCAATCTCCTCCCTCCATCTCTGCCTTTCTGGAACCCTATTCTGGGGGTAAAGGGAATATTTAGAAAGATGCATGATTGGAGACCCCCACCCTGTAGAATCTCACCTTGGTTTGGGGCGCTCCTCTTCTGTTGGTGGTGGAGGACACAAAGAGATAATTAGTGAGAGTTTAGAGGGAAGGGGCTAGGCCTGACACCCTGGGGAGGGACCCCAAGCCTCGGCCCCCAGGAGCCCAAGGCTCTGGAGTCCAGTTCTGGAGGAGGGGTATGGGGAGAAGAAAAGAGGGAAGGAAAGCCAGGGTGGCTGTGAAGGATGAAGAGGGTCACACGCATCAGATATACATTCAGAACTGGTGTGGGGTCTCCCCCACCCCTGCTGTCTGCACACCCAGGAGTGAAAACTCCCAGACCCTTCTCTACTTATATGGCCAGAGCTCCTGCCCTCCTCCATTGGGACCCAGTAGTGCGGCGGGGCCCAACCTCTCCTTTCATTCAGTGACCCCAGAGCTCTCTCCCCAGCTCGAGTCCCTCCCCCACGGCCCCCACCCCACCCTACATCTTGGGGACCCTGATTCCCAGCGCTAGCCTCCTCTGCGGTCCTAAATTCCAAGCCCCAACCTTTGAATGTATATGGGAGAGAAAATGACAGACAGGGTTGGAGGCGAAGATGAGGGGGGACGGGGTGGTGCCTCTCCGCAAACATCCAACCCTTCTATAAAGATTCACCCAGACTGGGGAAGAAGGCTTGGGTGTCGGTCCCTTTAAGAAGGAAGGGAAAGGGTTAAAGCCACTGCGGGGCCATTTCCCTTCCCGGCCCCGAGAGGGCGCAGAGGCTCTCAGGGGCTTAAAGGACCGGGCCTGGGGGCGGGCAGGGGGAGGGAAGGCAGTCGGGGGATTGGGGTCCGAGGATATCGGGGGTTCCCCCGGGCCCCCGACATCGGCCTCGGGAAGCGAAGCAGCCGCGGTTACCTGGCTCTGCCGCTGGCTCCGGCTCCTCCGGGGCTGGGGAGGGGCGGGAAGAGCAGCGAGGGTTTGGGGAGCGAGCGGGGAGCGGCCACGCCCGGGCGCGGGGGGGAGAGAGGGAGACACCGGAGAGGCGGTTAGAGGCCGGGGAGCCGAGGCCGTGGGGAGGAGGCCCGCCCCTCCCCGCCCCCCCGCCCCCCCGCGCCGCCCCGCCCCCTCCGCCGCGCCACGCCCCCTCCGCCCCTCCCCGCCCCCTCCGCCGCGCCACGCCCCCTCCGCAGCGCCACGCCCCCTCCGCCCCTCCCCGCCCCCTCCGCCGCGCCACGCCCCCTCCGCCCCTCCCCGCCCCTCCGCCGCGCCACGCCCCCTCCGCCCCTCCCCGCCCCCTCCGCCGCGCCACGCCCCCTCCGCCCCTCCCCGCCCCCTCCGCCGCGCCACGCCCCCTCCGCCGCGCCACGCCCCCTCCGCAGCGTCACGCCACGCCCCAGCTCCAGACCCGCGGGGTCCGGGACCTCACCTTCCTCCTCCTCCTCCGCAGCCTCCTCTGGAGATGGGGGCACAGAAGAGAAGGCGTTAGGAGCTCGGGAGGGACGCGGGGACTAGCCTGAGACCGCGGTTCCAGTCCCAGCAGGACCTGGGTCCCCCGGCCTCGGCCGCGAGGCGCACATTCCCCCTGGCGGTGCGGGGAGTGCCTGGGGGACGCTCCAGACCCGAGGGGCGGGTGGGCGGGCGGCCCGGAGCTCAGTCGCCCCCTTCCGGCCACGGCGCCGCAGCCATGCCTCCCGTCCCAGGAGCTCCTGTGGGGCTCTCCGTCCCAGGGGCCGGCCCGTCCCACTCACCTTCCGGCTGCTCCCTGCGGACGGGTGTGGGGAGAGGGGAGGGAGGGGAGAGTCAGACCCGGGCTGGGGGCGCCTCTCCAGCACTGCACGCCCCACCCGCGCCCAGCGCCGCACTCACTCCTCATATTCCTGCTCCTCGGTGTCCGACATCCTGCTGCCACCTAAGAGAGAAGAGCCTGGTGGGGTGGGAGCCCAAGGAGGGGGCGGCCTGGACTCCTGGGTCTGAGGGAGGAGGGGCTGCGGCCTGGACTCCTGGGTCTGAGGGAGGAGGCGCTGGGGGCCTGGACTCCTGGGTCTGAGGGAGGAGGGGCTGGGGTCTGGACACCTGGGTCCGAGGGAGGAGGGGCTGCGGCCTGGACTCCTGCGTCTGAGGGAGGAGGGGCTGGGGTCTGGACCCCTGGGTCCGAGGGAGGAGGGACTGGGGTCTGCACTCCTGGGTCCGAGGAGGGAGAGGCTGGAGTCTGCACTCCTGGGTCTGAGGGGGGAGAGGCTGGGGTCTGGACTCCTGGGTCCGAGGGAGGAGGCGCTGAGGGTCTGGACTCCTGGGTCTGAGGGAGGAGGGGCTGGGGTCTGGACTCCTGGGTCCGAGGGAGGAGGGGCTGGGGTCTGGATTCCTGGGTCCGAGGGAGGAGGGGCTGGGGTCTGGACCCCTGGGTCCCAGGGAGGAGGCGCTGAGGGTCTGGACTCCTGGGTCCGAGGGAGGAGGGACTGGGGTCTGGACTCCTGGGTCCGAGGGAGGAGGAGCTGGGCTCTGGATTCCTGGGTCCGAGGGAGGAGGGGCTGGGGTCTGCACTCCTGGGTCTGAGGGAGGAGGGGCTGCGGCCTGGACTCCTGGGTCCGAGGGAGGAGGGGCTGGGATCTGCACTCCTGGGTCCGAGGGGGGAGGGGCTGGGGTCTGCACTCCTGGCTCCGAGGCGGGAGAGGCTGGGGTCTGCACTCCTGGGTCCGAGGGGGAGAGGCTGGGGTCTGCACTCCTGGGTCCGAGGCGGGAGAGGCTGGGGTCTGCACTCCTGGGTCCGAGGCGGGAGAGGCTGGGGTCTGCACTCCTGGGTCCGAGGGGAGGGGCTGGGGTCTGCACTCCTGGGTCCGAGGGGGAGGGGCTGGGGTCTGCACTCCTGGGTCCGAGGCGGGAGAGGCTGGGGTCTGCACTCCTGGGTCCGAGGGGGGAGGGGGCTGGGTCTGCACTCCTGGGTCCGAGGGGGAGGGGCTGGGGTCTGGACTCCTGGGTCCGAGGCGGGAGGGGCTGGGGTCTGGACTCCTGGCTCCGAGGGGGGAGGGGCTGGGGTCTGCACTCCTGGGTCCGAGGCGGGAGAGGCTGGGGTCTGGACTCATGGGTCCGAGGGGGAGGGGCTGGGGTCTGCACTCCTGGGTCCGAAGGGGGGAGAGGCTGGGTCTGCACTCCTGGTGCCGAGGCGGGAAGAGGCTGGGGTCTGCCACTCCTGGGTCCGAGGGGGAGGGGCTGGGGTCTGCACTCCTGGCTCCGGGCGGGAGAGGCTGGGGTCTGCACTCCTGGCTCCGAGGCGGGAGAGGCTGGGGTCTGCACTCCTGGGTCCGAGGGGGAGGGGCTGGGGTCTGGACTCCTGGGTCCGAGGGGGGAGGGGCTGGGGTCTGCACTCCTGGGTCCGAAGGGGGAGAGGCTGGGGTCTGCACTCCTGGCTCCGAGGCGGGAGAGGCTGGGGTCTGCACTCCTGGGTCCGAGGCGGGAGAGGCTGGGGTCTGCACTCCTGGGTCCGAGGCGGGGAGAGGGCTGGGGTCTGCACTCCTGGGTCGGGGGGGGTGGGGCTGGGGTCTGCACTCCTGGGTCCGAGGGGGAGGGGCTGGGGTCTGCACTCCTGGGTCCGAGGCGGGAGAGGCTGGGGTCTGCACTCCTGGGTCCGAGGGGGAGGGGCTGGGGTCTGCACTCCTGGGTCCGAGGGGGGAGGGGCTGGGGTCTGGACTCCTGGGTCCGAGGCGGGAGGGGCTGGGGTCTGCACTCCTGGCTCCGAGGGGGGAGGGGCTGGGGTCTGCACTCCTGGGTCCGAGGCGGGAGAGGCTGGGGTCTGGACTCCTGGGTCCGAGGGGGGAGGGGCTGGAGTCTGCACTCCTGGGTCCGAAGGGGGAGAGGCTGGGGTCTGCACTCCTGGGTCCGAGGCGGGAGAGGCTGGGGTCTGCACTCCTGGGTCGAGGGGGGGAGGGGCTGTGGGGTCTGCCCTCTGGGTCCGAGGCGGGAGAGGCTGGGGTCCTGGGACCGTGGGTCCGAGGGGGGAGGGGCTCGGGGTACTGCCACTCCTGGGTCCGAAGGGGGAGAGGCTGGGGTCTGCACTCCTGGGTCCGAGGCGGGAGAGGCTGGGGTCTGCACTCCTGGGTCCGAGGGGGGAGGGGCTGGGGTCTGCACTCCTGGCTCCGAGGGGGGAGGGGCTGGGGTCTGCACTCCTGGCTCCGAGGCGGGAGAGGCTGGGGTCTGGACTCCTGGCTGTCTCAGGAGGACAGGCCCTGGTAGGTGTGGTCTGAGGCACAGCCCGGAGGCTGCAGACCCTGCCCCCCTCAGCACAGCTGTTCTCTTTTGTCTTATGACAAGCCCATGGGAACCTGATCCAGCTGGGATTAGGAGGAGGCATTTGAGAAGGGACAGTGGCCTGAAGACAATAGCTGCCCCACCCCCAGGAGCTATTTTGGGGGGATGTCGTAGATGGTGAAACAGAGGACATTTCCTAAGAAGGGATTTGAGGAAGGGGGGCTTCTGGGAGAGCTGGTCACCTGCATCCCTCTCCCACCCACCCCTCCCGCTGGCTGCTTTCCTCCCCACCTGTCTCCCCTTTCACCTTCCCATACATCACACGGGGCGGGGGGGTTGGGGCAGCGCCCAAAGGGCACCTTCTGTCCACAGACCTCACTCTGACCCCTACATTCTTAGACCCCGAAGTCTTCAAGACATCCTAGGCCACAGGGTGCCCATCCCCAAATCCCAATACCCATGGATTCTGAGACCTGGATTTTTGGTGCCTGTGTTTCTGAGACCACAAGTCCTCACAGCTCCAGATTCTGACAGCCCATTTCCTGATGGTCCACATATGGGCCAGGACATCCTAAGACCTCCTAAATTCTGAAGCCTCGAGAATATGAGACCCCCCCCAAAACCTTGATACCCAAACTCGGAGGCCCAAATGATGACGCCCCAGATAATGACACTCCAGGTGGTGATGGTTTCTATCCTAAACCTCAGATTCTGAGGCTTCCACTCCTAAAACCCCAGATTCTGAGACCCCGCCCCAATTCCTGATACCCTCAGAGTCTGAGCCCCAAATCCTGATACCCAGACTGTTTGACCTCCAAGTCCAGATGTCCCTGACTTCTGAGCTTTCCCCCAAGACCCCCAGAACCCCAAGATCTAGGTGGTTTATTCTGGGACACCCAGTCCGGCAGCCCCAGACTAGGATCTCTGTAACCCACAAATCCTAATATTTTCCCCTCTATCCCAAGTCCCCCTAAAGTCCGAGCCTCTCAAGTTCCGAGACCTCCAGTTGTATTCCCCATGTACCTCTGCATGATTTCTCCACACCCCACATCTTCCCCACCTGCCTCCTGCCCCCTCTCCCAAGGACACCGTCCGTGGAGATCACAGGGCCCAGCAGAGCCCCTTACCTATACCTAGGCTGCGTCTGAGATCCTGTGAATCTTGTGGCTGAGCCTCACCACGGGCACTGAAGCTCCAGGGGTTTTATAGCTGGAGGCTGGGCCCCGCCCCGAGGGGAGAGGGAGGAGGAGAGAATTCCTTTGCTCAAACACAAGTCTGGGAGCTCAGAGACAGCCCTGCTGTTCCTCTCGTTTTTCAAACTAAGGGTCCAAATGCCTCCGTGGGCTCCTCCCCAACCCCATCAGCGGGGCCCTGGAGCCCTGCTCCCACCCCCAGCCCCAGGCCCCCACGGTGCTCCAGCTACCTCCCTTATAGCTGCCTCCCTGCATTTGATGTCCCAACGTCCAGCACACAGTAGGTCCTTGGAGAACCTACTAATGACAAAAAGGCTATAAGGAATGTTTCCAGTTTTCCTCTCTGTTCCCTCTTTCTGGACCCGTTTCTGTGGTCTCTGTGGCTCTCCATCTGTGTATCTCTATATGTCTGTCTCTGCTGCTTAGTCTCCCCCTGTGTCTGTCCATCTTTCTGTCTCCCCACCCCCACCCCTTTGTCTGCCACCAGGATTCCATACTTGTGACAACAGGCACTAAAGCCAGGAAGCAGGTGTTGGGGGGAGGGGAGGGGAGGATGGGGTGTCAATTAGGGTGGTAACCTACCCTCTCTCCCCCCGTCCATCTGACACTGATCTTTTTTGGCATCCCCCTCCCTCTTCCCAGCCAAGCCACGACCTTGAACTCCAGGTTCAACCAGCCCTGGAGAGCAGACTTCCTCACCCTTCACGCCTCTCAGTGTCTGTCTCCTGTGGTATCAGTCTTTGTGTGTTTCTATGCATTTTCTGGGGTCCCTCGCTGGCTCTCTGTCTTGGGCTGTCTCTGAATCTGTCTCTTTCCGTGACCCTCAGTGTGTTTCTTGGCAAATGTCTCCAGGTGGTTTTGTCTCTGCATGTCTGCCCCTCTCTGCGTTTGTGTCTGTGGGGGCTCACAGTCTCTCTGTGCATTTCTGTCCACCTGAGACCCCATATCTGTGTGGGTAACCCCTTTCTGGGCACCAAGGAAGGAGAGCTAAGCAGACCCCCGGCACGATTAGTGCCTGAAGAATATCTTACTGCTCACTCCTCACTTATTTCCTTTTATATATAATCTCTTCATAGATAATCATGCCTTAGTTTGTAGTTGGAGGAATGTCTAGAGCAGACACACTGCAGAGCATGAACTAGGGAAAAACAGCCACACCAGGACAAGAATCAATGACCCAGGCGGTAGAGCCCCTGCCTGAAAGGGCAAGCGCTACGTGGCAGGTCTGCCCAGGTGGCAGCGTTCGGGTATGGTAATGACACCCGCTGTATGGCAGGCTTGCAGCAAGAGTCACTCCTCCTTCCTGAAAGGGAGTTGTAGTATCTTGTGCAGAGTTCTTGTGGAAAGCTGGCCTCAGGCTGGCAATCCCTCCAACGTCCGAGGGCTTAAAACCCATCCATATAATCACGCCTAGGTGGCTGTACAGCCTGTCAGCGCTCTCGCCACTGTGCTGGCTCGGAGCATCCTCCTATAAAAATTCTTAGAAGTAGGGCCGGGCGCGGTGGCTCAAGCCTGTAATCCCAGCACTTTGGGAGGCCGAGGCGGGTGGATCACGAGGTCAGCAGATCGGGACCATCCTGGTCAACATGGTGAAACCCCGTCTCTACTAAAAAAATACAAAAAATTAGCTGGGCACGGTGGTGCGTGCCTGTAATCCCAGCTACTCGGGAGGCTGAGGCAGGAGAATTGCCTGAACCCAGGAGGCGGAGGTTGCGGTGAGCCGAGATTGCGCCATTGCACTCCAGCCTGGGTAACAAGAGCGAAACTCCGTCTCAAAAAAAAAAAAAAAAAATTCTTAGAAGTAGCCTGCCCTTAGATAAGAGACGTTGCACACTGCACCCTCCTTGTCTTGGTGACCTAATGGGGGTGGACCGTTTGCTTATTGCGCATGTGAGGTCACTATCCTTAAGATGGCCTCACTCACTACCCCGCCTCCCGCATCTTGTACCTAATAAATACAGATGTGCCTGGACACTCGGGGCCTCGCCTGACTCCGCCCCTGAGCCCAGCTGCCTTTACCCAGACCTTTGGTGTCCTGTCTCCTTATTCCTCGGATCCAGCCCCTTGGCACAGCGATAGGGGGCATCCCACGACCCTAGTAGGGCTGGACCCTACATTTCTCTACATTTCTGTCTCTTCGGCTCTGGGTTCACGTCTCTACCTTTCTGGGTCTCTCCATGTCTCCCTTAGTGCCCGCAGTTCTCTCTCTGGCTCTCCATTTCCGTCTCTTACAGGGTCTCCATGTCTCTGCACCTTGCTGTGCGTATACCTTCGTCTCTCTTTTCTCCCTTCTTTGCACTTCCTTCTATGCCCCTGCGGTTTCTTCCCCCTCTCTTTGGGTCTCTGTCTGGCTCCTTCTCTGTGCTCCTAACTCAGTCTCAGTTGCCGCTATGTCTCTCTGCCTGTTTCTCTGTGTGTGTCTCTCTTTGAGCTTTAGACTTGACATCTCTATGCACTCCACAAGGGCCAAAGTAGCTGTGACAAGAAAGGTCAGAAGCTGATGGAATGAACTATTTGTGGCAATAAGATTCCAAATTATAAACAAGAGCTAAGGCCATTCCAGGCAAGGGTTAAGTCACGCATTCCCACTCTTTTTTTTTTTTTTTTTTGAGATGGAGTTTCGTTCTTGTTACCCAGGCTGGAGTGCAATGGCGCGATCTCGGCTCACCACAACCTCCGCCTCCTGGGTTCAGGCAATTCTCCTGCCTCAGCCTCCTGAGTAGCTGGGATTACAGGCACACACCACCATGCCCAGCTAATTTTTTGTATTTTTAGTAGAGATGGGGTTTCACCATGTTGACCAGGATGGTCTCGATCTCTTGACCTCGTGATCCACCCACCTTGCCCTCCCAAAGAACTATGTTCTAATTGCCACAAGGCTTTCCCTCTTTCTAGCAACTAAACAAGCCCTCAAGATAAGCAGTATTACAATTGCAGCCATGCAATGCCAGATGCTAACTAACTGAACCCCTGTTCCACAAGGCATAACCGCAGCATCCATTGAACAAGAGACCGATTTCAGTAACTTTTTCCCAATAAGAGGCCATGGACCATGGACTCGTTCTGTTGACAGAGGCTGTGTGCTGAGTACCTTCATGTCCCTGCTTCATGTTTTGACATGAATACATTCAGTGTCATGCACTGAAATGTTAAGCCTCCACTGCAAAGTGAGTATGGGATGCATGTAAAATGCCTGTTTACGGCCGGGCCAAGCAGCTCATGCCTGTAATCCCAGCACTTTGGGAGGCCAACAGGGGCAGATCATGAGGTCAGGAGTTCGAGACTAGCTTGGCCAACATGGCGAAACCCCGTCTTTACTAAGAATACAAAACTTAGCCAGGCATGGTGGTGCACACCTGTAATCCCAGCTACTGGGGAGGCTGAGGCAGGAGAATGGCTTGAATTCAGGAGGCAGAGGTTGCAGTGTTCCGAGACTGTGCCACTGCACTCCAGGCTGGGTGACAGAGCAAGACTCCGTCTCAAAAAAAAAAAAAAAAACATGTTTGCTTGTCACACATATATGTGTCCACCCATCCATGAATATTCATAGCTCCTTCTAAAACCAGTTGAATACATGTACTTAGCCAACCCTACTCAGCATAAATTCCCACCTTGCCCTTTCCTCGCTTAAAGCACCTGCTTTTTGTTTTTGGCACGAGGCCATGATTCTAGCCTGCAGGTTGTGATCCGCTTCTTAAGAAGCAAAGCTCTTGCCGAGTGCGGTGGCTCATGCCTGTAATCCCAGCACTTTGGGAGGCCAAAACAGGTGGATCACAAGGTTAGGGGGTCAAGACCAGCCTGACTAAGATGGTAAAACCTCGTCTCTACTGAACACACATAAAAATTAGCTGGGAACAGTGCGGGCACCTGTAGTTCCAGTTACTCGGGAGGCTGAGGCAGGAGAATTGCTTGAACCTAGGAGGTAGAGGTTGCAGTGAGCCAAGATTGTGCCATTGCACACTCCAGCCTGGGCAACAGAGTGAGGCTCCATCTCAAAAAAAAAAAAAAAAAAAGCCCAAAGCTCTCTTTTCCAAATTCATGATCCCTGGGATTCTCTTCCATAACAGAGCCAAGAGTGCTCCATGTGGGAGACTCATCCAATCCCCGACCTGCTGTGTAGCTTTGGGGGAGCCCTGCCCTCAGTTTTCCCATCCCTTTCATGCCTAAGCCCTGGGTAATAAACATGAAATAACTTTCAGCTCTGGGAGAAGCTTTATTCCTCAGGGCCCTCCTCAGGGCCGCGGCAGTAGGCAGGAGGGCTCAGCCCTCAAACTTTTTCTTGCGGCCTTCCATTCCACTCAGTGCATCAATGTTTTTGCGCCAATCTCCCACCTCCCGGATTTCCTGGAGGATGGTGATAAGAGTCAGAGGTTAGGGTCTCTTCCTGGTCTGCAGTCTCTCAAGAATCCCCACCTTCCCTCCAGCCTGTAGGGCCATTCTACGCTGGATGTCTGTCCAAGTATCTAGTTCCAGAACACTTCCTGTCCCCTCAAGACAATCCCTGCCAATTTCCCCATGCACTTCCTATCTCCCTCATGTACTTCCTGTCTTTCCCCCTCCACTTCCTGTCTCCCTCATGCACTTCCTGTCTTTCCCAACCCAGTTCCTGTCTTTCCTCCTCCACTTCCTGTCTCCTCCCTGTACTTCCGTTCTGTCTCATGCACTTTCTGTCTCCCTTGTACACTTCCTGCTTTCCTGCACACTCCTTCCCTTATACTCTTCTGTCTTCCCCCTCTACTTCCTGTGTCCCTCATGCATTTCTTTTTCCCCTCCCCTTCCTGTCTCCTTGCACTTCCTATCTTCCCCTCCATTTCCTGTCTGCCTCATGCACTTCCTGTCTCCCTCCCTCCTTCCTTCCTTCTCTTCTTTTTTTTATTTTTTATTTTTTAAGACAAGAGTCTCCCTCTGTCACTAGGCTGGAGTGCAGTGATGCAATCTCAGCTCACTGCAACCTCCACATCCCAGGTTCAATCGATTCTCCTGTCTCAGCCTTCCAAGAAGCTGAGACTACTAGCACGCCACCACGCCAGCTAAATTTTATAATTTTAGTAGAGATGGGGTTTCACCACGTTGGCCAGGCTGGTCTTGATCTCTTGACCTCAGGTGATCTGCCCACCTCAGCCTCCCAAAGTGCTGGGATTACAGATGTGAGCCACCGTGCCCACCCCTCTTTTCTTCTTTTTAAAGATAGGGTCTCACTGTGTTGCCCAGGCTGGAGTGCAGTTGTGCAATCATAGCTCACTGCAGCTTCAATCTCATGGGCTCAAGTGATCCTCCTGCCTCAGCCTCCTGAGAAGCTACACACCACCACCATGACTGGCTAATTTTTTTTCTTTGAGATGGAGTCTTGTACTGTTGCCTCGGCTGGAGTGCAATGGCATGATCTCGGCTCACTGCTACCTCTGCCTCCTGGGTTCAAACGATTCTCCTGCCTTGGCCTCCTAAGTAGCTGAGATTACAGGTGCCTGCCACGATGCCCAGCTAATTTTTTGTATTTTTAGTAGAGACAGGGTTTCACTATGTTGGCCAGCCTGGTCTCGAACTCCTGACCTTATAATCTTCCCCTCTCAGCCTCCCAAAGTGCTGGGATTACAGGCATGAGCCACTGCATCTGGCCAACTGGCTAATTTTTAAAAAAATTTTGTAGAAATTAAAAAAACATTGTGGTGGTGTGCACCTGTAGTCCCAGCTACTCAGGAGGCTGAGGCACAAGAATCACTTGAACCCAGGAGATGGATGTTGCAGTGAGCTGAGATGGCATCACTGCACACCAGCCTGCACAGCAGAATGAGACTCCGTCTCAGAAAACAAAAGGAAACTAAAAAAAAATTGTTTTAACCTCGAGGATGACAGGCACGAGCCACCGCACCTGGCCCTTCACACACCTCTTTACTCTTACATGGACTTCCTGTAGCCCTAATGCACTTCCTGTCTTCCCCTTCTACTTCCTGTCTTCCTCTTGCATTTCTGAGGACCCCTAGTTGTGTGCCCTCAGGCCAGGCCCTAGGGTTTTGGCACGCAGCGCCCCTCCCCTCAGCATCCTCTCTCATGGCCTTAGCCTACACTCACCTTCTCGGTGTCCTCCTTCTTCACCTGCTTGAGGTGGGCACGCAGGTCCAGGGACTCCTTAGCCCGGGTCCCCAGCAGCGCCTGCATCATGGCATCCGCAGAGATTCTCACTCTCCGCAGGGTGGGCCGCTTAAACTTGCCGCGAAGGTCAAAGATCTTCTGGGTCAGATCTGCGATCTAGGGGCAGCCATACAGACAGGTGGAGACATCTCCCTCCATTTCCCCCTCACCCAGCTCTTCCATCCTACGCTCCATTTTTATTCTCCTTATCCTGTCTTCCAGTACCAAAGCTTCATCCAGTATCTTCCTAGCCTAAGCTCCCAGTCTAACCTTTTTTTTTTTTTTTTTTTTTTTTTTGAGACAGAGTTTCACTCTTGTTGCCCAGGCTGGAGTGTAATGGCGCGATCTCAGCTCACTGCAACCTCCGTCCCCCAGATTCAAGCGATTCTCCTGTCTCAGCCTCTGGAGTAGCTGGGATTACAGGCATGAACCACCAAGCCTGGCTAATTTTGTGTTTTTAGTAGAGATGGGGTTTCTCCGTGTTGGTCACGCTGGTCTTGAACTCTCAACCTCAGGTGATCCACCCGCCTTGGCCTCCCAAAGTGCTGGGATTACAGGTGTGAGCCACCGTGCCTGGCCTTTTTTGTTTGTTTGTTTGTTTGTTTGTTTTGGAGATGGAGTTTTGCTGTTGCCCAGGCTGGAGTGCAAATGGCTCGACTTTGGCTCACAGCAACCTCTGCCTCCTGGGTTCAAGCAATTATCCTGCCTCGGCCTCCCTAATAGCTGGGATTATAGGTATGTACCACGAAGCCCGGCTAAATTTTTTATTTTTAGTAGAGACAGGGTTTCTCCATGTTGGTCAGGCTGGTCTTGAACTCCCGACCTCAGTTGATCTGCCCTCCTCGGCCTCCCGAAGTGCCGGGATTCAGGTGTGAGCCACCGCGCCCGGCTCATCCTCTCCCAGTCTAAGCTTCTAATCCTGGAACTGAATCACCCTCCCAATGTACTCCAGACTCACCTCTCAAAACCAGTGGCACAACCTGGTCCAGCTAAGTGCAAATCACAATTCCCTGGCCAATCACATTTCCAGGACCGCAATTCCCTGAGCTAATTTACCAACATGTGATGCCCTGAACATGTCCACTAACACATTTTCTGTTTCCCAACCCGTGGCCTCAAATGTGCTGTTCCCTCTGCCTGGAGCAGCTTTCCTTGACTATATCACACTCATCCTTCTGCCCCAGCCCTGCCAGGCTCACGGTTGTCCTGGGTCTCCTGGGATGTGCAGCCAAAAGCAGCTACAAGGGGTCAGGCTGAGACCAAGTCCCAGGCATCTCACCCTGCCCTGAAGGTACCCAAGCTGCCCATGCGTCCCACCTCGGTGATGTTCTTGGTAACTTTTGCCTCTATGTCATATCTCTCTTCATCCACCTTGTCCACACGGGTGTGGAGCTGTCGGCACAAGTCCTGGAGGAGAAATGTGGCGTGTGCTGTTGGGGGAAGCCTGGGGGCCTGGAGACCTGGATTCCTGGGTCTGAGGGAGGAGGGGCTGGGGGCCTGGGCTCCTATCTGGGAAAGGAGGGCCAGACGGTCCTGAAGGAGCAGATTGGAGCCAGGACTCCACAGACCTGCAAACAAAGGGTGTTAGGGGCCAGGAGTCCCACGAACCATACAGAATTGGGTAAGGACAGTCATACTGGACCCCTGGGTCCCGAGCAGAAGGGGGAATAGGGACTGTACTGCTGAATTCCGGGGACTAGAAACCTCGGATCCCAGGCTGGGCGAGTCCCTGCCTTGGGAGCGGGTACCTGCAGCTCCGCGAAGCCCAGACCGGCCAACTCCAGCGGCTGGCAGCGGGTGCTCAGGGCGCGCCCCTTCTCTCCGCGCCGCTCCTCCGCCTCTCGCTCCAGTTCCTGCTTTGCAATCTGCAGCATCAGGGTCTGCGGAGAGGTGTGAGGGAAGCGCAGCCCAGCCAGGGCATCAGAATAAAGACCAGGCCTGGGGAAGCCGCCTGTGCTCTTCCAGCCACTGGAGTTCGGTCTCCACCTTTCTGAAGACCCGTCTGCCCGGAGCGGGACTCCCCGCTAAAGCCACGGCCCGAACGTCCAAACCCCGCCCACTTGCCCGAAGCCAAACCCACTACCAAGCTCCGCCCCCTGGGCAGCTCCAAGCTCCTTTCCTCTCCCGCCTGTCCTCACCTTCAGCTGCAGTTTTCTCGAGGCGGAGATCTTAGACTTTTTCTGCCAGGGTGAGATGGAGCAAGGAAGGATCATGGAGGGGGATCCGGAGACGAAAGTGGAGGGGGCCTCACGACACCCCCAGCAACCCCAGCCGGTCCAGATTTGGGCCCGCCTCCAACTTAAGCCCTGAGTCTACGGGAGGCCACGCCCCTCATTCCCATCCACCAATCCGGGTCTCTGCCTTTGGCTAGGCACTGCCCATCTATCCCTAAGCAAGTCTAAGGGCAACAGAGCTCCGCCCGCAGACGGCTCTCACCAATCCGAGCTCGACCCTCTGCAAAACTCCGCCCCTGAAGCGCCTCTACGTAGGCCCCACCCCCTTCGCTGCCCTGGCTCCTCCCCGCGCCCCCAGGGTCTCGGGTCTCTACGACTGTACTCGGCCCCCTGGAAACCCCGTCCCACCTTGGCGTGCGGCTCCGTGGCGTACGCGCGGTAGTTGGAGGAGCGGCGTCTGACCGGGGCTGGTGCGGGGCGAGGTTCCCCAGCCTGGGGTGGGAGGAGTGCGGGCCCCATCACCACCAAGACCCTACCCAGCCCTCACCACACCACACCCTCTCCTAGGGCGGCAGCCTCCCCCCAGACCCCTTACTGCAGTGCCCGCCCCGGCCCTGGGGGTCCCAGCCACGCCTTAGCCCGCTGCTCTCACCGCATCACTGCTCCTGCAAGGAGAGAAACCGGGGAGGGGGTTAGTGGTGGGCTGTGTCCTGTCTGTCTCCTAAGGGACCCGGGAGACCCCTCTGACCGAGAGGTTGGGGGACACCGCTTCCCCTTCCTCGGGTTCCAGGAGTCTGACTCGCGAACCCACTTCCTCTTTTCACCCAAGAGTCCCAACCCTATCTCCCGTTGCAAGCCAGGGGTCCAGCCTCTCAGCTCGGACCCCTCTTGGGACCCCGGGAGGTCGCCCCAACTCTCATTGCCTTGGGAAGTCACTCACTCATCCGCCATGCTGAGACTCAGACCCGGAATGGCAGGAGGCAGGGCGAGGACAGGGACTTTCGGAGGGTCAGTGAGGGGGCGGCCCGGGTGACCTTCAAGGTCCCAGGGACCGTGAGTCTCCTCCGGGCTGCTCCAGCCTCCCCGAGGACACTGAGATAAAGGGCGGACAACAGAGACTAAATATACTGCGTCCTCCTCCCCCCTGCCCACCATGCGAGATAATGGGGCGCGTGAGGGGCGGGGCGGGCCCTGCTCCAGCTGGATCACCAGCTACCTCGGGGCACAGGAATCCAGAACCTTCTCCCTCGGATCCTGGAGTCCTAGACCTCTCCTCCCTCAGACCCAGAGAATGCCCTTCCTCCCAGCCACCCCCTCCCTCAGACCCAGGACTCCGGGGGACCCCAGCCCCTCCCTCAGACAAGGAGTCTGGGCCCCCAGCCCCCTCTTCCCTCAGACTCAAGAGTCTGGGCCCCCAGCGCCTCCTCCCTCAGACCTGGGAGTTCAGGCTCCCAGTCCCTCCTCCCTCAAACCCAGGAGTGGAGGCCAGCAGCCTCTCCTCCCTAAGACCCAGAAGTCCAGGCCCCCAAACCCTCCTCCCTCAGACCCTGGAGTCCAGACCCCAACCCTTCCTCCCTCAGACCCAGGAGTCCAGACCCCAACCCCTCCTCCCTCAGACCCAGGAGTCCAGGACCCCAACCCCTCCTCCCTCAGACCCAGGAGTCCAGGACCCCAACCCCTCTTCCCTCAGACCCAAGAGTCCAGGCCACTCAACAATGTTGTGTTTAATTTGGAGTGCAGCTGTGCTGGGGGCCCACTCTCAGCCTGCAGCACTGAGAAATCCATCTCTTGTCCACTCAGAAACCCAGGCACCTGGTTTCTGACTTCCTCTGTCCACCACTCCTAGGCCTTTCTCCCCCAGCCCTGGAGACAGACATAGGACAGCAAAGACAGTTGGACACACGGAGGGGTGGACACACTTGCTTTACTCAAACCACCTGGGTGCTGACCAGGCCCTGGTGAGGAGAGACCCTAGACCCCAGGCAGCCACAGGGTACCTGGGGACAAGGGGGCAGAAGTCAAGGGCCTGAGACTCAGGGTCAAATCCTGGGCTGGGCTTAGAGTCTCTGAAGCAGAATTTGGAATTCTGAGAGAACAATCTAGAATTTTAGGAATAGACCATAGAATCCCAGAAATGGAATTTGAAAATCTAGCAACACCCCTGGGGTGGGGGTGACGGGTACTGAGTGGGAATGATGAGAATAAACGTGAGGGCTCCAGCGGCAGGTTTAAAATGGTATCAGCGGCTTCTAATTCTACAACCTGACTTTGGAAGCTGGAGATAAGGGGCGTCTAGGGGTCAGGTCAGACTCCAGTTTTGGAGTCTGACTCACTGTCGGACGGGGGCAAAGCCCCTGGGGGCAGAGCCAGAACCTTGGAGAGAACCTGGAGATGCAGAGGGCAGCTGGCAGGGCTCAGAGTGGGGTCCCGCCCTGCAGAGGTTCGGTCAGGTCCTCGGGGGCGGGGCTGCGGGCCTCAAGAGGCTGGGCCAGGACTTCAAGGGGCAGAGTTCTGGGTTCCACAGCTGGGTCAGTGCCACCCAGAGCCAATTCCGGGGACTTGCAAAAACGGGCGAAGGTCTCTGAGGGCCTGACCCCGGCCTGTGGAGAGAATCCAGCTGCCTGAGCCAGCTCCCTGACCCGGGTGTTGAAGCCCTGCAGCTGCTCCCGCCGCACGTCCACCAGGTACCTGCAGATGGGAAGCGCCATGTCAGGGACCCAGATTCGGACCCCCAGCCAGGACAGGCCCCGCCCTCCACCCCACTGGCTCACCGGGCTAATTCCACAATCAGGTTCCCTCCCGGTGCCACACAGGCCCCAAGCTCAGGGCTGAGAAGATGGACCATCCTGCAGAGAGGACAGAGGACAGGCTGAGATTCAGCTCCAAATCCACGGGGAGAACGGTGCTCTGGGAACCCAGACACTGAGGGAGGAGGGGCTGCAAAACTGGAGTCCAGGTCCTGGGGAAGAAGGGGGCAGGAGGTCTGGACTCTGGGGTACCAGGAAGGAGGGGCTGGGGCTGGACTCCTGGGTCTGAGGGAGGAGGAGATGGGGGTATGAGGGAGGAGGGGCTGGGGCTGGACTCCTGGGTCTGAGGGAGGAGGAGATGAGGGTATGAGGGGAGAGGGGCTGGGGCCTGGACTCCTGGGTCTGAGGGAGGAGGGAATGGGGCTTGGGCTGCCTCCCCACTTACCCACAGGCCACATAGAGAAGCTGGAACCGGCCATTGTAGCAGCTCTTGTGGTGGAGAGTCTGAGCAGAATCGAGGGGTAGGAAGTGGATGGTGAAAGATTCCGGGGTGGGGGCTGCTGGGGAAGGTGATAAAGGGGTCACCTCTTGTAGGTGCTGCCATGAGGGTGGAAAGCCAGAGACATACATAGAGCTGGGCAGAGCTGGGCAGGCACTCAGGGCTTGGAGATAACATTCCTTGTCCCCTTGAAGCTTTTAAAAAAATCTTTCCTCTGAGGTGGATTTCTGGAAAATTCTGGGAAGGTCAGCCCAGCAGGCAGAGACCCACTGTATAGATCAGGCAACTGAGACTCTAGAGAGGGAAAGAGAGTGGGTGGCCAGGGCCACATGTGACATATCCTGCCCGACAGACACTCAGGGAGGGCCAGGTGGGAGGATGGCTGGAAGGAGGCCCAGCCAGGGTCTGGGGTCCGGGATGGTGTCCAGGCAGGAGCTGGGGCCCAGAACCCGGGGAGAATACTCTTGGATAGCATAGACCCCTGCAGATAAGACTAGAATTCTACTACTGGAATTAAGAATCCTAAGCACGCTCTCAGGATTTAGGAGAGAGAGAAAAACAGACAGAATGTCAAGAAGAAGCCGACATTGGCCCCCGCATTCCACATCATGTCAGTCCACGCTCCAATGTGAAATGCGTGGAGGGTGCAGTCCCTGTCTTACCTGTTGTCCTGGCTTACCTGCAGTCCCTGGCCTACCTGCAATCCCTGGCCTACCTGGAGTCCCTGGGTTACCTGGAGTCCCTGGCCTACCTGGAGTCCCTGGGTTACCTGGAGTCCCTGGCCTACCTGGAGTCCCTGGCCTACCTGGAGTCCCTGGACTACCTGCACTCCCTGGCTTACCTGCAGTCACTGGCCTACCTGGAGTCCCTGGGTTACCTGGAGTCCCTGGCCTACCTGCAGTCACTGGCCTACCTGGAGTCCCTGGGTTACCTGGAGTCCCTGGCCTACCTGCAGTCACTGGCCTACCTGGAGTCCCTGGGTTACCTGGAGTCCCTGGCCTACCTGGAGTCCCTGGGTTACCTGGAGTCCCTGGCCTACCTGCAGTCCCTGGCTTACCTGCAGTCCCTGGACTACCTGCAGTCCCTGGCTTACCTGCAGTCCCTGGCCTACCTGGAGTCCCTGGGTTACCTGGAGTCCCTGGCCTACCTGGAGTCCCTGGGTTACCTGGAGTCCCTGGGTTACCTGGAGTCCCTGGCCTACCTGGAGTCCCTGGGTTACCTGGAGTCCCTGGGTTACCTGGAGTCCCTGGGTTACCTGGAGTCCCTGGCCTACCTGGAGTCCCTGGACTACCTGCAGTCCCTGGCCTACCTGGAGTCCCTGGGTTACCTGGAGTCCCTGGCCTACCTGGAGTCCCTGGGTTACCTGGAGTCCCTGGGTTACGTGCAGTCCCTGGCCTACCTGCAGTCCCTGGCCTACCTGCAGTCACTGGCCTACCTGGAGTCCCTGGGTTACCTGGAGTCCCTGGCCTACCTGGAGTCCCTGGGTTACCTGGAGTCCCTGGGTTACCTGGAGTCCCTGGCCTACCTGGAGTCCCTGGGTTACCTGGAGTCCCTGGCCTACCTGGAAGTCCCTGGGTTACCTGGAGTCCCTGGCCTACCTGGAGTCCCTGGGTTACCTGGAGTCCCTGGCCTACCTGGAGTCCCTGGCCTACCTGGAGTCCCTGGGTACCTGGAGTCCCTGGCCTACCTGGAGTCCCTGGCCTACCTGGAGTCCCTGGGCTTACCTGCAGTCACTGGCCTACCTGGAGTCCCTGGGTTACCTGGAGTCCCTGGCCTACCTGCAGTCACTGGGCCTACCTGGAGTCCCTGGGTTACCTGGAGTCCTGGCCTACCTGCAGTCACTGGCCTACCTGGAGAGTCCCTGGGTTACCTGGAGTCCCTGGCCTACCTGCAGTCACTGGCCTACCTGGAGGTCCCTGGGTTACCTGGAGTCCCTGGCCTACCTGGAGTCCCTGGGTTACCTGCAGTCCCTGGCCTACCTGGAGTCCCTGGGTTACCTGGAGTCCCTGGCCTACCTGGAGTCCCTGGGTTACCTGGAGTCCCTGGGTTACCTGGAGTCCCTGGCCTACCTGGAGTCCCTGGACTACCTGCAGTCCCTGGCCTACCTGCAGTCACTGGCCTACCTGGAGTCCCTGGGTTACCTGGAGTCCCTGGCCTACCTGGAGTCCCTGGGTTACCTGGAGTCCCTGGGTTACGTGCAGTCCCTGGCCTACCTGCAGTCCCTGGCCTACCTGCAGTCACTGGCCTACCTGGAGTCCCTGGGTTACCTGGAGTCCCTGGCCTACCTGGAGTCCCTGGGTTACCTAGAGTCCCTGGGTTACCTGGAGTCCCTGGCCTACCTGGAGTCCCTGGGTTACCTGGAGTCCCTGGCCTACCTGGAGTCCCTGGGTTACCTGGAGTCCCTGGGTTACCTGGAGTCCCTGGCCTACCTGGAGTCCCTGGGTTACCTGGAGTCCCTGGCCTACCTGGAGTCCCTGGCCTACCTGGAGTCCCTGGGTTACCTGGAGTCCCTGGCCTACCTGGAGTCCCTGGCCTACCTGGAGTCCCTGGCTTACCTGGAGTCCCTGGCCTACCTGGAGTCCCTGGGTTACCTGGAGTCCCTGGCCTACCTGGAGTCCCTGGGTTACCTGGAGTCCCTGGGTTACCTGGAGTCCCTGGCCTACCTGGAGTCCCTGGGTTACCTGGAGTCCCTGGCCTACCTGGAGTCCCTGGCCTACCTGCAGTCACTGGCCTACCTGGAGTCCCTGGGTTACCTGCAGTCCCTGGGTTACCTGCAGTCCCTGGGTTACCTGGAGTCCCTGGCCTACCTGGAGTCACTGGGTTACCTGGAGTCCCTGGCCTACCTGCAGTCACTGGCCTACCTGGAGTCCCTGGGTTACCTGGAGTCCCTGGGTTACCTGGAGTCCCTGGCCTACCTGGAGTCCCTGGCCTACCTGGAGTCCCTGGGTTACCTGGAGTCCCTGGGTTACCTGGAGTCCCTGGCCTACCTGGAGTCCCTGGGTTACCTGGAGTCCCTGGGTTACCTGGAGTCCCTGGCCTACCTGGAGTCCCTGGGTTACCTGGAGTCCCTGGCCTACCTGGAGTCCCTGGCCTACCTGCAGTCACTGGCCTACCTGGAGTCCCTGGGTTACCTGGAGTCCCTGGGTTACCTGGAGTCCCTGGCCTACCTGGAGTCCCTGGGTTACCTGGAGTCCCTGGCCTACCTGCAGTCACTGGCCTACCTGGAGTCCCTGGGTTACCTGCAGTCCCTGGCTTACCTGCAGTCCCTGGACTACCTGGAGTCCCTGGGTTACCTGGAGTCCCTGGCCTACTGGAGTCCCTGGCCTACCTGCAGTCACTGGCCTACCTGGAGTCCCTGGGTTACCTGGAGTCCCTGGGTTATCTGCAGTCCCTGGGTTACCTGGAGTCCCTGGCCTACCTGCAGTCACTGGCCTACCTGGAGTCCCTGGGTTACCTGGAGTCCCTGGCCTACCTGCAGTCACTGGCCTACCTGGAGTCCCTGGGTTACCTGGAGTCCCTGGGTTACCTGGAGTCCCTGGCCTACCTGGAGTCCCTGGGTTACCTGGAGTCCCTGGCCTACCTGGAGTCCCTGGGTTACCTGGAGTCCCTGGCCTACCTGGAGTCCCTGGGTTACCTGGAGTCCCTGGCCTACCTGGAGTCCCTGGCCTACCTGCAGTCACTGGCCTACCTGGAGTCCCTGGGTTACCTGGAGTCCCTGGCCTACCTGGAGTCCCTGGGTTTACCTGGAGTCCCTGGGTTACCTGGAGTCCCTGGCCTACCTGCAGTCACTGGCCTACCTGGAGTCCCTGGCCTACCTGCAGTCCCTGGCCTACCTGGAGTCCCTGGGTTACCTGGAGTCCCTGGGTTACCTGGAGTCCCTGGGTTACCTGGAGTCCCTGGGCTACCTGGAGTCCCTGGCTACCTGGAGTCCCTGGCCTACCTGGAGTCCCTGGGTTACCTGGAGTCCCTGGCCTACCTGGAGTCCCTGGGTTACCTGGAGTCCCTGGGTTACCTGGAGTCCCTGGCCTACCTGGAGTCCCTGGGTTACCTGCAGTCCCTGGCCTACCTGCAGTCCCTGGCCTACCTGCTGTCCCTGGGTTACCTGCAGCCCCTGGCTTACCTGGAATCCCTGGCTTACCTGGAGTCCCTGGCTTACCTGCAGCCCCTGGCTTACCTGGAGTCCCTGGCTCCAGGCTTCCCTCCTCATGCTGCTGCTCCTCTGGGTTCCCCAGGGTGGCTCTAGCGCGACCCCAGGCGGCCACCTCGCGGAGCATTTCTGTCACGTTGTGTTGAGTGATCTCACCCGCCGTCTAGGGATAGAAGGGGAGTGGACAGACGTTGGGGCCAGGATGGCGGTGGGGGGCTTAGAACGCGGGAGTCTTGGTCCAGGACTAGAACTCTCGGAGCGGCTTGGAGGATGTGAAGTAGGGCGGGACCTATCCCGCGGGGATGGAGCCTGTTCCCTGAATAGAGTCGTCCCGCAAAGTGAAAGGCGGGGTCTGGGGCTGGGGGCGGAGCCTGATGTGGGGGTCCTCGTGTGGGGGCGGGCCTTTCACACCCACCCACCCCCACCCCACCACTACCCCCAGTCCCAGCCTCACCGCGCACCTTGACGGGCTGTCCGTTGCTGGTCCGCAGGAGGCTCTCGTCGTCCGCTTCGATACCAAAGGCCACAAAGGGCCCCGTGGCGATGTCCCCCCAGTACCCGCGCGCTGCCACGCGCTCCCCGCGCTGGAAAGGAAGGGAGAGAGGAGGCAGGTGAGGTCGATGTTGGGGACCCTGACTTCTAGGTCTCCGAGAAGCAGCAGCGGGCCCGGACAGCCAGTGGACACGCACGTAGCTCAGGAAGCGACCAGACGCCAGAGTCCGGTTGGGCACGTGATAGGTGCTGGAGTCCCTGAGTTCAAAGGCGACGCCTGTGTCCCGCCAGCGTCGGAACTCCTGGGTGTGAATGACCTGGGCCTGGGGTGGGGGTGGGAAGAAGGGAGCCCTCAATGAAACGAGCATGGAGGGACCCTACACCTTCCTCCCTCAGAACCTGAGTCCAAGCCCAGCCCCTCCTCCCTCAGACCCAGGAGTCTAGACCTGAGCCCCAGCCCCTCCTCCCTCAGACCCAGGAGTCCAGACCTGAGCCCCAGCCCCTCCTCCCTCAGACCCAGGAGTCCAAGCCCTAGCGCCTCCTCCCTCAGACCCAGGAGTCCAGGTCCCCAGCCCCTCCTCCCTCAGACCCAGGAGTCCAGGCCCTAGCACCTCCTCCCTCAGACCCAGGAGTCCAGGTCCCCAGCCCCTCCTCCCTCAGACCCAGGAGTCCAGGCCCTAGCACCTCCTCCCTCAGACCCAGGAGTCCAGACCCCAGCCCTTCCACCCTCAGACCCAGGGTTCCAGGCCCCAGCGCCTCCTCCCTCAGACCCAGGAGTCCAGGCCCCAGTCCCTCCTCCCTCAGACCCAGGAGTCCAGGCCCCAGTCCCTCCTCCCTCAGACCCAGGAGTCCAGACCCCAGCCCTTCCACCCTCAGACCCAGGGTTCCAGGCCCCAGCGCCTCCACCCTCAGACCCAGGGGTCCAGGCCCCAGTCCCTCCTCCCTCAGACCCAGGGTTCCAGGCCCCAGCCCCTCCTCCCTCGGACTCAGGAGTCCAGGCCCCAGCCCCTCCTCCCTCAGACCCAGGGTTCCAGGCCCCAGCCCCTCCTCCCTCGGACCCAGGAGTCCAGGCCCCAGCCCCTTCTCCCTCCTCCTGGGCCCCTCACCCCACGATCGTGCAGTTTCATGCGTAGGTCCCAGTCGCTGATACCGCGCCGGGCGTCGTAGCGGGAGCCCAGGTAGTGGCGCAGCCGTGAGTCCCAGAGGCGGCTCATGGGGAAGGCCTCGGGGCCCTTCTCGCCGCCAGCCCAGAAGCGGAAGACGGCTTCCAGGGCGTCTCGCTCACGGAACTGTGGGGTCAGGAACGCGCAGGGAGAGAGAGACGCAGAGAGGGATGCAGGGAGAGCAGCTTCTAGTTGACCCTTTCTTCCATCCCAGAACGGGGAACGATTCTCCCGTTTCCCGGATGAAAAAAACTGAGGCTCCTAAAGCAGAAGCCACCTCCTGCCCCCAGGCCAAATCTCACAGTAGGAGTCGCGGAGCTGGGATTCGAACCCCCGAGTCCGCCGCCTGCTCCATCAACGCACGTCCTTTGGACTGCGCACTTCCATTCTTCCCGCGGCCACCCGATCCCAGGCAGTGACCGGGCGGAGGTCGGGCGGCCGCACCTTGAGGGCGTGGAGGCTGAGCCAGGGCAGCTGCTCCTCCAGGCGGTCGGGCTCGGGGACCAGGTGGGCCAGCAGATCTGCCTGGGCGCGCACGAAGGCGGCCACCGGTGGGCGCAGCAGCGCGTTCCCCCACACCTCCAGGAAGGTCTCGCTGCGCTCTAGGGAGAGGGAGAGATGATTGGGGGAATGTGCGGAAGAGAGGGACCAGAAATTAGACCTTTCATATGTTCTGATGTCATAGTCATGTGATGAAAACAACGAACCCCGGAAAACTCCCCACACATCCTAAAAACTACATGAAGAACAAGACAGGCTCACGCCTGTAATCCCAGCACTTTGGGAGGCCAAGGCGGGTGGATCACGAGGTCAAGAGATCGAGACCATCCTGATCAACATGGTGAAACCCCGTCTCTACTAAAAATACAAAAAATTAGCTGGGCGTGGTGGCGCGTGCCTGTAATCCCAGCTACTCGGGAGGCTCAGGCAGGAGAATTGCTTGAACCCAGGAGGCGGAGGTCGCAGTGAGCCGAGATCGCCCCATTGCACTCCAGCCTGGGTGACAAGAGCGAAACTCCGTCTCAAAAAAACAAAACAAAACAGAATTCCTTAGAAGTAGCCTGCCCCTTCATAAGAGATGGTGCACACTGCACCCTCTTCACTGCGCATGGCCCACCTCCTTGCCTCGGTGACCTAATGGGGGTGGACCCTCGTTTATCACTCACGTGATTGTCGTGACCCTATCACTATCCTTAAGATGACCTCACTCACTACACCATTTTATAAAGGACTTGAGCGTCCTCAGATCTTGGTATCTGCAGGGGTCCTGGAGCCAGTCCCAGTGATACTGAGGGATGGCTGTATACACCTTTAGCTGTACATAATATATGTACACATAGACATATAGTTTCTTTTTTTTTTTTTTTTCCCAAGACGGAGTTGCCCTCTTGTTACCCAGGCTGGAGTGCAATGGCACCATCTAGGCTCACCGCAACCTCTGCCTCCTGGGCTCAGGCAATTCTCCTGCCTCAGCCTCCTGAGTAGCTGGGATTACAGGCGCGCGCCACCATGCCCAGCTAATTTTTGTATTTTTAGTAGAGATGGGGTTTCACCATGTTGACCAGGATGGTCTCAATCTCTTGACCGCGTGATCCACCCACCTTGGCCTCCCAAAGTGCTGGGATTACAGGCATGAGCCACCGCGCCCGGCCTGAGACATAGTTTCATGTTAGTTAAGAACTTTAGAGAACTATCTGCCTTTAGTAAGATAGATCAGTTTTGTTCTCGTTATTTAAGAATTTTGGACAATCTGTACTGTGCAGTGTACGCTGGATGCCCTGTGTTATTAATAACTGATATGCTTTGGATCTGTGTCCATCCAAATCTCCTGTTGAATTGTAATCCCCAGTGTTGGAGGTGGGACCTGGTGGGAGGTGACTGGATGAAGGGGGTAGATTTCCCCCTTGCTGTTCTCATGAGTTCCCACAAAATCTGGTTGTTTAAAACTGTGTGGCACCGCCCCACTGTGTCTCTTGCTCCTTCTCCCACCGTGTAAGAGGTGCCTGCTCCCCTTTGCCTTCTACCATGGTTGTAAGTCTCCTGAGGCCTTCCCCAGCCATGCTCTCTGTACAGCCTGTGGAACTGTGAGTCAATTAAACCTCTTTTCTTGGGGCCAGGCACGATGGCTCATGCCTGTAATCCCAGCACTTTGGGATGCCAAGGTGGGCAGATCGCCTGAGGTCAGGAGTTCGAGCCCAGCCTGGCCAACATGGTGAAACCCCAGCTCTACTGAATACAAAAATTAGCCAGGCATGGTGGCACATGCCTGTAATCCCAGGTACTTGGGAGACTGAGGCAGTAGAACTGCTTGAATCCACCACCCAGGTTCAAGCAATTCTTGTGCCTCATCCTCCCAAGTAGCTAGGACTACAGACACGTGCCACCACCCCTGGCTAATTTTTGTATTTTTGGTAGAGACAGGGTTTCATTATGTTGGCCAGGCTGGGCTCGAGCTCCTGACCTCAAGTGATGCCCCCTGCCTCAGCCTCCCAAAGTGCTGGGATTACACGTGTGAACCACAGCACCACCACACCCAGCCTCTCCTGGAATTTTTTTTTTTTTTTTTTTTTTTGACACAGTCTTGCTCTGTCATCCAGGCTGGAGTACAGTGGCATGATCTCGGCCCACTGCAACCTCCACCTCTTGGGTTTAAACAGCTGTCCTGCAACCTCCACCTCTCAGGTTCAACTTTTTTGTATCTTAGTAGGGACAGTTTCACCATGTTGCCAAGACTGATCTCAAACTCCTGAGCTCAGGCAATCTGCCCACCTCGGCCTCCGAAAGGGCTGAGATTATAGACATGAGCCACTGTGCCTGGCCAAACTGGAATTTTCTAAGTGTCTCTCAGATGTATTATATTTAGCCCCATTTTACAGATGGGAGAAGCTGAGGCTCTAAGATGGCAAATTATATCATAGGGGACAATGATCAATAAATATATTTGAATTTTTTTTTTTAGACGATGTTTCGCTCTTGCTGCCCAGGCTAGAGTTCAGTGGCACAATCTCCTCTCCCCACAACCTCCACCTCCCGATAAAATAACCAAATTTTTAAATTGTACCATCGAAATGCCAGAATCCTTCTAGGGAGCGGAAGGAGACCGGCGGTTGGAATGCCTGGGTCCTAGTGACTGACCTTGCAGGCCCATCTTCTCAGGTTCCTCTAAGGCTAGGCTGAATATCAGCATGTGTCGGGCCACAGCTTCCAGATTATTCTCCAGTACAAAGAACTGGAAGGATGAACAGGGCAGAATAATTCTGAGACCTGCTTGCCTGGGCCCTAGCAGACCCAGGAGAGTGGACCCTCAGCTCTCTCCTTCCACACACCCAGGAGCTCTGTACACCAGCCTCTTCCTTCAAACACAGGAGTCTGGGTCCCCAGAGCTCCCTTCCTTTCCATTCCTCAGAAGACCTGATTCTTGAGCTCTTCCCGGCCTATAGAACCCAGGAGTTCCAAATCCCAGTCCCTTCCTTCCCCAAGACGCATGAGTTCTCCCAGCTTCCACCTCCCTTAGATCTAAGAGTCTCCAGCTCCTTCATTCCTGGACCTGAGGTTTTAGAATTCCAATCCCCTCCTCCCTCAAGGACTTGGGAATCTGGGGTCTCATCTTCATCCCAGCTCACGTTGAACCTCCTGCGAGGCCAGAGCTTCGCTCGGGACAGGGTCCGCAGCAGGTGGCGCCCATCCACAGAGCCCAGCAGCAGGACATCTAGCTCGGGGACGCTGTGCACCGTATCGGCCTGGGAGTCTGGGTCCACTGGAGGACCTGGCAAGATGATAGCAGGCTGGGGCACTATGGTGGTCGCCAGAGTGTCCCCCGTAGCACCCCTACAACAATGGACTACAAATCCCAGCAGGCAACGCGCCCGTGGCCTAGGTTCTAAGGGGAGTTGATTCCTCTGAGCATTCTGGGATTCGTAGTCCGCAGACTGGACCTCGGCCCTGCCCTGGAGGCGCGCCCTCCACCGTTGGAGCCTTGGAGAACGTTAGCGCGCCCCCAGCCACCGACGCTGGGACTACGAGCTCTGAAAGGCTGCCTGCGCAGGCTGGAAAGGCAGGCGGTGTATCAGACCGTGGGTGCTGGGACTCACTTTCAGCCTGCAGGTCCAGCGCCGGGGACAGGCCCCACCATGACACCGAGCCGAAGCCCATACCGGAGCCGGCAGGTGTGGTCATCACACTGCGGAAAAGACATCCTGGGAATCCCACACATTGCCCGCCCCGCTCCCCTCTCTCCGCCCCTCACTTCGCTCCCCTTTGCCTCCGCATGATATCCTACCCACACCTTTATCTTCCAAATATCCTGGGATGCCCCTTCCCCTCTGCTCAGTGCAGCACTGTGGACCGGCGACGCTCCACTACCGCTGGCCAGAGTCCCCGCCCTTTTCGATCAATCGACCAATGGGTGCATATGGGCTGGCACGTCGGCGAGCAACTGGCCAATGAGAGTTAGCGAGGTCCGCCCGCTACAAACTTTTGGCCAATGGGAGCACTGAAGACCAGGCTTCCCCACCCCTAGGAGTAGAGGCCAGGTGGACGCGGTTGTCATGACGACGGCACTGGCGGGGGCGGGAAGGAGCGGGGCTGGAAGAGGTTGGGGCGGAGTCAGGGTCAGTCTAAATTTCTGGAATGGGGGAGGCCTGGGCTGATTCAAATTTAGAGAGAACGGAGCTTAATCTTATTTCTTGTTTTTTACTTTTTTCTCTTTTCCATCTCCCTTTGCTGGTACGTAACTGAACTTTTATCTATCCAAATAAGGTGAAGTTTCTAGACTTTAGACTGCAGACCTCTGAGCCCCCTCCCCGCCCCAGCCCAGCATGGGTTCTACCACACGGAGCTGCCCACTGAGGTGCAGGTTATTACAAATTCAGGACTCTTGTGAGCTGGTTATTAGCCCAAGCAGTAATAATTTAAACTTACAGCTAGATCCTTTTGTAGTTTCTAAGCGAGATGATTGGGTGTTCACGCGCATGTGTGAGATGCGCCTTCCTCAAACCTTGTTACGACATCGGCACATGACCCTTCCGACATGACAAAACAAAAGTTAAATGCACTGCATTAAAATAAGGGTGAGTCGGCCGGGTGCGGTGGCTCACGGCTGTAGTCCCAGCACTTTGGAGGTCGAGGTGGGCGGATCACTTGATGTTAGGAGATGGAGACTAGCCTAGCCGAATCACTACTTAAAAAAAAAAATAGGAAAATTAGCAGTGAGCCGAGAATGCGCCATTGCACTCTAGCCTGGGCGGCTGAACGAGACTCCGTCTCAAAAAAAAAAAAGAAAAGAAAAGAAAAAGAAAACCAGTACCCCATCTATCTCCCCATTTCTCTTTCCTCAGTCCCTGGCAACCACGAGTCTACTTTCTGTCTCTATGAATTTGTCAGTTCAGGAGATTTCTTATGGATGGCATTCTGCAATATGCAGCCTTCCTCCACTTGGCAAAATACTTTCGGGACTCATCCATGCTGAAGCACGAATCAGTGCTTCCTTCTGTTTTTATGGACCAAATCATATTCCACTGTTTCCCCCCGCCAACCCTTGCAAGCTTCATTCCTTCTTGTCATTCAAGTTATGGCCCAGACCGAACCTCCTCAGGAGGGCTGCCCAGATTACCCTCCCTAAATTATCTCAGCCCTTTTACATTTTTGTCCCAGTGTGGACTGACATTTGTAATTGTTTTATTCCTCCTATAACTCTGCTTTCTTGTTGAGATAGGGACCCAAGGACCCCACTGTCGTCATCTAAATCAATCCCAGAATTTAGACAGGTTTTCTGGCTATGTGATTCTAAGGCCTTTTTTTTTTTTTTTTTGAGACTGACTTTTGTTCTTGTCGCCCAGGCTGGAGTGCAATGGCACGATCTCAACTCACTGCAACCTCCATCCTGGGTTCAAGTGACTCTCCTACCTCAGCCTCCCTTGTAGCTGGGATTACAGCTGCCCACCACCATGCCTGGATAATTTTCATATTTTTCGTAAAGACGGGGTTTCAGCATGTTGGCCAGGCTGGTCTCAAACTCCTGACCTCAGGTGATCTGCCTGCCTCAGTCTCCCAAAGTGCTGGGATTACGGGCATGAGCCACCACACCTGGCCCTGAATTCTCTAAAGCATAGTTTGGACTCATTTGTCAACAGGGAATAAAGATCATGTTTATTTCGTGAGTTGCTGTGAGGTTTATTATTGGCAGTAATAATACATAAAGAGTTGTCTTCATAGACACGCCCTACACCAACACACACACATGAAAAGTTACCGAATTCCTTTTAAGAAAAATTTAAAATCTCTTGGACATTATCATCTGTGTAGCTATTCTAATTTCACTTTTCCCATTGGCTACCAGGAAGCTTAGGAGCAAGTTTGTTTGCTGCCTTCTTTTTTGGTATGTGGGGGTACTTTTTTTTGCCTCATTCTCCACTTAATCTGCTGCTGAGAGTTCTCTTGCCAATTTTTTTTCTTTCTCTTTTCTTTTTTTTTTTTTTTGAGACAGAGTGTCACTCTGTCATCCAGGCTGGAGTGCAGTGGCAAAATCTCAGCTCACTGCAACCTCCACCCCTCGGGTTCAAGTGATTCTCCTGCCTCAGCCTCCTGAGTAGCCGGGACTACAGGTGTGTGCCACCATGCCTGGCCAATTTTATATTTTTAGTAGAGGTGGGATTTCACTTTGTTGGCCAGGCTGGTCTTGAACTCCTGACCTCGTGATCTGCCCACATCGGCTTCCCAAAGTGCTGGGATTACAGGCATGAGCCACCACACCCGGCCCTCTTACCAAATCTTAGAGGTCTTTGTTCACCACCCAAAATCCTGTATGGGATGAGATAAGGTAGAAGCCAATGGAACAATCATCTTTGCTAGAAACAGACTAGAAGCCAGCATTCCTTGAAAGAACAACGAAGTCGGGTGCAGTGGCTCGTGCCTATAGTCCCAGCTAGGCAAGGAGGATCCTCCGGAGTTTGAAACCAGCCTGGGAAACATAGTGAGACCCCATCTCTGCAAAAATGTAAAAATAAAAAATTAGCCAGGCATGGGTGCGTGCACCTGTGGTCCCAGCTACTCAGGATCCTCTGGAGCAGGAGGATCCCCTAAGTCTAGGAGGTTGAGACTGCAGTGAGCTATGATTGGACCACTGCACTCCAGCCGAGGGACAGAGTGAAAACCCTGTCAAAAAAGAAGAAAGGAAAGAAAGAAGGAAAGAAGAAAGGAAAGAAAGAAGGAAAGAAGAAAGGAAGGGAAGGGAAGGGAAGGGAAAGGAGGGGAGGGGAGGGGAGGGGAGGGAAGGGAAAGGAGGGGAGGGGAAGGAAGGGAGGGGAAGGGGAGGGAAGGGAGGGGAAAGGAGGGGAGGGGGGAAGGGATGGGAAAGGAGGGGAGGGGAGGGGAAGGAAGGGAGGGGAAGGGGAGGGAAGGGACGGGAAAGGAGGGGAGGGGAAGGGAGGGGAAGGGGAGGGAAGGGACGGGAAAGGAGGGGAGGGGAGGGAAGGGAAGGGAAGGGAAGGGAAAGGAGGGGAGGGGAGGGGAGGGAAGGGAAGGGAAGGGAAGGGAAAGGAGGGGAGGGGAGGGGAAGGAAGGGAAGGGAAGGGAAGGGAAGGGTAGGGAAGGAAGGGAAGGGAAGGAAGGGAAGGGAAGGGAAGGGAAGGGACGGGAAAGGAGGGGAGGGGAAGGAAGGGAGGGGAAGGGGAGGGAAGGGAGGGGAAAGGAGGGGAGGGGGGGAAGGGATGGGAAAGGAGGGGAGGGGAGGGGAGGGGAAGGAAGGGAGGGGAAGGGGAGGGAAGGGACGGGAAAGGAGGGGAGGGGAAGGGAGGGGAAGGAGAGGAAGGGAGGGGAGAGGGGAGGGGAAGGGAAGGAAAGGGAGGGGAGGGGAGAGGAAGGGGAAGGAGGGGAAGGGAGGGGAGAGGGGAGGGGAAGGGAAGGAAAGGGAGGGGAGGGGAGAGGGAAGGGGAAGGAGGGGAAGGGAGGGGAGGGGAGGGGAGGGGAAGGGGGAAGGAGGGGAAGGGAGGGGAGGGGAAGGGGGAAGGGAGGGGAGAGAGGAAGGGAGGGGAGGGAGGGAAGGGAAGGGGAAGGGAAGGCAAGGCGAGGAAGGAAGGAAGGGAGGGAAAGAAAAGGAAAGAAAGAAAAGAAGGAGGAGGAAGGAAAAGAAAGAGGTGGAGTGGAAACCCCTGGCTTTCCTCGCTGAACCTGGTCCTCTCTCGCATCCCCGGAGGTTTTATTCCCCGGCTCTGCGCATATCCTTTGTTCCCTTGATGTCAGTAAGTCGCTTGGGGTGCAGGTCTGTGTTTGCATCTATTCTGGGGCCCCAGCATTCAACAGAAGACCTCGGGGAATACGGAGTGGAAGACACAAAGGGAGGGAGGGATGCAGAAACGGGTATGAAAGTCGGTATGAGTCGGGGGTGAGCAAGCGAGCGCTTCAATTCGTGGCCCAGCAAAGGGACTCTGCCGACTCCTCACCGCCACCGGGTGGCAGGAACTATTATCATCCCTGCATTCTCCAGCGGAAGAAACGGGCAGAGTGGTGAGTGAGGAATGAACGGGTGACAGTGTCAGGGGTCCCAGGGGCCGGGCCAGGCTCTCTCAGCGGCTCAGGACGAACAGCACTCACGCTGCCCTGCGCCTCCCATTCCGGAAACGAGGTTTCCTCCTGGGCCCCAGCCCTTGCCCACCCCTTTCAAAGAGCAGGGGCCCAGGCCACCGGAGCTGCTGAGTATTTATTTGGCCCCAGGAGCAGTGCAGGGACGGGCTGTGTTGGAAGAGAGGGGAGAGCAGACTAGGTTGGCTGATTGTCAAAGCAGGGGCAGGACCCGGGGGCAGGGGAAACCAGGCTGCCTTTCCTTCCCAGGGGTCGCTGGGCATCTGGGTGTGTGGGTGGGGGTCAGGGGAGTGTGCTGGAAAGTTGTGATTGGCATCGTTGTGGGTGAGAGGCAGGAATGGATCGGATGGTTGGGATGGGGGTGGGAGGAGGGTAGTGGTCAGAGGAGGCTTCAGGGTGGGGCTGGCTTGGCTTTGGCCTGTCTCGGGAGTCTGGGGTCGGGGGCGAGAGTCCAGGCTTGGCCAGGGGCTTGGGGTAGGAGTCAGGGCGCAGGCAGCAGCCTCACTCTGTCCGGGGGCCGCAGCGAGTGCCACTGAGCAATGGGACGCCGCGGATTGGCCAGCATGTCCGCCCAGTGCCGCAGGCCAGCCCCGCCGGCGGCCGCCCCCACGGCCACCCTCCCGATGGCCTCGTTCTTGCCCAGCTTGTCGTAGTCCAGCACGGTCAGCTCCACCTGCACCTTCTGGGGTTAGCGCGGGAGGAAGAGGAGGGAGGAGCGTGAGGGAAGGAGGCCCCGAAAGGAGGGTGTCCGGTTTCACGGCTGCCACCCGAGGGATCGGGGCCCCGAGCTCGACTCGGGGTGGGGGGAGTGGGAGGTGGGAGGGACGGAGCCTGCGGTGAGGAGGCGGCTTTGGCGCCTTGCTTCCTGCCTGCAGCCGGGTTTCTAAGGAAATGAACACCAGGACTCGGTTGCGGAGGTGGTGTTGGGCGCCCCCTAGCGGAGCAGCCTCCTAAGAGCGGCAAAGCTGCAGAACTTGCACAGCGGCCTGGTTCGAGTAGGCTCGTCCCTAAGGGACTGAAGGGAGGTCTCTTTTTCTTAGAACCGCGTTCTTGAGGAGGGCGGGGCATCCTGGTCCTGCTTAAGGGTTGGGGCATCCTGGCCCCGCTTAGGGTTGGGGCATCCTGGTCCCGCTTAGGGTTGGGGCATCCTGGTCCAGCTTAGGGTTGGGGCATCCTGGTCCCCCGTAGGGGGTGGGCATCCTGGTCCCGCTTAGGGTTGGGGCATCCTGGTCCCGCTTAGGGTTGGGGCATCCTGGTCCAGCTTAGGGTTGGGGCATCCTGGCCCTGCTTAGGGTTGGGGCATCCTGGTCCAGCTTAGGGTTGGGGCATCCTGGTCCCCCGTAGGGGGTGGGCATCCTGGTCCCGCTTAGGGGCAAGGCATCCCGCTCTTGCCTGGGGGGGCGGGGAATTCTGGTCCTGCTTAGGGGCGGGGCCTCTGGTCCCGCGTGGGGGGCGGGGCATCCTGGTCCTGCTTGGGGTGGGCACGCTGGTCTTGTCTCGGGGGCAGGGCATCCCAGTCCTGCTTAGAGCAGATAGGATGCCCACACCTAATTTTAAGGAGACCCTTCCTGGAGTGGATGGGGCTTCCTGGTCCTCCTAGGAGGAAACAGACTGAGAACAAACAGAACCTCAGACTTCCCCTCACCTGGTTTCTAGGGGGATGCTAAAAAGTCTCTCTCCCTCTAGCAATGGCGATTACTAAGAGTCTGGGCTCTTGGAGAAGGGTAGGTCTGAGCTCACCTGGACTTGGTCACAGGGCACCTCAAAGCTGAAAGCCTCGTTGTAATAGGGGTTCAGAGTGTTCTTCTTGATGGTGGTTTTCTTCTTCCTCACCTTTTTGCCGCCCTGCAGCAGGTGGACCTTGACGTACGGATCTGGGGAGAGGAAGGAGGAGTCATGGCCCCCCAGTGCTGAGTTATTGGACCAACAGAAACACCGCCTACACCCTTTATGTCTCCCTATCCATGGTCCAAAATCCATGCCTTCCACGGCAGCCTGGGCCTCCCTGTCCCCCAGGAAACCCTCCGGGCTCAGAAACTGTCGGAACGAGAACCCACCCCACACCACCCCACGCACCCCACTCCCTCGCTTCCCACACACCTGACAGCCCTCCTACATCCATCTTCTTCAGGTTTTTCGCCTCCAGGACGATAACGGTGAGCTTCCCGGCCGTAGGGACATAGCGGAGGGAAAAGCAGATGTCCCCAAGCTTCTCCTGCTGAAAGAAGGAGAGGGACCCATCGCCAGAGCCCCGGCTCCACATCCATCCCCCCTCCATCTTTCTTTCCTCCCCACACTTTGGAATGGAATGGTCCACACTTAAGGACCCAGGTGTACCATCCAAGGAGCGGAAGAGGTTTCAATCCACACCGCCTTCAGGGTCCGGAAGGCCTGTGATCTGATTGGCTCAGGGAGTTGTCGGCGGGGCGGGCCTGGGGCGTGGTTTGGAGCTGTGGGCGGGGCGGGACTGGGGCGTGGTTTGGAGCTGTGGGCGGGGCGGGCCTGGGGCGTGGTTGAAGTATGGCCGCTCACGCTCACCTCCTCCCGCGGAGCCGCCTGCAGCTCCCTCCAGGCCTGCACCGGCCGCCCCAGGTCCACGGAGCTCATGGGGACCCGCACCTCCCCGATGGCGTCGTTGCGAGAGAAGCGGTCGAAGTCGTACACCGCCATGACTAGCACCCTCCCCCCCAGCTCCACATAGGGGACCTGGAGGGCACAGAGAATGCGCAGTGGAAGGCAGGAAGTCAGAGAGAGTGGGGCGCAGCACATCGAGGTGGGCGGCGTAGGGTCCAAGCGAACAGTGGGGGGAACTCAAATGGAGAAGTCCAGGGATTCGTGGGAAAAAAAATCACGGATCTGTGGAACCCAAATGGTACCGCCAAAGGACCAGGCTACAGCCCGGGCGTCAGTAGTGCCCAGGGTCCAGTGGAATAGCCCCAGAGCTGGTAGCCGCCAGCTGAGCTGTGGCCGCCTCCAGGAAAAGCGGAAGCGGTCGGTCCCCAGGGTTCCAGGGACTGGGCGTAGGCTATGAAGCACGGAGCCTGAGGGCAGGAGCTCACCTTGAAGGCAAAGGTCTCCCCGAAGTGAGGGTTCAGTGTCTGCCGATGCACCTTGGTCTCGTACCGCCTCCGCTTGTCCGGTAGCAGGTAGACCAGCACGTAGGGGTCCGAGGAGCCACCCAGATCCAAGGCTGCCAATCCCTCCGCTTGCAGAATGCCCACCAGCAGCTGCAGGGCCCGGGCACAGTGTGGGAAGCAGGCAACAGTCTTAGCCTCGCTTCCATGGTTCCTTTCAGAAGGGGCTGGAACCCTCAGGACGCTCCCTTCCCTTCCTCCACACCCACCTGGCCGCTCTGGAAGTCATAATCCAAGGAGTACTGCAGCCGTCCTAGGTCATGCTTGTCTGCCACCTGCTGCCCTGGCCCAGATGGCGCTGGCTCCAGTTCCTCCACTTCTGGCTGCACCTTAGAGAGCCAGGGGTAAGAGTAGGTGAAGTCTTCCCCTGACAGCAGTATCCTTCAGGCTCAGAAGCCAAGGGAGGCTCACAGGTCCCTTGGGCTACATCTGAGTGCTCACAAGCTAAGCAGAGCCAGTATTTGACTAGTGATGTCTGCCACAGGCAAGAAATGGACATAGTAACACAGATGCAGTATGCTTGTGAAAGTTCGATTAGTGATGTCTGCTATGGGCAGGAACTAGACATGTGTTTGTCAGGCTTAGATTAAAATAAGGGCAGATAGCGTCTCATTGCCCACAGGAAAGATGTGGATTTTATTTCACATGCTAATGGATGTATTGGGATGGTAGTCCAAACTGCCACGTTTGCTAGTGATCTTAGCACAGCAAGATATGGAGGAGAAATGGAACATTTACTGTGTACTTGTCATTCTAAAGTTGAATCAAAAAGCAGAAGGTGTCTCCTTAACCGAGGCCAGCAATTCTTAAAATTCAGTGTGAATCTGAATTCCCGAGTCCTGTGGCAAAATGCCTGAGGTCACGTCTTCAGGGATTCTGACTCAACAGCTCAGGTGCTAGCTCCAGAGTTTGCATTTCAACAAGTTCTCTGTGTGACTCTGATGCAGATGGTTTTTGAGCATCACTGGTTTAAGGGATAGGGATGGGACTGGACAGCGCAGGGCCGTAAATGGCATCCTTTATGAATACTAATTGTAACAGCTCCTTACTGAGAAGGAAAGGGGAAATACCAAGTCAGTGACCACAAACTTGAGGCTCAGAGAGGGACAGTGAATTCTCCAAGGTCACAAAACGGGAAATGGTCCTTCTTGGTTGGAAACCTAGGGCTGTCTGGTTCCCAGGTAACCGTAGCACTCTGCAATGAGAGACTTAATGTTCAGACCCTGCAGTGCCCACTTTCCATTCCCATGGCCTCATCCAGTGCAAATCTCTTTCATCCTCTCCGGGCTGCTGCTGCACTGACCTCCCTGGATTCCTCGCCCCAGATCTGTACAACGCAGGGATTCCAGAGGAGTCATTCTAACACCATCTGACCCTGTCCCTCATGCTCAAAACATACTTGTGGCTTTCATCACCCTCACGATGTGGATACTGCTGAGTTCTCCAGATGCTACACTCCAGAGTGAAGCTATTGTGAAAAGCGACTCTTTGTTATCCAAATAAGCCTCAGAATCCGGATATGGGGCTTCCGCACATGCACCTCCTTAAACTAGAATGTCCTTCTCTCTGCTCTGTTAGCTCTGTCCTTGTGCAGAAGTCACCTCCACCAGGAAGCCTCTTCTGTCTGATCCTGTTTAAAATTTTTTCTTACTGTAAATATGTTCCATTTTCTGAAAGAAATCAGCACATCTCAAGGTATTCTGGCACAAAGCTGGTTTTCGGCTTTCAGAGGCATTTATTTATTTACTTATTTATTTACCAGAGACAGAATCTGCTCTGTCACTCAGGCTGGAGAGCAGTGGTACAATCTCAGCTCACTGCAGCCTTCACCTCCCCGTTTCAAGCGATTCTTGTGCCTCAGCCTCCCGAGTAGCTGGAGGCATGTGCCACCATGCCCAGCTAATTTTTTTGTATTTTTAGTAAAGACAGGCTTTCACCATGTTGCCCAGGCTAGTCTCGAACTCTTGAGCTCAGGCAATCTGTCCGCCTCAGCCTCCCAAAGTGCTAGGATTACAGGCCTGAGCCACGGCGCCTGGCTCAGAGCTAAATATTTATTTTTCTGTAGGTTTCTATACAGTGAGATGCTTTTTCTGCACTCCTATAAGACCCTGTAGTATGGCACATACTACCCTGTGTGCTGTCTGTGTCAGTGCCTGACTCTCCCACCAGACTAGGAAGTTCTTGTGAACAGCAACTAGATCTGTTCCATCTCCAGGTCCCCAGAGTCCAGTTGAGGGCTAGACACACAGGGAGGATGAGTCAATAAAGTGGGTTCCTATAGGAGGGAAGGGAGCAGGGACTGGGACCAGCTGGGCCAATGAGAGGGGCAGGGTGTGGGAAGGGGCCAGGTTCAGGGCCTGGGCTGGGCCACACCTTGTCTATGTAACTCTGGCCCAGCCCCTTCACTTCCTGAAGGTGGACCTGGGCTTGGGCCTGGCTCTTCTTGCCCTTCCGCCTCCGACAGCGCTTCCGGTAGAGACAGAAACAGCAGCTGAAGAAGAGGAGGCCTGAGACCAGCACGATGGTGGCCAGGGCCCAGGGAGGCACTGCAGAGGGGTGGAGGAGAAAACACATACTAAGGCCTGGGCAGTGCGAGGGCTGATTCAATCCTGATTGCACGTGGAAGCTGGAATGCTGGCCTCCTTTTCCCTCCAGCTATTTTCATTCCATTTCTTCCCGTGTTTTTCTTTCACCTAATCTGGTCTATAGAGATTCGATGCCCTAACGCAGACTGACACCATCTGATTTGCTTACTTGTTAGTTCTGCCTTTCCTTACCGCCCCCAGCCCCAACCCCCCTAATTTCTGCTCAACTCCTGATGCTTTTAGAAGAAGCCCTGCTCCTCATCAGGCCACAGTTTCCTCATCTGTAAAAGAAGGGCTAGATGGACCTTCGAATTCTAAGATCCCATTCCATGCAACACCCCTTGATCCGGTTTCAATTTGTGCTGCAAATCTGTTCCTTCCTTTCCCCATTTCGTTCGCATTCCAGTCCGGGATAACGACCCTGAATCCCAACCGGATTTTCCAGCCCGCCTGCAATAGTACACCAGTCCGAATCCCGCCCCTCGTACTCCTGGCCGGGCTTTCTCTCTGCTCGGCCCCCGGGTCTTGCTCACCTGGGCCGTGGCTGATGCGACTGGAGTCTGGAGGCGTGTCGGGCGATGGAGGCCCCGGGGTTGGGGGCTCCGGGAACATGGTGACGGAGTCCTAGAGTCTTTTCTGCAGAGGCTCTCAAGCACCCTAGTTCCCCATTCCCACCCCAAACGTCCCTTGAGGCCCACGCACAACAAAGAACTCCAACTCCCATGAGGCCCCTGCGCGAACAGCCGCACAGAAACCGGCCAGCCACCGCGAGTCATGCTGGGAGTTGTAGTTTCAGCCTCCCCACGCTTGAGAGGGGGTGTTCAGGACCTAGTTCCATCCCAAAGGGATACCCGCTTCCTCCACGCCTTCACAGGCATCCCGCTGACTTCTGCCTCTTCCTCGCCCCTCAGCAGGGCCTGAACCGGAAGCGGGTGAAGGCAGTCGTGGGAACCAGCGGACCGCGTTGCCCAGAGCAACAGCCTGGCTCCTCTCCGGCGGGGTGGGAGCAAAGCTGGTTGCCCGGGCAACGGTCTGTTGCCAGGACAACGGGCGGGGCTGACGCACAGACGCGGAGTCCCTGTGGGGCAGGTTCGCTCCCGGCCCCACCGGTGCCCGGGAACCTCCAGTACCCCAAATGGGATCCTGAGGTCCCGCGATGTGGGGAGGGGGCAGCCTGCGGTCCGAGCGCCCACAGCCGGTTCCTCCCTCCCCACCTGGTCCTGGGAAGTGAGACGCAGGTTCCCCCTTCCCTCTCCCCCTTTTTGCTGGAGGGCGGGTCGGGGGCGCCTGTGCTGGGCCCGCCTCATCCTTCTTGGCCTGTTGGTCTCTCCAAGCATCTGCGCTGTCTTCACACCTGTTCTCGTGACCGCCTCGGTCTCCACGCCCTCTTGTCCCCAAATAGGCGTCGTCCCTGTGTCTGCCTCCCCATCCCGCCTGTCTCTCTGTCCAATCGCCTGGCCTCTGTCCCCAGGGTCTCTCCTCCTCCCCTCCGCCTGCGCCCCCCTCCCCGCCCTCCGCCCTTTGTCTTCACACCCGTCTCGCGTCCCTAAATCCCAGTCTCCCCGCTTCAGGCTCGAGCCCTCCCTCCCACTGTCTCTGTCGGTCCCCCCAGTGCCCCAGCCCCCACTCTCACACACATTTCCTCTGGGAATGCGGATGCGGATGGGCTGAGGCGGGGGTCCCAGCAGCTCCTACCTGCTCGGCGGCTGGACGGGACACTCCCGGGAGACGCCGAGGCGCCAGCCCCGCCGGGACCCCGCCCCTCGCACGTGGGCGGTGGCGCTGTCCCGGGTGCTGATCGCGGAGCTCGGCTGGGCGGAGGAGCCGCGGAGCGGAGCCGGATCCCTTGCGCGCGTGTGTGCCCGTGTGCGTGTGCGCGCGTGTGTGGTGTGTATTGTGTGTGCCCGTATTTGGTCTCCTGTAGGCGGAAAGCCCCGCCCCGGCCCTCCTCTCGCCCCCACCCGGGAACCTCGATGGCGCCCACAGATGTTTATCCTGGCGCCTTAGAATTTTCTGCCTCCTGGTCCAGTCGTTGGCCGTCCACACCACTCCACTAGTCCCGCCCCAACACACACGACACACACCTATATAGCCCAAAGAAATGCATGCCAGGATAACCGGTCCTAGGACCCAGGAGAACCAAGACCTCCACTGGAGACCCAGACTCTGTGGGTATCAGCATCAAAGTCCCCAACTATCATTGCCCTCTAAGTTCCCCTAATGCCAGTCCCAGGAGGCGGCCGAGGCAGTGGCTCGCACCTGTAACCCCAGCACTTTGGCAGGCCGAAGGGGGAGGAATGCTTGAGCCCAGGAGCTGGCAACTAACCTGGGCACATAGGAAAATCTCGTCTCTATGAAAATGAGCCAGGTGTGGTGTCACTCGCCTCTAAACCCAGCTACTCTAGCGGCTGAGGTGGGAAGATGACCTGGAGCCGGGAGGTCAAGGCTGCAGTGAGCCACTGCCCTCCAGTCTGGACAACAGTGAAAGAAAAGAAAAAAAGGGAGGGAGGGAGGGAAGGAAGGAAGGAAGGGAGGGAGGGAGGGAGGAGAGAAAGCCCAGAAGGCAAGTCCCCAAGCACCTAGCTTCAGCGAGCCCTATGCATACTTCCCAGACCCCGGACACAGATGACTGGACGCTGCCTTCTCTGAGATACTCAACCACAGAATCCCACATTTTTTCATGGGCAAGTGTGTGGGTCCCCCTTGTCCCCTCCTGGACGTTTGTCTCTATCCCCAGATCCCAGGAACCCGTCCCTACTCCCACCCGAATATTATTTCCAGACCCAGAAATCCACAGGACAACCGCCTGTGGGGAAAACAGTGATTTAATAAATTATGGGATAGAAGGAAACACATATGCAGACGGCGGGTGCAGGGAGACCTTGGGCACAGGGACTCCCTCCAACCTCAGATTATAGACTGATTTGGTTTCTGAAGTAAAAGCAGGGCAGGGTCCTGCCTGCCTTTTGTCCTCAAGTAGCCAGAATTCCAGACCTGAATTCCTTCCTGCCTCAGAATCCAGGCTCCAGCCTGTCTCTTCCTGCATTCCAGGTTCCTAGCTTCCTCCTCCCTCAAAGACCTGGGAATTCCAAGCTACCACCCCTCTCCTCCTTCAAGGCACCAGGAATCTAGATCCCCAGGTCCCATAGAGTCATGTGCTGAGGTCCACCAGATCACTCTCTCCTGGGAAAACTGGAGTTTGGGCTCCCAGCCCCCTCCTCCCACAGCACCCAGGAGTCTGGGAGCCCAGCCCTCTGCTCTTCCAGGAATCTGGGTTCAAGTGGGCGTCCAGAGCTTGAGGATGCCTGGGCTGCCAGCCCAGCCCTCTTGTCACTTAGACCTCCAACTCGTGGGCCCGGATGGCAGCCTTGTTCTCGTAAATAAGGTTTTCAACATTCTCATACGTGACCTCCTTCTCAGCTGGGGCCTGGGCTGACTGTTGGAGGAACCGCAGGATGCACTGGTGCAGGAATACGTACTGAGCCTGGGGAGGGGGCATGGGAGTGAGTGAGGGGTGTCTCCCCAAGCCTGGGCTGCGTACAGCCCCGGGGTCCCATGTCCCACCGCCTCCTGTCCAGTATCACTCGGGGGCCAGGGGCTGCCTCACCTCCGTCTGCACCATCAACGGCCGGCTCTCTCTCATCTTCTTCACGAAGCTGAAGGGCCCAAGGAGACCCTCGTACTCCAGCTGCCGAAGCAGGACGTCCAGGGCAATGAGGGTGCCCGTGCGGCCCACGCCAGCACTAAGCAGAACAAAGAAAGGGTCAGACCAAGGGGCGGGAGTGCGAGGGTCCAGGGTCATGGCTGATTGGAGGGATCTGTGTTTGAATGATGGCAATCACTATGCCTCCTCACACCTGCAGTCCCAGCACTTTGGGAGGCTGAGGCAGGTGGATCACCCAAGGTCAGAAGTTCAAGACCAGCCTGGCCAACGTGGCGAAACCCCGTCTTTACTAAAAATACAAAAATTAGCCGGGTGTGGTGGCGCACAACTGTAACCCCGGCTACTTGAAAGGCTGATGCAGAAGAATCGCTTGAACCCAGGAGGCAGAGGTTACAGTGAGCTGAGATTGCACCATTGCACTTCAGCCTGGGTGAAAAGAGTGAAACTCCATCTCAAAAAAAAAAAAAAACGAGAAACTATGTCTAGAGTTCCTTGCATCCGTTAGGCCCTGTTCTAAGTGCCTGATGGGCCTTCTTCAGTCCTCACAAACCTAAGCAGTGGGATGCACTAGCATAGCACATCCACTGTACAGATGGTGAAATGGAGGCTGAGTGACGTGAGGTCTCATTCCCCAGGTTGCTCAGCTAGTAAATGACTGAGCCAGGTTCGAACACAGGAAGAAGAACTCTCCAGCCAATCATTTAAAAATTCCTTTAAACACATAATTAATCTTTTGTTGTGTTTTGTCTCTGTCATGCAGGCTGGAGTGCAGTGGCACAATCTCAGGTCACTGCAGCCTCGACCTCCTAGACTCAAGGGATCCTCCCACCTTGGCTTCCCAAAGTGCTAGGATTACAGGCATGAGCTGCTATGCCCGGTGAAAAAAATTAGCTATTTTAGGTTGGGCGCAGTGGCTCACACCTGTAATCCCAGCACTTTGGGAGGCTGAGGTGGGCAGATCACTTGAGGTCAGGCATCTGAGACCAGCCTGGCCAACATGGAGAAACTCTGTCTCTACTAAAAATAAAGAAATGAGGCTGGATGCAGTGGCTTACACCTGTAATCCTAGCACTTTGGGAGGCCAAGGTGGGTGGATTGCCTGAGCACAGGAGTTCGAGACCATCCTGACTAACACGGTGAAACCCTGTCTCTACTAAAATACAAAAAATTAGCCAGGAGTAGTAGCATGTGCCTGTAGTCCCAGCTACTCAGAAGGCTGAGGCAGGAGAATTGCTTGAACCTGGGAGGCGGAGGTTGCAGTGAGCCAAGATTGCACCTCTCCAGCCTAGGCAACAGAGCAAGACTGTGTCTCAAAAAAAAAAAAAAAAGCGATTTTATTTATTTATTTTTTTTAATAATTATAACTTTATTGTAGGTTGTAATCTTTTAATCTGTATTTCTGAACTCTCAAAGCTCTGGAAGCTGGAAGTTTTTTTTTTGAGCTGGAGTTTCGCTCTTGTTACCCAGGCTGGAGTGCAATGGCGCAATCTCGGCTCACCGCTACCTCCACTTCCTGGGTTCAGGCAATTCTCCTGCCTCAGCCTCCTGAGCAGCTGGGATTACAGGCACGCGCCACCATGCCCAGCTAATTTTTGTATTTTTAGCAGAGACGGGGTTTCACCTTATTGACCAGGATGGTCTCCATCTCTTGACCTCGTGATCCACCCGCCTCGGCCTCCCAAAGTGCTGGGATTACAGGCTTGAGCCACCGCGCCCGGCCAGAGCTTGTGTTCTTAATCTCACCAAAATATCTCCTCCCAAGTTATACATACCTTTTCAGACCTACCTTCCTCTCTTAGTTATTCATGATACACTGTTTCAATTTATGTGAATCAGTATCACCTTTAGTAAATGTATTTTATTTATTATTTATTTATGTCACCATGTTGGCCAGGCTGGTCTCGAACTCCTGACCTCAGGTGATCCACCCATCTCAGCCTCCCAAAGTGCTGGGATTACAGGCTTGAGCCACCGCGCCCGGCCAAGAAAAGCTATTTTAATGTGAGCCATTTAGCACTCACAGTGTCCTGCAGCCCCCACCTCTATCCAGCTGCAGAACATTTCATCACCCTAAAGCAGACACCATACCCATTAGGTGGTCTCTCCCCATTCAGTCTCCCTCCAGGGCCTGGGACACACTCAGCTGTTTGTGTCTCTGCTGATTCGGCTGTTTTGGATGTTGCATACTAACTTGCATACTAACGGAATGATGTAATGATTACCCTCTCAGCTCTAGAATGGGGAGGGAACTCTTTTGCCACGAGGTTGTTAGGAGCAGTAGGACTGTGTAAACATTCACTGTTGCTGAAACCAGAGCCCCAGTCTCAGGAGCTGTTCCTCCTCCTCATCTCCCTAATAGTTGCCATTAGGTGAAATCTGACCTACAGGACTTCAGCATAAATATCAGGAAAGGGCCGGGCACGGTGGCTCACGCCTGTAATCCCAGTACTTTGGGAGGCCGAGGCGGGTTGATCACAAGGTCAAGAGATCGAGACCATCCTGGTCAACAAGGTTAAACCCCGTGTCTACTAAAAATACAAAAAATTAGCTGGGCATGGTGGCGCGTGCCTGTAATCCCAGCTACTCAGGAGGCTGAGGCAGGAGAATTGCCTGAACCCAGGAGGCGGAGGTTGTGGTGAGCCGAGATCATGCCATTGTGCTCCAGCCTGGGTAACAAGAGCGAAACTCCGTCTCAAAAAAAAAAAAAAGTAATAATAATAAAGTAAATAAATAAATATCGGGAAAGCAGTTGATGGTGAGGCCCCATACTTGAGCACAAGGAAGTATCTCCAATGTTTCTCTCAATCTGTGGCCTCATCCCCCTCCTGCGCCTTCATCCCTTCTCTTCTGCATTCAACTTTCTCTTCCTTTACCCTTTCATCTTTCGTTCTTTTTTTTTTTTTTTTTTTTTTTTTTTCAGAAAAAGTCACCCAGGCTGGAGGGCATTGGTGTGACCTCGGCTCACTGCAACCTCCTCCTCCTGGGTTCAAGCAATTCTCCTGCCTCAGCCTCCCAAGTAGTTGAGACTACAGACACCCGCCACCACACCCGGCTAATTTTTGTATGTTTAGTGGAGATGGGGTTTCACCATATTGGCCAGGCTGGTCTCAAACTCCTGAACTCAACTGATCCACCCACCTCGGCCTCCCAAAGTGCTGGGATTACAAGCATGAGCCACCATGCCCAGCCTGACTTTTCATTTCTCCTTCCCATCACTTCATCTTTATCCTCCTCCTCTTATCTGCTTTCTGCCCCCTTTATCTTCAACATCCGTCTCCTCTTCCTTTTCACCTCCCTGTGAGTTCCCAGGGTCCCATCTAGCACCACCGTCTGAGCCCCAGGGGAGCGGTTCTCTCTCGGGAGAGGGTCCTGGGCTGGTCCCCACCTGCAGTGTACAATGGGTGGGCCTCCCTCCATGGTCTGATCCAGCCACTGCCGGAGCATCCTCCAGAAAGCCAGCAAGGTGTCTGGGGAGGAGGGAACGCCGTGATCCGGCCAGGCCAGGAAGTGGAATTGCCGCACAGAGAGCGTCTTCTGCTCCTCCACCTGGAAGGAAGGAGCGCTCACAGGCTCTGGAGATGAACGGAGGGAGGACCTGGCTTCTACCACTAAGGGCGGGTTCCCTGGAACACAGCACAGCTCCTCAGAGCAGTGGGTGGAAGGCTGGAGTTGGCAGAGGGTCCTGGGTGCCTGGCATGTCACAGGGGAAGGCTGAGAGCCATCACGGGGCTGGACGCACCTGGAGGAGCTGCAGTTCCCGGACCGTCCAGTTCTCCGTCACTTCCTCACTCTCCAGGGTCACCCGCAGGTGCCCGTGGGTGCAGGGCTGAGAGTCCAGAGGCCAGTAATGCTCACACTTCACCTGGGGGAGGATGAGGGCTCAGAGAACAGGAAGACTCCTCCCCAGGTCTGTGGGGTCTGCCTTAGCCCCCACATGCGAACCAGCAGACGGGCTGGGGGAGTGGAGGAGAGGTCACACTGAAGATGCCTGGGGTGACACTGGAGAAACCCGTGAGGTCTGGGTGTGGGGTCTACATTGGATCAGTGTTTGGGGCGGGGTCATGTACCCAGTCAGCACGCAGGACTCGTATCTCTCACCCGGCCAGCCTCCATGCAGTTGGTCAGCATGACTAGGGTGTGGCTCTGCTGTTCCCACACCAGGCGCCAGAAGTCGCCCACTGTCTGTGGCAGGGGGCCCTGGGTTGCTATGAACTCCTGGGGGCTCCAGAGACCCTGGTTGAGGAAGGCAGGTGTGTCAGGGGGGCCTTTGGATAACCCCCGCCAGCTCTTATCTCTCCAGGCCTGCTGGGCACCCTTTCAATCCCAACCAGGGCCTTACGGGCATGAAGCTGGCATTGATGTAGTCAGAGCCTGGCTCCTCGGGGATGGGCTTCAGGGGTACCCGGGACCAGTCATCTAGGAGAAGAGGCCAGCATTAGCCATGCAGAGAGACCCAGAGAGGCACAGAGACAAGACCAAGACCCACAGACAGAAGTCACGCCGAGATGCAGGCAGGCCCTGGGAGCTATGCAGGGACCGAGAGGTGGAGGGACCACAGCTGTGGGGAGCAGGCCAGGAGGACTCTCAAAGGGACCCACGGCTAGGCGGGGTGACTCATGCGTGTAATCCCAGCACTTTGGGAGGCTGAGGTGGGTGGATCATCTGAGGTCAGGAGTTTCAGAACAGCCTGGCCCACATGGTGAAACCCCATCTTTACTAAAAATGCAAAAATTAGCCAGGCATGGTGGCGGGTGCCTGTACTCCCAGCTGCTCGTGAGGCTGAGGTGGGAGGATCCCTTGAATCCAAGAGGCGGAGGTTGCAGTGAGCTGAGACGGCGCCACTTCACTCCAGCCTGGGAAGCAGAGCAAGACTCGGTCTCAAAGTAAAAAAAAAAAAGGAAGACCACGTGGGGGGAGGGTCTTGTCTCTCATAGCAGGTAGAAGGGCACTGGGGTGGGGTGCTGACTAGATCGGGGCTGGGGCGAAAGCAGCGGAAGCCCAAGACTCACAGGGCAGCACATTTCTGTAGCGGTTCTTGGCACTGTTCTCTGGAGTTGAAGCCACCATCTGAGACTGGCTGGTGCCCACCAGGGACAGTTGCTGGGGGTGCAGGCAGAGGGGGTACCTGGTGTTGGATTTTCTCTACTTGCCCTTGAGGGGACCCCCGAGCTCCCCTTGCCTTCTTTGGCATCACCCCTTGTTTATCCCTTGTGCCCTGAGATTCTGTGGCACCCACAGAAACAGGACATATGTGTGCCAGCCACTCTGTGGGGCACTGAGGGAGCCGTGGGGACTTCTTCAGGCAGGTAAGAAAGCGGGTGTCAGGGAGAAAGGACTCACTTGGTGGGAGTGGAGATGGTTACTTTTGGACTGACCCATCATTATTTTAAGATTTCAAGGGCTGGGCGTGGTGGCTCATGCCTGTAATCCCAGCACTTTGGGAGGCAGAGACAGGTGAATCACGAGGTCAGGAGTTCGAGGCCAACCTGGCCAACATGGTGAAACCCTGTCTCTACTAAAAATACAAAAATTATCCAGGTGTGGTGGCGCGTGCCTGTAATCCCAGCTACTCTGGAGTCTGAGGCAGCAGAATTGCTTGAACCAGGGAGTAGGAGGTTGCGGTGAGCAGAGATCGTACCATTGCACTCCAGCCTGGGCAACAAGAGCAAAACTGCATCTCCCCGCCAAAAAAAAAGAGATTTCAGTGAGTGGAAAGATAAGCATGCCTGGGAATCCCTGACAAACCAACAACATATGTTGTTGCCTTTGCTTGATTCCCAGGGCCATGAGGTCTGGTCAGGGGGTGGCAGCGAGGGCCAACAGAGGAGGCTGAGCTGAGCCCCTCTGTCCTCCCCGCACCTGGTACTCCTCTGCAAAACCACAGCTGCTGTCCTTCTCATTCCTCCTGACGTGGTCAGCAAAGTCTTCAGCCGGGATGTCCCCTGGGAAGCTGCGGTTTGGGGGGAGTAGGGAGAAAAGACTCTTTGAATCTTGCACTTTTGAGGGCCAGTCCTGGTGACTCACGCCTGTAATCCCAACACTTTGGAAGGCCAAGTTGGGTGGATCACCTGAGGTCAGGAGTTCGAGCCCAGCCTGGTCAACATGGTGAAACCCTTTCTCTACTAAAAGTACAAAAATCAGCCCGGTGGCCGGGCGCGGTGGCTCAAGCCTGTAATCCCAGCACTTTGGGAGGCCGAGATGGGTGGATCACGAGGTCAAGAGATCGAGACCATTCTGGTCAACATGGTGAAACCCCGTCTCTATTAAAAATATTAAAAATTAGCTGGGCATGGTGGCATGTGCCTGTAATCCCAGCTACTCGGGAGGCTGAGGCAGGAGAATTGCCTGAACCCAGGAGGCGGAGGTTATGGTGAGCCAAGATTGCGCCATTGCACTCCAGCCTGGGTAACAAGAGCGAAACTCCATCTCAAAAAAAAAAAAGAAAAAAAAAATCAGCTGGGTATGGTGGCAGGCACCTGTAGTCCCAGCTACTCAGGAGGCTGAGGCAGGAGAATTGCTTGAACGCGGGAGGTGGAGGTTGCAGTGAGCCAAGATCGCACTCACTGCACCCCAGCCTGGGTAAAAGGGTGAGACTCCATCTCACAATAATAACAGTAATAATAATAATAAACCTACTCAGACAGCCCTACACTCCAACTTCTCATGCAGACCAGTTTTCTCTCCTTCTTGTCATTCTATCACGGGCCCTGAGGCTGTACCCACTACTGCAGGGAATGCCTTTCTCCATATCATCTCGGCCTCCCTGTCTGTGATTGCAAAGGCCTCACCTGCCTGACTGCTCAGCAGTGGCTGAGCCTTGCCTGTTCTCCTGGATCTGCACTGCTCCTGAACACCCAGGCCTGGCTTGGCCCCCACCTGCCCGGCTGCTGCTTGTCCATTTCCTGGGCAGGCCCCTCCTCCTCGGTCCATCTTCAAAGGTACGTGTTCCCCACTGTTCCTCCCCAAGCTGCTGGACACACATTTCTTACAGGGTTTGGCCCATTCCTGCAGTTTCACTTTCCCTCTCTCTTTCTTTCTCTCTCTTTCTTTCCCTTCTTTCTTCCTTTCCTTCTCTTTCTTTCTCTCTTTCTTTCCTTCCTTCCTTTCTTCCTTCTTTCTTCTATTTTTTTTCTTTTTGAGACCGAGTCTCCCTCTGTTACCCAGGCTGCTACCCAGTGGTGTGATCTTGGCTCACTGCAACCTCAGCCTCCCAAGCTCAAGCGGTTCTCCTGCCTCAGCCTCCCGAGTAGCTGGGATTATAGGCACTGGCCACCATGCCTGGCTGATTTTTGTATTTTTAGTAGAGATGGGGTTTTGCCATGTTGGTCAGGCTGGTCTCAAACTCCTGACCTCGAGTGATCCGCCCGCCTTGGCCTCCCAAAGTGCTGGGATTACGGGCGTGAGCCACTGCACCCGGCCTCCTGTCTGGGTTATTACAAATCTCTTCCCTTTGCTTCTTACAGGTTAGACTGAGTCACTAGCCTATTCAAAATCGTCACAAAACTCCCATCTCACAGTAGATCCAAAATCCTAACTTTCATCTACAAATCTGTCCCTGCTCTGGCCCCGCTGATGCCTCTCTGACCTCACTTCCCACGGCCCTCCCCTTCCTCTGCTCCGTTGGAAATGCAGGATGTCCTCTGAACCCCACGTGTGCTGCTGCCTCAGGCTCCCCGCTCGCCTCCCTGTCCTCAGAACGCCTTCCCAGATGCATGCACGGCTCCTCTCCCACTTGCTTAGGTCTGTCCTCAGATGACTTCCTCTTAGTCATCCCGTTAGCCAGACTTTCCTTGAATATCCTGCCTAAAATATTCCTGCTGGGTGTGGTGGCTCACGCCTGTAATCCTAACACTTTGGGAGGCTGAGGTGGAAGGATTGCTTGAGGCCAGGAGTTCAAGACCAGCCTGGACAACCTAGTGAGACCCCCCCCTCCCACCACCGCTGAAAAAAATTTAAAAATTAGCCAGGCATTGTGGTGTGTGCCTGCGGTCCCAGCTACTGGGGAGGCTGAGGAGGTAGGAGGATCACTTGAGCCCAGGAGGTCCAGGCTGCAGTGAGCTACGACTGAGACACTGCACTCCAGCCTGGGCCACAGAGTAAGACTCTGTCTCAACAAATTAATAAATAAAATAAAATTTTAAAAATCCTCTGATTTTCCCTCTAATTTTCACATTAGAAGAATATTAAAATATTCCTCTGCCCTTCCTATCCCCTCCTCTTGCTCTGTCTACAAGTTTATTATATTATTTTATATATTATTAATACATATATATTTTCTCTTTCTTTCTCTCTCTCTCTCTCTCTCTCTCTCTCTCTCTCTCTCTTTCTTTCTTTCTTTCTTTCTTTCTTTTTTTGAGACGGAGTTTCCCTCTTGTTGCCCAGGCTGTAGTGCAATGGTGCAATCTCGGCTCACTGCAACCTCCGCCTCCTGGGTTCAAGCAATTCTCCTTCCTCAGCCTCCTGAGTAGCTGGGATTACAGGCACACGCCACCGTGCCCAGCTAATTTTTTTGTATTTTTAGTAGAGACGGGGTTTCACGGTGTTGGCCAGGCTTGTCTTGAACTCCTGACCTCGTGATCCATCCTCCTTGGCCTCCCAAAGATTATAGGTGTTAGACACTGTGCACAACCTTTTTTTTTTTTTTTTGAGACGGAGTCTCGCTCTGTCACCCGGGCTGGAATGCAGTGGCGCAATCTCAGCTCACTGCAACCTCTGCCTCCCAGGTTCAAGTGATGCTGCTGCCTCAGCCTTCTGAGTAGCTGGGATTATAGGCATGAGCCACCATGCCTGGTCCTGACTCCAAGTTTATATCATGTTGTTTATGGTCTTGCTTATTGATGTCTCCGGTACTAGAATGTAAGCCCCAGAGGGCAGGACTCCTGGTTTAATTTACTGCTTGCTTGGCAGCTGGAACAGTGCCTGACACATGCAGTGCTCAGCTGATATCTGCTGAATGAATGAATGAATGAATGAATGAACGTCCTGGAGCTGACACCAGAACTGAATTTAAAGTCACTGGCCCAGGCTGCTTGGGGAGTGAGCTGCAATGGAAGGGCCATGGTCCCCATCTCAGGGGCTTCAGTCCCTTCTGAGGTGTTTGTGGGTAGATTCACCGATCCACCTTCTGACTTAGCTAGCAGCCACCAAACACCCCTTGATTCGACTAGATTCTTTCCGATGCGCCCCCGCAAACCTTCTGCTCACCTGAAGACCAGATCACTGAGTTCTGGTTTCTGCTGGTTCTTCTTATTCCTGGGAAAAGGAATTAGGATGAAAGGCTCAGGGAGTGAGGCTGCAACCAGGGGTCCTCCTCCTTCTCCGGCCCCCACCCTCCAGGCGGTCAGCCCTGTGCTGAGTCTCACCTCCTCTTCAGGAAGAAAATAAGCAGGCCCACCAGGATGAGAAATAGAAGGGTGCCCACAACGGCTCCGGCAATGACCCCTACGGGGAGGAAGCATTGGGAACCCTCAGAGCACAGGTCTTATCTACTCCTCTGTCTCCAACCTTGCCTAGCCTTTCCTCTTCCCCAGAAACCTGGTCCAAACACAGCTGACCCTTGCACAACGTGGGTCTGAATTGCGTGGGTCCAGTTATGCTTATCCACGGATTTTCCTCCACCCATGAGACAGCAAGACCACCCCTCTTCTTCCTCCTCCCCCTCTGCCCACTCAGCTTGAAGACCACAAGGATGAAGACCTTTCTGATGATCCACTTAGTAAATAGTGAATACACTTTCTGTTCCTTACGATTTTCTTTTTTCTTTTTTTTTTTTTTGAGATGAAGTCTCACTCTGTTGCCCAGGCTGGAGTGCAGTGGTGTGATCTCGGCTCACTGCAACCTCTGCCTCCCTAGGTTCAAGTGATTCTCCTGCCTCAGCCTCCCGAGTAGCTGGGATTACAGGCACCTGCCACTGCACCTGGCTAATATTTATAGTTTTAGTAGAGACAGGGTTTCACCATCTTGGCCAGGCTGCTCTTGAACTCCTGACTTCATGATTCACCTGCCTTGGCCTCCCAAAGTGCTGGGATTACAGACATAAACCACTGCACCTGGCCAAGATTTTCTTAATGACATTTTTTTTCCTAACTACTTTATTATAAGAATACAATATGGCCGGGCGCGGTGGCTCAAGCCTGTAATCCCAGCACTTTGGGAGTCTGAGGCGGGTGGATCACAAGGTCAGGAGATTGAGACCATCCTGGTTAACACAGTGAAACCCCATCTCTATTAAAAATACAAAAAAATTAGCCAGTCATGGTGGCACATGCCTGTAGTCCCAGCTACTTGGGAGGCTGAGGCAGGAGAATCACTTGAACCCAAGAGTTGGAGGTCACAGTGAGCCAAGATCGCGCAACTGCACTCCAGCTTGGGTGACAGAGCGAGACTCTGTCTCAAAAAAAAAAAAAAAATACACCGGGCGCGATAGCTCACGCCTGTAATCCCAGCACTTTGGGAGGCCGAGGCGGGTGGATCACGAGGTCAAGAGATTGAGACCATCCTGGTCAATATGGTGAAACCCCATCTCTACTAAAAATACAAAAAATTAGCTGGACATGGTGGCGCGTGCCTGTAATCCCAGTTACTCAGGAGGCTGAGGCAGGAGAATTGCCTGAACCCAGGAGGCGGAGGCTGTGGTGAGCCGAGATTGCGCCATTGCACTCCAGCCTGGGTAACAAGAGCGAAACTCCGTCTAAAAAAAAAAAAAAAAAAACATATATAATACATATTACAGACAAAATATATGTTAATTGTCAATGTTATTGGTAGGGCTCCCAGTCAAGAGTAGGCTGTTAGTAGGCAAGTTTTTGGGGAGTAAAAATTACATGCAGATTTTTGACTGCGTAGGGGATTATCGTTCAGGGGTCAACTGTCCATCATTTTCTCAGGTGACCTGGTTGGTGAAGAGTGACTCCTGACCAGGCCCGGTGACTCACGCCTGTAATCCCAAAACTTTGGGAGGCTGAGGTGGGTGGATCAGGAGTTTGAGATCAACCTGGGCAACACAGCAAAACCCTGTCTCTAATAAAAACACAAAAATTAGCTGGGCGAGGTGGCACACACCTGTACTCTCAGCTACTCAGGAGGCCGAGGCATGAGAATCACTTGAACTCGGGAGGTGGAGGTTGCAGTGAGCCAAGATGGTACCACTGCACTTTAGCCTGGGCTATACGGCAAGACGCCGTCTCAAAAAAAAAAAAAAGGAAAAGAAGAAAAAAAACACAAAATAGCTGGGCATGGCAGTACATGCCTGCAGCCCCAGCTACTCAGGGGACTGAGGCAGGAGGATCACTTGAGCCTGGGAAGTGGAGGCTGCTTTGAGCCGTGATCGTATTGCTGCACTCCAGCCTGGGCAACAGAGCGAAACCCTGTCTCAATGACAGAAAACCCCAATCAACAAAAAACAGTGACTCTCGCCTTCCTTAGCCTAGACTAGTGCTTCTCAACAAGGGCGATTTCGTTGCCAAGTAGACACTGGGCAATGTCTGGAGAATTTGGACAGCTCGGATGTGGGGGTGCTGCTGCCATCTAGTGGGTGAAACCAGGGGGGCTCCTCAATACCCTATGACGCACAGGACAGTATTGAAGGATCTAGCGCAAAGCATCTATAGTGCCGAGGCTGGGGAAACACTTTGCTGGCTGTGAGATTGTCCCCGGCACGGATGGCTTCCGTCCTCCCCAGAATTGCAGCTTCACCTCCTCGGAGGTCCTGCTGGCTCAGGAAGGACTGCCCAGCAGCGGAGCCTACCGAGGCCTGGTGGCATCTGAGGCCGTGCCTGCTCTCAGGCTCTGACGGGCACGGCTCTCCCAAGACCTGTCGTTAGATGCCTGGTCTTAGGGTAGACTCCAGCCGGTGGCCCGTCTCTATCAGCCTTCAAGGCCCCCAGGCTGCAGCCACGAAAAGTGTGCTTGTCAACAGGGGACAGCAGGGTCTTATAACCTTGTTACTAAGGGAGAGAACTTTCTAGTCAGTGGGGGTCTGGAAAAGCCCAGTGTGAAAGGCATCCGTGGGTCGTCGCATCAACCCCCAGGCTCTCTCCAGATTGGAGGCCCTATTCCCGGGAAGTGATTGATGGGGCAAAGTGAGGCTTATGGCCAGTCTTGGTATATGGCCAGACCTTTCCCAAACCTCTTCAAGTACCCCATTGATTAATGCAAAGTGATACAACCACATTAGGAGGGGGAAAAAGGGCAGTTAAATGTACAGTTCCCATGTGACTGTTCCACTAGTGGGTATAGACCCAAGAGAAATAAAAACATATGTCCACACAAAACCTGCCCACAAACGTTCCTAGCAGCATTGCCCATAATAGTCAAAAGCAGAAACCACTCAATTGATGTATCAACTGGAGCAGTGAATGGATAAAAACGAATGGATAGGCCAGGTGTGGTGGCTCACGCCTGTAATCCTAACACTTTGGGAGGCCGAGGTGGTGGATCACCTGAGGTCAGGAGTTCGAGACCAGCCTGGCCAACAAGGTGAAACCGCATCTTAAAAAAAAAAAAAAAAAAAGAGGTTAAATAAGTTGGGAGGATGGAGAAGAGGCGGAATAGGAGGACTAGAGGGAAGAAGGGATAAACAGCAGGAGAGGAGAGGGGTACAAAGTGAGGCACAGAATCCCAGGGAAAAAGAAACAAGAGCTAGAGAGAGAAGGGGAGAATGAGACAGCTGTGCAGAATTAGGGAGGGAAGCACAGTAATGAAGAAAGGGGCTGGGCGCAGTGGCTCGCCGCCTTTAGGAGACTGAGGCAAGGGGATAGATGGAGTGCAGGAGTTCAAGGCATCCTGCACAACAATAGTGAGACCCCATCTCTGCCAAAAAAAAAAAAAAAAAAAAAAAAGAAAGTCATCGGGCATGGTGGTGCACACCTGTACTCCCAGCTACTCTGGAGGCCAAGGCAGGAGAGTCCCTGGAGCCCAGGAGGTCCAGGCTGCAGTGAGTCCAGATCACGCCACTGCACTCCAGCCTGGTCCACAGAGCCAGACCCTGTCTCAAAAGAAAAAAAAGGGCTGGGCACAGTGGCTCAAGCCTGTAATCCTAGCAGTCTGGGAGGCCGAGGTGGGTGGATCACCTGACGTCAGGAGTTCGAGATCAGCCTGGCCAACATGGTGAAACCCCATCTCTACTAAAAATACAAAAATTAGCCAGGTGTGGTGGCACATGCCTGTATTCCCAGCTACTCAGGAGGCTGAAGCGGGAGAATCGCTTGAACCCGGAGGTTGCAGTGAGCTGAGACTGCACCACTGCACTCCAGCCTGGGCAACAAGAGCAAAACTCTATCTCAAAAAATGAAATAAAGATGTTTCAAAGGAAACGAGAAGCAAAAGAATCCCATTGATTTCCTCACAAAGCGGGGCCTGCTGGGGTCTACTGAGAATTTTGTCAAAGCTCCCTGGCCCACGCGGCTCTGCTCACCTGCACTCTCGGTGTGGCAGGTCACAGAGGCAGAGGTGGCCCTCATTCCGTCCCAGATGGTCATGATGGTGGCTGGGTAGGACTGAGCCGGCCCGAGACCCAACACAGACACACCCTTCCCACACGAAGCTCTGTCCTGGGAGCCTCGCTGTCCACCCACCTCCAACTCAAAGGCCTCGTAGCCTCCCTGGGGGCAGGACCAGGTCAAGATGACTCCATAGCCCCCTGAGGTGCTGACGCAGGAAGTGATGGTAACTGTGTCTGGGTCTGGGTGAAGGAAGCAAGATGTCAGCAGAGCCATCCAAGGTGGCTTTCCAGCCCCACCCCCACTACTCAGTTCTCAGAGACAAGCCACCCCTTCCTCCCCAACCCAAACCACCTCATCTTCCCTCCTTTTCTGTCCTTCCCAAATGGACACAAGTAAGTCCCTTCAAACTACAACTCCCATGACGCCTTGGGCTCCGCCATCACTGCAGCTCATGAAGTCATGGCCCATGGCCTGATGGGATTTTTACTCCATTCATCTCTCAGCCCTCAAGACCTGAGCTAAGCCCAGTTCACCAGGTGAAGGCAGGAAGGGGTGGGGAAGGGGCTGGTCTCACTTGTGGACACACGGATGCTTTGCGTGGAACTGGCCATGTCGTTTCTTTCTGCCCACACGGTGAAGTTGTACAGAGTCCCGGGTTCCAGGGCCTCCACCTTGTACCATGTCTCATTGGTCCTGCTGGACTGGTTGGCCCAATTCACTTGGGGATCTTGCTCCCTCTGGGGATGTCCCTCGCTGGCCCACTGGACCCTGTATACGTACAGCTGAGAGTAGGGGTCTCTGGGGGCCTGCCACCACAGCGTGACTGAGTTGTCAGTCTGAGTTTTGTTCTGGAGATCCGTGACCTCACTGGGAGCTGAGAAGTGAGGACAGAGAACTAAAGGGGTAGCCTCAAAGACCCTCTTACCCCAGCCTGCCTGCCAGCCTCTCCCCCACAGCAAAGCTGAGATACCCATTATCAATGGCTCCAGTGGCTAAGGAGGCTGAACCACAGGAAAGAGCCTAGACACCCAAACACCGTGAGGACCAGACTCTCCCAGCCCTCTCTGTCCCCTGGCTACAACCCTGGGTCACACCCTGTCATCTTTCTGTTCTTCCCAGATGCACATCAGTCCCACCCACTGAAACTACAACCCCCATGAGGCCATGGACTCTCTGTATCACTGCCGCTTATGAAGTCATGGCCCCATGGTGTGGGACCATGTAAGGAACCCCAGGTAAGTGCCTTCTCGCTCTAGACACGCCAAATTTCATCTTTTTAGGCCAAATGACCAAGGATTAAAGAGTTTCAGGTTAAGGCTAGGCACAGAGGCTCACTCCCCTAATCCCAGTGCTTTGGGAGGCCGAGGTGGGAGAATCACTTGAGCCCAAGAGTTTGAGACCAGTGTGGGCAACATAATGAGATTCTGTCCCTACAAAAAAATAATATTGTAAATTATCTGGGCATGGTGGTGCCTGCCTGTGGTCACAGCTACTCAGGATGCTGAGGTGGGAGGATCACTTGAGCCCAGGGGGTCGAGGCCACAGTAAGCCATGATCATACCACTGTACTCCATCCTAGGCAACAGGGCAAGACCCTGCCTCAAAAAAAAAAAAAAAAAAAGGATGAACCTAGTCTCCCAAGTGATTTTGATTCTTCTCATGAGTGGGACCCACCATGCCCAGGCTGAGAGGCAGTGCCCTCTTGATTCATCTAATTCCCTGGGACCACCTTTAGCTGTTGTCCAGCTGGTGACTTTATCAGCTCCTAAGAAGTGGTGCTAGACAGTCCGGAGCCCTCCCTGACCCCAAAGAGCCCATTTCCCAAAGGGAGAAAAGAAGGTCCCACAGCTTGGAAAGTCCAGGCTGCTGAGAAATGACACCCCCAGGCCAAGCGCAGTGGCTCACACCTCTCATTCCAGCACTCTGGGAGGCTGAGGTGGGAGGATCACCTGAGGTCAGAAGTTCGAGACCAGCCTGGCCAACATGGTGAAACCCCGTCTCTACTAATAATACAAAAATTAGCTGGGTGTGGTGGCGTGCACCTGTCCTCCCGGCTACGCGGGAGGCTGAGGCAGGAGAATTGCCTGAACCCGAGAAGCAGGGGTTGCAGTGAGCTGAGATCACTGTACTCCAGCCTGGCGACAGTGAGAGACTCCATCTAAAAGCAAACAAAAAAACGACACCCCCTAGGAACAGGACCCACAGGTTTAAGCTCTGGAAGGGCCCAAGAGCACTATTCATCTCCCAAGGAGCTCGCAAAGTCCCTTCCTCTTTTTCCTTCCCCTGTCCTAACTGAGCCAGGGTCAGAGCTGACAGTGTCTCACCGGTGGCTGCACTGAGGGTGCTGTTATAGCCGCTGACCTCATTCCTCTCAGCCCAGACGGTGAGGCTGTACAGGCTGCCGGCTTCCAGTTCCTTTAGGGTGATTTCAGTTCCTGAGGTGTTTTGGGTCCTGGGGTTAGTAATGCCTTCCCCCACGCACGAGACCCAGTAGGTGTAGGAAGACTGGCCTGGGCCCTGGGGAGCTGTCCAGCGCAAGGCAATGGAGCTGTTGGTCCAGTCCTGCATGCTGAGGTTTCTCACTGCGTTGGGGACTGGGAGAGGGAGCAGAGAGTCAGGATTTACACGGATCCTAGTCCTCAAGGGTCCGGAACACAGTGATATCCCCTGCCCTCATGCAGCCCAGCTCATTAAGAAACACTTCCTGGAGGGGCACAGTGGCTCACGCCTGTAATCCCAGCACTTTGGGAGGCCGAGGTGGGTGGATCGCCTGAGGTCAGGAATTTGAGACCAGCCTGACCAACGTGGAGAAATCCTGTCTCTACTAAAAATAAAATATTAGCCGAGCATGGCGGCACATGCCTGTAATCTCATCTACTCGGGATGCTGAGGCAGGAGAATTGCTTGAAGCCGGGAGATGCAGGTTGCAGTGAGTCAAAATTGCCCCACTGCACTCCAGCCTGAGCAAAAAGAGCAAAACTCTGTCGAAGAAAGAAAGAAGAAAGAGAAAGAAAGAGAGAGAAGGAAGCAGGGAAGGAAAGAAGGAAAGAAAAGAAAGAAAGGTAGAGAGAAAGAAAGAAACAGAGAGAGGGGGAAGGGAAGGAAGGAAAGAAAGAAACACTTCTGGGCAGGGCACAGTGGCTCCGGCCTGTAATCCCAGCACTGTGGGAAGCTAAACCAGGAGGATTGCCTGAGCCCAGGAATTTGAGACCAGCCTGAGCAACATAGTGAGACCCTATCTTTACTAAAAATTAAAACAAATTAGCTGGGCATAGTGCCACACACCTGTAGTCTCAGCTACCAGGGAGGCTGAGGTGGGAGGATTGCTTGATCTTGGGAGGTTGAGGCTGAAGTGAGCTATGATTGTGTCTCTGCATTCCAGCCTGGGAGACAGAGCAGGACCCTGTCTCAAAAGAGAGAGACAGAGGCCGGGCACAGTGGCTCACACCTGTCGTCCCAGCACTTTGGGAGACCAAAGTGTGTTGATCACTTGAGGCCAGGAGTTCCAGACAAGCCTGGCCAACATGGCAGAACCCTGTCTCTACTCAAAATACAAAAATTAGCTTGGTGTGGTGGTGTGTGCCTGTAGTCCCACCCACTGGGGAGGCAGAGGCAGGAGAATCACTTGAGCCTGGGAGGCAGAGAATGTAGTAAGCTTAGATTGGCCACTGCACTCCAGTCTGGGTGACAGAGGAAACTCTGTTGAAAGAAAGAAGTAAGGAAGGGAGGGAGGGAGGGAGGGAGGGAGGGAGGGAGGGAGGAAGAGAGAGAGAAAAAAAAGAAAAAGAAAGAGAGGGAGGGAGGGAGGAAGGGAGGAAGGGAGGGAGGAAGGAAGGGAGGGAGGGAGGGAGGGAGGGAGGGAGGGAGGAAGGGAGAAAGAGAGGAAGAGAGAGAGAAAAAAAGAAAAAGAAAAAGAGGGAGGGAGGGAGGAAGGGAGGGAGGAAGGAAGGAAGGAAGGGATGGAGGGAGGGAGGAAGAGAGGAAAGGAGCAAGGGAGAAAGAGAGAGAAAAAAAGAAAAAGAGGGAGGGAGGGAGGGAGGGAGGAAGGAGGAAGGGGAGAGGATGAAAGAAAGAAAAAAGAGAAAGGAAGGAAAGAAAGAAAAGAAGAAGGAAAAAGAAGGAAGAGGAAAGAGAAAGAAAAAAGAAGGGGGAAGAAAAAGGGAAGGAAGAAAGAGGAAAGAGAGAAAGAAAGATGGAAGGAAGGAAAGAAAGAAAGAATAAAGAAAAGAAAAGAGGAAGACAGGAGAAGAAAGAACAGAAGACTTCCTAGCGATGAGCCCTAAAATGTCCTGCGTCCCCGCAGCGCCACGCTCAGTGGCAGTAAGCCTCTGGACCGGCTCCGGTCTACTTCAGGGCAGAGCGAGCCCCAGCTGTGATGGCATCTGCCCCGTGGACTTAGAGAAAGGGACGTCAGGCTCAGGGAGTCTGCAGAGCCTACCAACTACAGAGCCAGAGCCCAGGGAGGTGCCGTGCATTTCTGCCGGTTCTGAACCTCTCAGCAAAACAGGGAGTGGGCACTGAGGGCTCCCACCTGTGGAAACGCTGAGATTCTCCCTGGAGCCAAGTGCGCCATTTTTTTCTGCCCATACAGAGAACGTGTACGAGGTTCCGGGTGCGAGTCCCTCCGCCGTCGCACTGGTGTCTGTTGTGTTTTGGGTCTCCGTTCTGCCACCGTCTCCAGTGCACTCCACCCAGTAGGTGTACTCCTGACCGTCTGGGCCACGGGGGGCCTCCCAGCTCAGGGCAATGGAGCTGTTGGTCTGGGCCTTCATGTGCAGGTTTCTCACTGGGTTGGGGGCTGAGAAATTAGGAAGAAAGAGTGAGCAGAGATACAGAACAAAGCAGGGCATGAGTGGGCCCCTCACTGCCCTCAATATTCTTAGCTTTCATTCAACTGCCAGTACCAGCAGACGCAGGGTGTATGGTCTAGACCTGTGTTTCTCAAACTTTAATGTGCTGGATGCTCATGCCTGTAATCCCAGCATTTTGGGAGGCTGAGGAGGGTGGATCACCTGAGGTTGGGAGTTCAAGCTCAGCCTGGGCAACATGATCAATGGGGTTTAGTAGAAATCCTGTCTCTAGGCCGGGCGCGGTGGCTCATGCCTGTAATCCCAGCACTTTGGGAGGCTGAGGCGGGTGGATCACGAGGTCAAGAGATCGAGACCATTGTGGTCAACATGGTGAAACCCCCTCTCTACTAAAAATACAAAAAATTAGCTGGGCATGGAGGCTGAGGCAGGAGAATTGCCTGAACCCAGGAGGTGGAGGTTGCAGTGAGCAGAGATCATGCCATTGCACTCCAGCCTGGGTAACAAGAGCAAAACTCCGTCTCAAAAAAGAAAGAAAGAAAGAAAGAGAAAGAAAGAAAGAAAGAAAGAAAGAAAGAAAGAAAGAAAGAAAGAAAGAAAGAAAGAAAGAAAGAAATCCTGTCTCTACTAAAAATATAAAAGTTAGCCAGGCATGGTGTGGTGCGTGCCTGTAATTTCAGCTACTTGGGAGGCTGAGGCACAAGAATCGCTTGAACCCGCAAAGCAGAGGTTGCAGTGAGCCAAGATCACACCACTGTACTCCAGCCAGGGCAACAGAGTGAGATTCTGTCCCACCTCCGCCCCCCCCAAAAAAAAGAAAGAAAAAGAAAAAACTTCAATGTGTGCACACCCCCCAGGATCTGGTTAAATGCGGGTTCTGAGCAGTAGGTCTGGGATGGAGCCGAGATCCTGTGTTTCCCAGTCAGCTCTGGGGAACACTGAGGCTGCTCACACGTGGGTCATAATTTGAGCAGCACTACAGCTTCCATACGTGTGACCCCTCCCACAAATGCACATGCTGAAACCTAGTCCCCAGTGGAATCGCATTCAGAGGTAGGGCCCTTTATGCCTGGGGTTACTGCCCTGAGAAGAGCACCAGCGACCCAGAACAAGGGCTCATGCCTGTAATCTCAGCACTTTGGGAGGCCGAGGTGGGTGGATCACGAGGTCAAGAGATCGAGACCATCCTGGCCAACATGGTGAAACCTGTCTCCACTAAAAATACAAAAATTAGCCAAGCGTGGTGGCACACACCTGTGGTCCCAGCTACTCGGGAGGCTGAGGCGGAAGAATCGCTTGAACCCAGGAGGTGGAGGTTGCAGTGAGCCAAGATTGTACCACTGCACTCCACCCTGGTGACAGAGCAAGACTCCATCTCAAAATAAATAAATAAATAAATAAGTCAGGCGTGGTGGCTCACACCTGTAGTCCCTGCTACTTGGGAGGCTGAGGTGGGAGGATTGCTTGAGCTCAGGAGTCCAGCCTGGGTGACAGAGCGAGACTCTGACTCAAAAAAAAAACCAAAAAAGCAGCTGAGTGCAGTGGTTCACACCTGTAATCCCAGCACTTTAGGAGGCCAAGGTGGGTGGATCACAAGGTCAGGAGTTCGAGACCAACCTGGCCAACATAGTGAAACCCCATCTCTACTAAAACTACAAACAAAAAGCAGCCAGGCGTGGTGGTGCCCACCTGTTATGCCAGCTACTCGGGAGGCTGAGACAAGGAGAGTTGCTTAAACCCAGGAGGCGGAGGTTGCAGCGAGCAGAGACTGTGCCACTGCACTCCAGCCTGGGCGACTGTGCAAGACTCTGCCTCAGAAAAAGAGAGACAGAGAGACTCAAGGGAGCGTTCTGTGTGGTCTCTCATTTTCCAATATGGTGGGCACCAGCACAGCAGAGGACGAAGGGAGGACTGGCCTTTCGGACACATGAAATGTGCATCTGAATTTGCAGTTTCATGCAGCATTTACGAGTTTAGATGTCATCGCCACCTGTGGCTGGAGGCTACCGTATTGGGCAATGGAGATCTAGACGGGGGAGCGTCCACCTAAAGGTCATGGAGCCGATGATCTGAGTCTCCAGCCTCAATATGTGACACAGCTGGGAACTAGGAGAAGAGTCAGAGGGTCAGAGTGTCCCCACTCATAGCATCTAATTCCTTGAGAGCTCAGGTCACACGCCTTGGCCCCTGCGCATTCCTGGTGGTGCAGGAAGACGCTCCCTGGCCTCATGGTCCACATTCTCCAGAGTCCTCGACACAGACCCGCCCCAACTTAGAAGCTGGAGGTACCAGAGACAGTCATTCCCTCTTCATCTCCTGCGCTGAGGCTGCCCAGGATGTGGACATGAGGACCTGGCTCGATGTGGCACAGAGGGACTATGGGCTGGACAATCGGCCACGTTCTGCAGCCGTCTCCCCTTAAACAAATGGCGACCGCGTCTCACCTGTGGTGGCATTTCGAGTGTCCTGGGAGCTGTTGACTCCATTCTTCTGCACCCACGCGGAACATGCATACAGAGCCCCGGGTTCAAGTCCATCCACGGCGACGACGGTGTCTGTTGTGCTTTGAGTCTCTGTGGTGCCACCATCTCCGGTGCACTCGACCCAGTAGGTGGAGTTCCATGGGTCTGGGCCCTCGGGGGCCTCCCAGCTCAGGGTGATGGAGCTGGCGGTCTGGGCCTCCACTGTCAGGTTTCTCACTGGGTTGGGGGCTGAGAAATTAGGAAGAGAGATCCAATGTGAACAGAGATTCAGAAAAAAAAGAGGGGGCAGGCAGTGGGCGTCTCTGGCCCTTGATGTTCCCAGTTCTTCCAAACTGTCGCCACCAGCGGATGCGGACAGACTGTGATGTGTGCACATCTCATGGGGCCCTGAGGAGTGGGTCTGAGACGGAGCTGAGACCCTGCCTTTCCAGTCAGCGCTCCGTGATGCTACCTACCCACGTAGTTTTGGTCGTAGTTTGAGTAGCAAGGATCTGGGCCAGAACCTTCCTTTTTTGTTTGTTTGTTTGAGACGGAGTCTCACTCTGCTGCCCAGGCTGCAGTCAGTGCTGTGATCTCGGCTCCCTGCAACCTCTGCCTCCCAAGTTCAAGTGATTCTCGTTTCTCAGCCTCCCAAATAGCTGGGACGGCAGCCATTCGCCACCACGCCTGGCTAATGGCACTTTCCGACTGAATTTCCTTGACGCTAGAAATGCTCTCCTGCCTTCCAATACGGCAGGCAGCTCTCCCAGTGGAGGGCGTGGAGGAACAGAAAGCTCTCGACCAGGTCCATGAAACGTGGCACTGAACTGGCAATACCATGCAACCTTGGTGAACCGAAATTTATTCTATCATATTGTATTAGCTGTTGGAGACAAGGTCTCACTCTGTGGCCCAGGCTGGAGTGCAGTGGTGCAATCATGGCTCACTGCAGCCTCCACCTCCTGGACTCAGGTGATCCTCCTGCCTCAGCCTCCACAGGCTTGCGTCACCACACCCGGCTAATTTTTTTATTTTAGTAGAGACGAGGTATCACTGTGTTGCCCAGGCGTAGCTTCCATTAGATTTCTATTGAACTACAGAACCTGCCAGTTTTCAACCACCCCTACCACCTCCGTTTTAAAAAGAAAGAGGAGGCTGGGCACAGCGGTCCACGCCTGTAATTCCAACACTTTGGGAGGCCGAGGCGGGTGTATCACCTGACATCAGGAGTTCGAGACTGGCCTGAGCAACATGGTGAAACCCCATCTCTACTAAAAATACAAAAATTAGCCAGGTGTTGGGGGGGGTACACCTGTAGTCCCAGCTCTTTGGGAGGCTGGGGCAGGAGAATCACTTGAACTCAGGAGGTGGAAGTTGAAGTGAGCTGAGATCTGGCCATCACCCTCCAGCCTGAGTGACAGAGCAAGACTCCATGTCAAAATAATAATATAATAAAGATTAAACCCGGCAAGTGGCTCACACCTGTAATCCCAGCACTTTGGGAGGCTGAGGCAGGCAGATCACCTGAGGTCAAGAGTTCGAGACCAACCTAACCAACATGGAAAAATCCCATCTCTACTAAAAATACAAAAATAGCCGGGTGTGGGGGGGGTGCACCTGTAATCCCAGCTACTGGGGAGGCTGAGGCAGGAAAACTGCTTGAACCTGGGAGGCGGAGGTTGTGGTGAGCCGAGATCGCGTCATTTTACTCCAGCCTGGGCAACAAGAGTGAAACCCTGTCTCAAAATAATAATAATAAGATGAAAGCCCTGGCCGCCCCTCACCTGTGGGGGCGCTGAGATTCACTCGGGTGCTTTGCTCTCCATCTCCTTCTATCCACACAGAAAATGCATATGAAGACCCAGGTTCGAGTCCGTCCACAGTGACTCTGGTGTCTGTTGTGTTTCGAGTCTCCACGCTGCCACCATCTCGAGTCCACTGAACCCAGTAGGTGGAGTTCTTTGGGTCGAGACCCGCGGGGGCCTCCCAGCTCAGGGTGATGGAGCTGTTGGTCTGATCCTCCGCTCTCAGGTTCCTCACTGGGTCGAGGGCTGAGAATTGGGAAGGAGAGTCCAGTGCAAAGGGGAGCATGTCAATGCCACCCGCCACCCCTCCCCACCCCCTGAGCTCTTGCCCCAAGTCCAGAAACAACAGCACTCAAAAGCCCCGACCATGGACCACCTGGACCCCCCAGAGGCTCACGAGAGTTGGGGTCCCATCTCTTCGAGTGGGCAGTGAGTTCAGGCAGGGGTCACTCACCGGCCACACTGGCCCCTGTCCAGCTGCACAGGCCCTGGAGGGAGCCCAGAGAAAGCAGAGTCAGCCTCTGAGCCATTCCCCCACCCAGTAAGGTGGGGCTCAGAGGGGCAGCTGGTCCCCCGCCCTGGGAGTGAGTCACCCTTGCACGGGAGGGAGGGGCCGGCATTAGGCTGGGCTGTCACAAAGGTCACCCCAACCGTCTTTCCTGGGTCGAGGAGAGAAGGGGGGCATGGCAGGGGCGGAGCTCAGGGAGCTGGGCTTGGCTCCACTCAATAAGGCCGAGAGATAAAATTAATGACTTCATTTCCCTGAAATATATGGCCTTGGAAAACTGAGGGCAGAGAGCAATGAACATACTGGGAAGAGAGAAAAAAATCCAAACCTGGGGACCAGGAGCCTCGGCCTGAGGGAGGAAGGGCTGGGGACCTGGAGCCTGGGCCTGAGGGAGGAGGGGCTGGGACCAGGAGCCTGGGTCTGAGGGAGGAGGGGCTGGGACCAGGAGCCTGGGTCTGAGGGAGGAGGGGCTGGGGCTGGACTCCTGGGTCTGAGGGAGGTGGGGCTGCGACCAGGAGCCTTGGCCTGAGGGAGGAGGGGCTGGGACCAGGAGCCTTGGCCTGAGGGAGGAGGGGCTGGGGACCAGGAGCCTGGGCCTGAGGGAGGAGGGGCTGGGGTCCTGGACCCCTGGATCTGAGGGAAGAGGGGCTGAGGGGTCTGGACTCCTGGGTCAGAAGGAGAGGCTGGGGTCTGGACTCCTGACTCTAAGGAAGGAGGAGCTGGGGGTCTGGGCTCCTAGTCTGAGGGAGGAGTGGCTGGGGGTCTTGACTCCTAGTCTGAGGGAAGAGGAAGTGCGGTCTGGACTCATGGGTCTGAGGGAGGAGGGGTTGGGGTCTGGACTCCTGGGTCTGAGGGAGGAGGGGCTGGGGTGTCTGGACTCCTGGGTCTAAGGAAGGAGGGGCTGGGGGTCTGGGCTCCTAGTCTGAGGGAGGAGTGGCTGGGGTTCTTGACTCCTAGTTTGAGGGAGGAGGAACTGGGGTCTGGACTCCTGGGTCTAAGGGAGGAGGGGCTGGGGGGTCTGGACACCTGGGTCTGAGGAAGGAGGGGCTGGGGTCTGGACTCCTGACTCTAAGGAAGGAGGAGCTGGGGGTCTGGGCTCCTAGTCTGAGGGAGGAGTGGCTGGGGGTCTTGACTACTAGTCTGAGGGAAGAGGAAGTGCGGTCTGGACTCATGGGTCTGAGGGAGGAGGGGCTGGGGTCTGGACTCCTGGGTCTGAGGGAGGAGGGGCTAGGAGGTATGGACTCCTGGGTCTAAGGAAGGAGGGGCTGGGGGTCTGGGCTCCTAGTCTGAGGGAGGAGTGGCTGGGGGTCTTGACCCCTAGTTTGAGGGAGAAGGAACTGGGGTCTGGACTCCTGGGTCTAAGGGAGGAGGGACTGGAGGCCTGGACTCCTAGTCTGAAGGAGGAGGGGCTGGGGATCTTGACTCCTAGTCTGAGGGAGGAGGAACTGGGGTTTGGACTCCTGGGTCTGGAGGAGGAGGGGCTGCTCCCTGTCTGTCACTCATTTTGAGCACAGCCATGTGTCCCCTGGCAGCAGACAAGGCAGTATCTGATAGCCGGGTAGAAAACTCTCCTACAGTCTCTACCAAGCCTGAAGCCCTCTTCCTTCTCCAAGGGATCTTCAGCACCTAATGCCTCATGATAGGGGTGCAGGGACCCAGTTCCTTCTCCCTCAGACCCAGCAGGAGCCCGCTCTGGGCAGGGAGCACTTACCAGCAGCACCAGGCTCCCCCAGGCCCCGAGGTGCCCGCCAGCCCCAGTCATGCTTCCAGACACTGCCGGGGACCCAGGAGTCCCAGGCCTGGTCCTTCCACCTGCTGGACTTTACACTCAAGAATTTCCCCTTTCCCAGCTCATTGGTGAAGCCAGAGAGGCCAGGGCGGGAAGGGGAGGAGGAGGAAGTGGAACCCAGCTCCCAGCCCTGCCCAGCCAGCCTTCACCTTCCTCCCTCACCGCTGCCGCTAGCTGTGACCCTGGAGACACCTCTTCAGCCCCACATGGCATCATCGGCCCCTGGCCCACTCCTCTGCACCCAAGGTACCGGGCACTGCGCCCCACCGCTGCATGGATGTGGGACGTGGGGCAGATGATGAGCGCTGGGGCTGCTGAGAGAAAGGCCGGGTGACTCCCTTGCCTCCCTGGTGGGTGATCACACATCACACCAGCCTGGGGCCTAGAACTCACGCCCCTTGTCCCTGGGGCACGCTCTTCCATCCAGGCCTTTCCCCTCTCTCTATCTCCCACAAGCCCTTGCAGCTCTCACAAAGTGAGCCCAGCGGGTTCCCACCTCCTGGCCTTTGCCTAGGTGTCTCCCCCACCAGGCGCACCTGCCTACTTTCCCCCCAACAGTCTCCTAGCTACTCCTCCATTACGATTCGGCTTGGAAATGACCCACGCTGGGCCCAGGGGCCTTTCTAGCCTGCTCAGGACCCTTCCAAACACCAGGCTCTCTAATCTGCATCTCCACCTGTGACCCTGAACAGTGACTTCAGTTCACAGTGACTCAGATTCCTCCTCTCTAAAGAATGGGCACAGCCCCTTGTAAATACTTTAAGAGAAATAAATGAGTTACTACATGGAAAGTCTTGGAACAGTGCCTGGCCTGGAGACACTCGATAAATCTTAGTCATGTTTTAGTTCACCCCTAGGTCACCTGTGCTCAGAAGGCAGCTGACACCCTGGACTTCTCAAGGTGTTTTTGTTGACTTACTAATTATGTGCATACATGGGTTGCCTTAATCTCACGTATAGTGTGGAAGTTAAGAGTAAGAAGTGTAGCCGGGCACGGAGGCATGTGCCCAACTACTCAGGAGGCTGAAGTGTGAGGATCACTTACTTAAGCCCAGGAGTTTGAGACCAGCCTAGGCAACATAGCAGAACCCCATCTTTACAAAAGAAAGAAAGAGAGGAGAGAGAGAGAGAGAGAGAGAGAGGGGGGGGGGACAGAGAGTGGGGGAGAGAGAGAGGAACAAGAAGAAGAAGAAGGAGAAGGAGAAGGAGGAGAAGGGAGAAGGAAGAAGAAAGAAGAAAAGAAGGAAGGAAGAAAAGAAAAGAAACAGAATTAGCCAGGTGTGGTGATACACACCTGTAGTTCCAGCTATCCAGGAGGCTGAAGTGGGAGGATCACTTGAGCCTCGGAGGTGGAGGTTGCAGAAAGCTGTGATTGTGCCACTGCACTCCAGCCTGGGTGACAGCATGAGCCCCTCAGAAAAAACAGCTAGGCATGGTTACTCATACCTGTAATCCCAGCACTTTGGGAGGCTGAGGTAAGAGAATCCCTTGAGCCCAGGAGTTTAAGAGAAGCCTAGGCAATATAGGAGGATCCCATCTCTACAAAAAGTAAAGGTAAATTAGCCAGGCGTGGTGGTGCGCACCTGCCGTCCCGGCTCCTCAGGAGGCTGAGGAGGGAGGATTGCTTGAGCCCAGGAGGTGGAGGCTGCAGTGAGCTGTGGCTGCACCACACACTCCAGCCTGGGTGGCAGAGGGAGACTCTGTCTCTAAATAAATATGTTCTCACACCACCGTTCTTCAGAAGCCAGTTTCTGTTTCTCTGTCTCTGAGAGTCTTGGTTTCGCCATCTGTACAAATAAGGGTTTGGTTGTGAGAAATTCCTTTTCAGTGGACACCGGATATCATTCATACCAATTGCTTGAGTTTGTGTTCTAACCTTTCTCTGTTTTTTTCCTATATCTTAATCTTTTTCTTCTTTTTTGAGACAGAGTCTGGCTCTGTCGCCAGGCTGGAGTAGAGTGGCGCAATCTCGGCTCACTGCAGCCTCTGCCTCCCAGGTTCAAGCAATTCTCCTGCCTCCCCCTACCAAGTAGTTGGGACTACAGGTGCCCGCGATCACATCCAGCTAATTTTTGTATTTTTAGTAGAAACAGGGTTTCACCACTTTGACCAGGCTGGTCTCAAACTCCTGACCTTATAATCCACCTGCCTCGGCCTCCCAAAGTGCTGGGATTATAGGCGTGAGCCACCATGCTAAGTCAAAAACATTTTTTAATCAAGATGGGGTCTTGCTATGTTGCCCAGGATGCTCTCAAACTCCTAGGCTCAAGTGATCCTCCTGCCTCGGCCTCCCAAAGTCCTGGGATTACAGGCATGAGCCACTGCACCCAGCTGTCTCCCCTATACTTTTGATTTCTCTCTCTCTCTCTCTTTCCCTCACACTCTCTCCTTTCCCTCTCTCTTTCTCTTCCCTCCTATCTAGATCCCCAATTTGTAAACACGCTCACCTCCCTGTCTAAAGTAAAACCAAAACCTTTCACTGACTCCACACCCACCATCCCATCACAGTCTACTTGCCTTCTCTTCAAAACCCAACTTCCCAGCTGAGCACGGTGGCTCACGCCTGTAATCCCAGCACTTTGGGAGGCCAAGGCAGGTGGATCACCTGAGGTCAGGAGTTCAAGACCAGCCTGGCCAACATCGTGAAACCCCATCTTTAATAAAAATACAAAAATTAGCTGGGCATGATGGCACATGGTTGTAATCCCAGCTACTCAGGAGGCTGAGGCAGGAGAATCGCTTGAACCCAGGAGGCAGAGGCTGCGGTGAGCCTAGATCAAACCACTGCACTCTAGCCTGGGTGACAGAGCGAGACTCCATCTCAAAAAATAAAAATCAACAACAGCAAAATCAACCACTCCACAAAGCAGCCCACAATCGCTGGCTTCCAGATTCCTCATGGAGCAGGCTGCCTGTGTATGGGGAAGGCACACTAGAAACAAAACCTGTAGGATCTTGGACATGGGCCTCCAACTCCAGTCCAGCCTTCATATGAAGGCAGCCCCAGCTAACATCTTAGCAGCAACCTCATGAGAGACTCAGCCATGCTCCTCTTTTCCCCTTAAGGTCAGAAATTTTCAGGCCAGGCACGGTGGCTTATGCCTGTAATCCCAGCACTTTGGGAGGCCAAGGCGGAAGGATCACCTGAGGCTAAGAGGTCGAGACCAGTCTGGCTAACATGGTAAAACCCCCTCTCTACTAAAAATACAAAAATTAGCAAGGTGTGGTGGGGGGCACCTATGATCCCAGCTACTTGGGAGGCTGAAGCAGGGAGAATCGCTTGAATCTGGGAGGTGGAGGTTGCAGTGAACCCAGATCGCGCCATTGCACTTCAGCCTGGGCGACAGAGCAAGACTCTGTCTTAAAAACAACAACAGGCCAGGTGTGGTGGCTCACGCCTGTAATCCCAGCACTTTGGGAGGCTGAGGCAGGTGGATCATGAGGTCAGGAGATCGAGACCATCCTGACTAACATGATGAAACCCCATCTCTACTAAAATACAAAACACTAGCCAGGCATGGTGGCACAGGCCTGCAGTCTCAGCTACTTGGGAGGCTGAGGCAGGGGAACTGCTTGAACCCAGGAGGCAGAGGTTGCAGTGAGCCAAGATTGTGCCACTGCACTCCAGCCTTGCAATAGAGCAAGACTCCGTCTCAAAAAACAACAACAGAAATTCCCAAGGGGCCACTAATGAGAGCCCCAGTTAGCACAACCCTCACAACTTGGGTTCTTTGCAGCTCCTCTTAAAGTGTGATGTGGGAGGCTGAGGTGGGTGGATCACAAGGTCAAGAGATCGAGACCATCTTGGTCAACATGGTGAAACCCTGTCTCTAGTAAAAATACAAAAATTAGCTGGGCATGGTGGCGCGTGCCTGTAGTCCCAGCTACTCAGGAGGCTGAGGCGGGAGAATGGCCTGAACCCAGGAGGCGGAGGTTGCGGTGAGCCGAGATCGCGCCATTGCACTCCAGCCTGGGTAACAAGAGCGAAACTCTGTCTCAAAAAAAGAAAGGTGTGATGAGACGCCACCAAGACGGTGGTACTTGGTCTCCGGAATGATACCATCCCCAGGTCTGCTGAGCAAGAACCAGACTTGAGTCACCACAGTGGGGCAGCACAGGGCCTTGGCTCGGGTTTCCCAGAAGCAGAGCCTGAGACGAGGATTCAGATGCTGATGAACTGTTTGAGAGTTTGCTTTCAGAAGAAAAAGAGTGACAAAAGCAGTACGGGGAAGAGTAAGGAGCCAGGTGAGGCTATGACTTCAGAGGGACCCCGTCACAGAGACGGGATCTGAACTTTTAGCCTCTAATCTCTGTCTATGGGCTTTTCCAGGGGTGAGACTTTTAGGACCTTCCTAGCTAGTAAAACATGTTCCTTTCAGGTAAAGAGCAAGTCTCTAGTTTTTTGTTTTTTTTAGATGAAGTCTCACTCTCTGCTGTTACCCAGGCTGGAGTGCAGTGGCACCATCTTGGCTCACTATAACCTCCACCTCCTGTGTTAAAGTAATTCCGCTGCCTCAGCCTCCTGAGTAGCTGGGATTATAGGCACGCACCCAGCTAGGTTTTGTATTTTTAATAGAGATAGGATTTCACCATGTTGGCCAGGCTGGTCTAGAACTCCTGACCTCATGCAGTCTGCCTGCCTCGGCCTCCCAACGTGCTGGGATTATAGGTGTGAGCCACGGCACCCAGCCAAGAGCAAGTCTCTTGAGAATGTGGCATCTGCAAGCAGCAACAGTGCCTAGAAATGAGTGTTCGGTACCTGCAGAGGAGCTCTGGGTGAGGCACCAGCACATCCACCCAGAAAGCGTCACACTTGTTACCAGCCCTGAGCCAGTTCTCAGTGTTGGAACCCCTTCCATGTAAGGGATGCTTTTCCGCCAGGGAGGACTCACTGATGCTTGTCCAAGTATATACCATAAACCTTCCTCCACGTTTTTCCTAAAGGCCAATGTCCATGGTCACTGGGGATTAGAGAAAGGATTACTGGACTCTGACTCTGAATCAACCCTAATCGATAGGCACACAAAGGTCACTGTGAATCATGGTCTGACTGGTGTGCTTGGGGGTGTCAGCTGACAAATGGAGGATTCACCTAAAGACCATCATACAGTGGGTCAAGGGGACTTAGAGACCCTGTGAGGCTCCTTTCTCAGGACTTGAGAGTGTAGTTGAAATCGACGTACTTATAAAATGGCAGACACAATGCTTTGGCTTCTCTGACCTGTAATATGAAAACTTTGATGGTGCGAAGAAGAAATGGAAACCCCTAGAAAGTCCCCCATCTGTATTAGACCATCCTTTCATTGCTGTAAAGAAATGCCTGAGACTGGGTTACTTATTTATTTATTTTTGAGACGGAGTCTCACTCTGTTGCCCAGACTGGAGTGCAGTGGCATGATCTCGGCTCACTGCAACTTCCGCCTCCCGGGTTCAAGTTATTCTTCTGCCTCGGCCTCCCAAGTAGCTGACACTACAGGCGAGCACCACCACAGCTGGCTTGTACTTTTACAAAAATTTTGTATTTTAGTAGAGACGGGGTTTCACCATATTGGCCAGGCTGGTCTCAAACTCCTGACATTGTGATCTGCCCATGTCAGCCTCCCAAAGTGCTGGGATTACAGGCGTGAGCCACCACACCCAGCTAAGACTGGGTGATTTATAAGGAAGAGATGTCATTGGCTCGCAGTTCAGCAGGTGGTGCTGGTGTCTTCTCAGCTTCTGGGGAGGCCTCGGGGAGCTGTTTTACTCATGGCAGAAGGTGAAGAGGGAGCAGGCACAAAACAGGCCAAAAGCAAGAGGAGCAAGAGGGAGAGGAGGAGGTGCTACACACTCACTTTTTATTCTATTATTATTATTTTTTTTAATGGAGTCTCCCTCTGTTGCTCCGTCTGGGGTGCACTGGTACCATTTTGGCTCACTGCAACTCCACCTCCTGGGTTCAACTCGCAGATAATTTTTGTATTTTTAGTAGAGTTGGGGTTTCACCATGTTGGCCAGGGTTGTCTCAAACTCCTGACCTCAGGCAATCCACCCGTTTTGGCCTCACAAAGTGCTGGGATTACAGGCGTGAGCCACCGCACCTGCCTTGCCACACAGTTTTGTTTTTTTTTTTTTTTTTTTGAGACGGAGTTTCGCTCTTGTTACCCAGGCTGGAGTGCAATGGCGCGATCTCGGCTCACCGCAACCTCCGCCTCCTGGGTTCAGGCAATTCTCCTGCCTCAGCCTCCTGAGTAGCTGGGATTACAGGCACACGCCACCATGCCCAGCTAATTTTTTGTATTTTTAGTAGAGACGGGGTTTCAGCATTCTGACCGGGATGGTCTCGATCTCTTGACCTCGTGATCCACCCGCCTCGGCCTCCCAAAGTGCTGGGATTACAGGCGTGAGCCACCGCGCCCAGCCCGCCACACAGTTTTAAATAACCAGCTCTCTTGTGAGCTCACTCATCACCATGGGAATGGTACTAAACTATTCAGGAGTGGTCCACTTCCATCATCCAAACACCTCTCACCAAGTTCCACCTCCAACATTGTGGATTACATTTCAACATGAGATTTGCTGGGGACACACATCCAAACCATAGTACCATCCTTCCCAAATAGTCAACCCAGGGAATAACAGAGATTAGAGCCAGAAACAAGTCTTAGAAGACACGGGGGGGCATGGGAGGGTGATTCCTGTAACATTATCCTTTGATTCACATGATAAATCCATGCAGGAGCTGATGGATCTTGGAAGACAGAGGTAAGAAATGTTAATCAAGGCCAGGCGCGGTGGCTCAAGCATGTAATCCCAGCACTTTGGGAGGCCAAGGTGGGTGGATCACGAGGTCAAGAGATCGAGACCATCCTGGTCAACATGGTGAAACCCTGTCTCTACTAAAAATACAAAAAATCAGCTGGGCATGGTGGCGTGTGCCTGTAATCCCAGTTACTCAGAGGCTGAGGCAGGAGAATTGCCTGAACCCAGGAGGCGGAGGTTGCGGTGAGCCGAGATTGCGCCATTGCACTCCAGCCTGGGGAACAAGAGCGAAACTGTCTCAGAAAAAAAAAAAAAAGAAAGAAATGTTAATCAAGTGATACCTTCAGGGGTGGCTGGTCTTCATCAAATCAACACAGCCCCCGGCACTTGATATTGAGTTAATGAACTGGAAAAGGCTTTTTGCCTATAGAAGTTAGCCTGAAAGAAGGGTTTCCTCTAATCCAACAGGGATGGAAGCACACTTTGGTTCCCTTTAGGTTGTCTGGGACCTCAGTCACCTTGTCAACCCATAAGACATCACACTGTTCCCCCTCACTCCTGGGTAGCCGTTCATCCTCGCCGGAGTGGACACTTATGGGTGCTTATTCATTTATCAGCAAGATTAGTTGAATGAAGGAATGAATGATGTCTTTACCTTGACATTGGAGTTCTGTCTGATCTGCTCTCTGCCCACCTCACCAGCCTCTTCTCCTATCTTTACTCCAGATACACAGATGTCCATACGTGTTTTTATTTATTTATTTATTTATTTTTAGAAGGAGTTTCACTCGTTACCCAGGCTGGAGTGCAATGGCGCGATCTCAGCTCACCGCAACCTCCGCCTCCTGGGTTCAGGCAATTCTCCTGCCTCAGCCTCCTGAGTAGCTGGGATTACAGGCACGCGCCACCATGCCCAGCTAATTTTTTGTATTTTTAGTAGAGACGGGGTTTCACCGTGCTGACCAGTACGGTCTCGATCTCTGGACCTCGTGATCCACCCACCTCGGCCTCCCAAAATGTTGGGATTACGGGCGTGAGCCACCACGCCTGGCCCCCTGTGTTTTTCTTAACACTCCAGGCTGATTCAAACCCCAGGGCCTTTGTACACGCTGTTTCTTCTGCCTGGTAAAGTCTTTCTCCAGCAGCCAGGGCCTACTTCTCTGTCCATTTCTGGCTGACCCCAGATACAGTTGGCTATCCCCTCCTATGTTTGGAGCCAAGCTAAACAAGTCTCTTACCGTAATACTCATAACATTATCTGTGGCTGTGCCTACTTCTCCGTTCTTTTATCAGAGTGTAAGAAGCTTCTTCAGGGTAGAGACAAGTCTATTCATCTCAGGGAACATCAGGCCAACTCCACACCCAGACACTGATGGAACCTCAGGAAATATCCCTTCATCTAAATGTGATCACGTGTGTCACATGACACTCAGGAATCTGCTCTGCGTTTTCATGTAAGCTTACTCCACTCCCTCTTTCCCTGGACTCTAATCCAAGATTCGGTATTTTTTTTCTTTGAGACCGAGTCTCGTTCTGTCACCCAGGCTGGAGTGCAGTGGTGTGATCTCACCTCACTGCAACCTCTGCCCTCCTGCAACCTCCACCTCCCTGGTTCAAGGGATTCTCCTGCCTTGGCCTCCCAAGTAGCTGGGACTACAGGCGTTCGCCACCATGCCTGGGTAATTTTTGTATTTTCAGTAGAGACAGGGTTTCACCATGTTGGCTAGCTGGTCTCAAACTCCTGACCTCATGTGATTTAATTGCTTTGGCCTCCCAACATGCTGGGATTACAGGCATGAGCCACACCACTCCTGGTCACAATTAGATCTGTGATCTCACTGCAGGTGAACCAGTCCATCTTCCCACCCGGGTTTTCCGGCTTGCACTGTCCTCACGGTGTGTCCTGTGTTGCCCGTTTCTACTGAATCCAGCCCGTATTTTTCCTCTTCCTGGCCTTGCAGGGAGCCAGGATTGAAATATCCAGGAAGTGACACAGGCCTGACTCATCATCTTGCTGGAGAGCTGGGGTTCTCTAGCTCCCTCACCGCACTGAGGCAAGAAATGAGGAGTCAGGGCAGGGAGCCTCCTGGAGGTGGGCTGCCAACACCAGGCAGGCGGGGAGTGGTAATTTTCACTTGTATTGTGGGGGATGTCACACACTCACGTGAATAGGAAGAGACTGGACGGCGCCCTGAGGTCGGAGAGTAAGGTCTTGGGTGGGGCCAACCGGGACCTGACCGGGGTTACTGCCTCTGAATCAACACCTCCACGGGCTCTGCGCTAACACCCATTGCCTCCCACCCTCCACCTCTCAGTCCTGCGTGTGGCACACAGTGCTCACTGGGTGTCTGTGTGGGGGTTGAAGGCTGAAACGAACAAGGATGTGGCGGTCACAGGCTCCGGGGCACGACGACCCTGCCTTTTTTTTTGAGACAGAGTTTCGCTCTTGTTACCCAGGCTGGAGTGCAATGGCACGATCTCGGCTCACCGCAACCTGCGCCTCCTGGGTTTCACCATGTTGACCAGGATGGTTTCGATCTCTTGACTTCGTAATCCACCCGCCTCGGCCTCCCAAAGTGCTGGGATTATAGGCGTGAGCCACCGCGCCCGGCCGCCCCTTCCTCTTTTTCTCGGCCTCGTCTGGGGCTCCGTCCCTGCGGCCAAGGCTCCCTGGCTCTGTCCTTGGTGCTGACGCGATTCTGGAAGTGCGGGGAGGGGGGAAGCCCCACCAACCCCACAAGGCACAGACTCAGGAGAGAGCACAACACACGTCTTTAGCGAATCTTGCCAACCCAGGGCCAAAGCGCCCTCCACCTCAGAGCAGCACTTGTGGTGGGAATAAACAGAAAAGTGACAGTGGGGGATGAGGGAAGGCAGGACGTCCTCAGCGTCCCATGGAAAAAAACATATTTCCTCCAGATGGGATCATCGACAGCTTTTTTGAGTCTTGAGAAAATAACTATGGGCCGGGCTCAGTAGCTCACACCTGTAATAGCAGCAGTGGGAGGCTGAGGTTGGTGGATCACTTGAGGTCAGGGGTTCGAGGCCAGCCTGGCCAACATGGTGAAACCTTGTCTCTACTAAAAACACGAAAATCAGCCAGGTATGAGGCACAAGCCTGTAATCCCAGCTACTCGAGAGGCTGAGGCAGGAGAATCACTTGAATCTGGAAGGCAGAGGTTGCAGTGAGCCTAGATCGTGCCACTGCACTCCAGCCTTGGTGACAGAGCAAGATTCTGTCTCAAAAAAAAAAAAAAAAAAAAAATCAAATTATGAGAAAATTCCATCCTCCAGTTGTTCAGAACCCAGAAATCTGGGCTCTGTGGGGTTTTCCATAAAAACTGGTATATTCGTTTGCTGGGGCTACTACAACAAATAGCATAGACCAGGTGACCCAAACAACAGACGTTTGTTTTCTCACCACTCTGGAGGCTGGAGGTCCAAGATGAAGATGCGGGCAGGGTTGGTTCCTCCTGAGGCTTCTCTCCTGGGCTTGTGGATGCCCATCTTCTCCCTTGTCCTCCGTGTATATGTGTCCTAATCTCCTTTGCTGATAAGGACACCAGTCAGGTTGGATTGTGGCCCACCCTAGTGGCAAGAGCGCAGCAGCATGAACACAGCTCACTGCAGCCTCGACCTCCTGGGCTCAAGTGATCCTCCCACCCAGCCTCCTGTGTAGCTGGGACTACAGTGGCATACCTCCATGTCTGGCTTTTTTTGAGACATAGTCTTGCTCTGCTGCCCAGGCTGGAGTGCTGTGGTGCAATCTTGGCTCACTGCAACTTCCATCTCCCAAATTCAAGTGATTCTCCTGCCTCAGCCTACCAAAACCTACCACCATGCCTGGCTGATTTTTTTTTTTTTTTTTTTTTTTGAGACAGAATCTTGCTCTGTCACCCAGGCTGGAGTGCAATGGCACAATCTCAGCTCACTGAAACCTCTGCCTCCCAGGTTCAAGCAACTCTCCTGCCTCCACCTCCTGAAGTAGCTGGGATTATAGGTGCCCACCACCACACTCAGCTAATTTTTTGTATTTTTAGTTAAGATGGGATTTCACCATGTTGGCCAGGCTGGTCTTGAACTCCTGACCTCAGGTGATTCACCCTGCTCAGCCTCCCAAAGTGCTGGGATTACAGGCATGAGCCACCGAGCCTGCCCTAATTTTTGTATTTTTAAGTAGAGACTGGTTTTAGCCATTTTGGCGAGGCTGATCTTGAACTCCTGACCTCAAGTGATCCTGCCTTGGCCTCCCGAAGTGCTGGGATTACAGTTGTGAGCCACCACACCAGGCTGGCTAATTAAAAAAAAAAAAACAAAAAAACTGGAGATGGGGTTCTCATCATGTTGCTCCGGTAGATCTCAAACTCTCAAACTCCTGGGCTCAAGCGATCCATCCACCTCATTTTAACTTAATCACTTCTCCAAACACTCTGTCTGCAAATACAATCACACTCTGAGGTACTGGAGGCTACGACTCCAACTTACGAATTTTTGAAGGAGGATGAAATTCAGTTCATATAGCAGGAACGAGCTTTACACCCCCTGAAAAAGATATATTCCTCAGGTGGATGCCTCTGTTCCTTTTTTTTCAAGACTTTTTTTTTTTTTTTTGAGACAAAGTCTTGCTGCCACCCAGGCTGGAGTGCAGTGACACGATCTCAGCTCATTGCAACCTCCACCTCCTGGGTTCAAGTGATTCTCCTGCCTCAGCCTCCCGAGTAGCTGGGATTACTGGCACCCACTACCATGCCAAGCTAATTTTTGTATTTTCAGTAGAGATGGGGTTTTGACATATTGGCCAGGCTGGTGTTGAACTCCTGACCTCAAGTGATCCATCGGCCTTCGCCTCCTAAAGTGCTTTCAAAGCCTTGATTCAAAACTACAACACAATCCCACCCCCACCCCCACTGCTCAGAACCCAGAGAGCACTGGGTTTGGTAGATTCCTTCTTCCACACACACAGTAAGTTTTCTCAGTTCCATTCCCCAGAGGATGCTGACATGGGGCAGGGGAAGAATGCGTTGGCAGCTCAGGGAAAAGGACCATGGAGTTCCTGCCTTTCACCCTTCCAGGACCCAAGTGTGATCCAGAATCCTAGCGACCTTCCTGCATTCACGGTCAGAATCGAGGAGGCAGAAAGACCAGGAACCATAGCTCTTAGTCATCTCACAGGCAGGAAGCATCCTACAGAGGCCAGCTCTGGGAGGCATGCTGGGCCACGTCATTTTTGCCAGTGTCGTGGAATAAGGAAGTGTAGGATAGTGAGGAAGGCAGACTGTGGGTTTCCTCCCTACCATGCTCATCAGGGCATCCAGGTGAGGGATGAGGCTGTCCTAAAAACTTTCCAGAACTCACACACGTGTGTCGCCACCACTTTCCTGCTTGATCAGGTCTCCATTTTACGTATTTACTGATCTTCTGTTGTTACAGTCTGAACTGAGGGGTGAAACCACGGCAGAAAGCAAGGAAGGCTCGACCCCTGATCACAGAGGGAGAGGTGAACAAACAGCATTGGTTCTACCCCTTTGCAGCCCTTTCTGGGCCTCTAGGTTCTGGCAGCTCCCGGGATTGCTGTCCAGTGTTGGGAGCGCACTGGACAAGTTTGTCATTGTCAGGGAAATCCCAGTTTCTCTTGACACTGAGGAGACCATGGCACAGCCCTTCTCAGTCCTCCAGTAACTCTGCACTCTGCAGAAAAACAAACACAGAGATTCCCTACGTTTGGTTCTATGAGAGAAGGGAAGGCTGGAGAAAGGGAGTGGGGGAAATCTCTGCAGTCCTCTCAGAAAGCAAACCCTTCTACACCCGCAATCCCATGCAGTTTAGCAGAGCCCTGAGTTAAAACTAGGCCATGTAAAATAAATAAATAAATAAATGACAAAAAATTAGGCCGGGTGCAGTGGCTCACACCTGTAATCCAAGCACTTTGGAGGCCAAGGCGGGTGGATCACCTGAGGTTGGGAGTTCAAGACCAGCCTGACCAACATAGTGAAAGCCCATCTTAAAAAAAAAAAAAAAACTAGACCATGGGCTGGGTGTGGTGGCTCACGCTTGTAATCCCAGCAGTTTGGGAGGCTAAGGCAGGGGGCTCACGAGATCAGGAGTTCAAGACCAGCCTGGCCAACACGGTGAAACTCCATCTCTACTAAAAATACAAAAATTAGCTTGGCATGGTGGCAGGTGCCGCAATCCCAGCTACTCAGGAGGCTGAGGCAGGAGAATAGCTTGAACCCAGGAGGCAGAGGTTGCAGTGAGCTGAGATCATGCCACTGCACTTTAGCCTGGGTGGCAGAGCAAGACTCTGTCTAAAAAACAAAAACAAAAAAACAAAAAACAGCTAGGCAATGATGACACTTGGTGACACAAACATCTGACAAAAGAGCTGTACCCTTTATCTTTTCAAAGACCTCCTACAAACCAACTAAGGAAGCAGAAGACCCAATTTTTTTTTTTTGAGGCGGAGTTTCGCTCTTGTTACCCAGGCTGGAGTGCAATGGGGCGATCTTGGCTCACCGTAACCTCCGCCTCCTGGGTTCAGGCAATTCTCCTGCCTCAGCCTCCTGAGTAGCTGGGATTACAGGCACGAGCCGCCATGCCCAGCTAATTTTTTGTATTTTTAGTAGAGACGGGGTTTCACCATGTTGACCAGAACGGTCTCGATCTGTTGACCTCATGATCCACCTGCCTCGGCCTCCCAAAGTGCTGGGATTACAGGCGTGAGCCACCGAGCCCAGCCCCAATTTTTTTTAATGGGCAATGGACTTGAAGAGACACTTTACCAAGAATAATATCAATATGGCCACACACACACACACACACACACACAAATGGGAAGGTGAGTCATAATGAAAATTAAAACCATAAGGAAGTACCAGAACGCTGCAGCAGAAGAACTAAAACGAAAAAGACAACCAACTATTTGCAAGAATATGGGGCAAATGAAGCTTGCTGGCAGGATGGTAAACTGGTAAGCTGCTTTGAGAAACGCTCCATCGGTAACTACCAAAGACAAAGGTACGCACATCATCACTCAGCAATTCCACTGCTAGGCAGACACCTGAGGGAAAGAACTTCCTGTGTGCTCCAAAAGACAGGACAGAAATGTTGATGGTAACTGTATGCATAACAGCCCCAAACCAGAAACAGTGAGATGCTCATGAAGGGAGGGATGAAACAACACATGGTATATTCACAGGATAAATACCACACAGCAATAAAAATAAAAACACATGGCGGGCACGGTGGCTCAAGCCTGTAATCCCAGCGCTTTGGGAGGCCGAGGCGGGCGGATCACAAGGTCAGGAAATTGAGACCATCCTGGCCAACATGCTGAAACCCCGCCTCTACTAAAAATACAAAAAAATTAACCTGGCTCGGTGGCGCATGCCTGTAATCCCAGCTACTCAGGAGGCTGAGGCAGAGGAATCGCTTGAACCTGGGTGGCAGAGGCTGCCATGAGCCAAGATTGTGCCACCACACTCCAGCCTGGGCAACAAAGCAAGACTCCATCTCAAAAACAAATAAATAAAAATGAAATAAAAACACACAATGTGGATCCACATTTTATCCACAGTGTTGAGTGAAGAAAGCTAGACTCAAACAACTACATACTGTATAGTTCCATTTAGAGAAGGTTCAAGAACAGACTAATTTATGGTGATAAAGATCAGGAGAGTGGTCATTCTCGAGGCAGGGGGGTTCAAACTGGAGGGGAAACAAGAGAGCCTCCTAAGTTGCAGAAAATATTCTATACATTGATTACACTGTGTATACACAAAAACTATTTCATTGGGCCAGGTGCAGTGGCTCATACCTGTAATCAGCACTTTGGGAGGCTAAGGCGGGTGGATCACAAGGTCAGGAGTTCGAGATCAGCCTGGCCAACATGGTGAAACACCATCTCTACTAAAAATACAAAAATTAGCTGGGCTCAGTGGCAGGCGCCTGTAATGCCAGCTATTCGGGAAGCGGAGGCAGGAGAATTGCTTGAACCTGGGAGGCGGAGGTTGCAGTGAGCTGAGGTCATGCCATTGCACTCCAGCCTGAGCAACAAAGCAAGACTCTATTTCAAAAATAAAAATAAAAAACCATTTCACTGATATGTATGCTTTAAGATGCAATTAAATGTAACTAAGCTGTATCTCAACAAAGAGAAAAAAAAAAACAGTTAGGATATGACTCCCAGCTCCTCTTCCCCTTAGGACATGGGAGTCATGGCTGCCAGGACAGTTCCTCTCAGGAATCCAGGGCCCCTTCCCCGTCCCCATTCAGATCCCAGAATGAGGGTGTCGGTTCCCACACTCCCAAATCCTTTTACTCGGAGTTCCCGGACGCTGACATGTTCTAGTCAGCCCTGGTTAAGGCTCTCCATGGAACCAGCCACATCTCAGAATAGACCATCAGTCACGTCTATGTCCTGATATTCTCTTCCTGATTCGGTGCCCCAGCCTGAGATTGTGGAGCTGACTTCAAGAAGTGCAACAGGGGCCAGGCGTGATGGCTCACACCTGTAATCCCACCACTTTGGCAGGCTGAGGTGGGCGGATCACCTGAGGTCAAGAGTTTGAGCCTAACCTGGCCAACATGATCAAACTCCATCTCTACTCAAAACACAAAAATTAGCTGGGCATGGTGGTGTGCACCTGTAATCCCAGCTACTGGGGAGGCTGAGGCAGGAGAATCACTTGAACCCAGGAGGCAGAGGCTGCAGTGAGTGGAGATCATGCCACTGCACTACAGCTTGGGTGACAGTGAGGCTTTGTTTCAAAAAAAAAAGGAGCATTTTAAAAAGACAAGGGGCTGGGTGCGGTGGCTCACGCCTGGAATCCCAGCATTTGGGGAGGCTGAGGTGGACAAACTGTTTGCGACCAGGAGTTCAAGACCAGCCTGGCCAACATGGAGAAACCCCATCTCTACTTAAAAAAAATATAAAAATTAACTGAGCATGTTGGTGTGTGCCTGTAATCCCAGCTATTCAGGAGGCAGACGCATGAGAATCACTTGAGCCAAGGAAGCAGAGGTTGCAATGAGCTGAGATCGTGCCACTGCACTCCAGCCTGGGCAACAGAGTAAGGCTTCTTCTCAAAAAGTAAAAACTTGCCGGGTATGGTGGCTCACGCCTGTAATCCTAGCATTTTGGGAGGCCAAGGCAGGTGGATCACGAGGTCAAGTGATTGAGACCATCCTGGTCAACATAGTGAAACCCCATCTCTACTAAAATACAAAAATTAGCTGAGCGTGGTGGCAGGCGCCTTAGTCCCAGCTACTTGGGAGGCTGAGGCAGGAGAATTGCTTGAACCTGGGAGGCAGAGGTTGCAGTGAGCCAAGATCGCACCACTGCACTCCAGCCTACCTGGTGACAGAGCGAGGCTCTGTCTCAAAAAAAAATTTTTTTTTTTTAATAAAATAAAGATAAGGACAAGGGAGTCTCTCTAAGGTCAACGGACAGTGGATGTGTCTGGGCCACAGGCGGGCATCAGAAGTGGGTTAGGACCTACCTCTTCAGGTGCACCCAATGCTTGGACGTGGGGACTGGCACCAGCTTCTCTGCCCTTCAACATCATGGCCAGCAGGGTTTTCCAAATACCTCTGTGTTCTGGGTTTGTCGGACTTGGAGTTCAGCGAGAGCCACTTGGACTACAAGTCCCAACAGGCCGTGGGGTCATACCATACATACCACATCAACAGTGTGTGGCCGAGGCTCATGGGAGTTGTAATTTTAGATAGTGATTGTAGAACGGGTCTAAAGGGTGGAAGATGAGCAGACACACCACCTACCAGGGCATCAGCACATCACTCTTCAGCATCCTTTGCCCTTCTTCCTTGGGAGGAGGACCTTGAGTCAGATGCTACTGAGAGCCACGTTCCTCTCCACCACTTGGATGTTTTTCTCCCTTCTCTCCTTCCTCCCTCTCCCCATTACCAACCCCTCCTAAAAAAAAAAAAAAAAAAAAAAGCAGATTTCTCAGTCAGATGTGGTGGCTCACACCTGTAACCCCAACATTTTGGGAGGCTGAGGTGGGTGGATCACTTGCCCTCACAACTTCAAGACTAGCCTAGTCAACACAGTGAGACCCCACCTCAACAAAAAAAATTAAGTAGCAGGGCATGGTGGCAGGCATGTGTAGTCCCAGCTACTTGAGAAGCTGAGGCAGGAAGATAACTGGAGCCCAGGAGTCTGAGGCTGCGGTGAGCCATGATTGCTCTTCTGCACTCCAGCCTGAGGACAGTAAGACTATGTCTCTGGGGGAAAAAAAAAAATTCCTACAACTCCCATGAGCATGAGGACCCCATATGGCTATAATTCATGGAGGCCCTGCCCCACAGCCTGATGGGATTTGTAGTTCATCTGGCTCTGAATGCCACTGAACTTCACACGTTGGCTCATGACCCAGCTCGCCTGTGGATGTCCAGAGGCTCTGTGGGGAACTGGCTACTGCCTGTCTCTCTGCCCACACACAGAAGAGGCACCAGGTGCCAGGGTGGAGCTTGTCCACCACATAGTGAGTTTCCTTTGTCTTTGACACACTGGTCCCACTCATGTGCTGGTGTGGGCACTCTTGGGGGTGTCCACCCCTGGATGACCAAAGCCAGCTGTGGAGGGTGATAAATTCCAGCCCCTTACAGCCTTCTACCTCAGGGCGATGGAGCTGTTTGTATGAGCTTCGCTCTGCAGACCTGTGACTTCGTTGGGAACTGAAGTCCAAGGCATAGAATTAGCCTTTCGACATCTTGAGCAGCAGATCCCCCCAAAAGCGCTATTCTCTAGATGCCTGATACCGGGAGGGTGGGACAGGGATGCTGACTCCACCTCCCATTCACCTCCCACCATGCTCAGCTTCAGCTCACCTGTGCACGATGTCAGCACTGTCACACCTGGCCCACACAGCGAAGGCGGAGCGGGGCTTGGCTTTCAGCCTCTTGGTGGTGATTCTGGCGTCCTGCATGCTCTTGCTGTTCTCCAGGATGCCCACCCGGGCACATCACACAAAGCAGGTTTGGACTTGAGGGTCCTGGCCCTGGGGCGCTGTCCCGTTCAGGGTGATGGAGCTGGCAGTCCAAGTGACCATCTCCAGATTAGCGACTAGAAGTCAGAATGGACCGTGCACAGTGCCTCACGCCTGTAATCCCAGCACTTTGGGAGGCTGGGGCGGCCGGATCACTGGAGGTCAGGAGCTCAAGACCAGCCTGGCCAACATGGTGAAACCCCATTTCTATTGAAAATACAAAAATGAGCCAGGTGTGGTGGTGTGTGCTTGGAGTCCCAGCTACTCAAGAGGCTGAGGCAGGAGAAAGTCTTGAACCCAGGCGGTGGAGGTTGGAGTGAGCTTAGATGGCGCCACTGCACTCCAGCCTGGGCAACAGTGACTCCATCTCAGAAAAAAATAAAATATTAGTGAGAATGGGGGCGTCTATTTCAGGTTTTCTACATAGTATGTGAGCCCTCTAGGCACCACTGATAAAGTTGTTGCTAGGGAGGTATGCCCATAGCAACACAGTAGAGCAGTCAGAGACGTTTCAAGCCTGTTGGGACCTCAAGAGCACAGCTCAAGCTGGCTAAGAGTGAGACCTAGGCAGAACACACAGCCAGGCTAGACAGGATGCCGTCTTACCCACGGACATACAAAGGGTCCAGCTGTCACCTCCAATGCCATTCCTTTCAGCCCACATGAAGGTGTATGAGGTCCCAGATTCCAGGGCCTCCACCACGACCCCCACCTCTGCCACATTTCTGGTCCCATAGTCCCTGCCCACTGGACCTAGTAGGTGTGGGGGTCTGGGCCCAGCGGAATGTACACCTTAGCATGACGGAACTCAGGGTCAGAGCCTGTCTCCTCAGATCCATTACCTGACTAGGCAAGGAAGGGAAGGGTCGGGGTTCCTGCAGGAAGGTTCTCTGAGTGGCCGTAAACTGATTTGGTCTGCTCTCACTTGCAGTTCTCAAGAATAACCGTAGAATGTGCTGGGACTTAAGGACTGGCCAGGCAGCCTGGGCTTGGTTCCCGCCCGCCCCAGAAACAGGATGCCCTTCAATGCTCGAGCTCAGTGACTCAGGTTTCACCCAGAGTATAAAGCCCAGGATTGGATAATTTTGGGGGTCCTAGGCTGCCATACAAGTGAGGCACACACAGTTGTGACCCTATCCTCCCTAGGCAACTCCCCTAAGCCTTGAAGGACCAGCTCACAAGGGACCCTGGGCTTCTGCTGCCCCTTGCTTCCCATCTGAGAGTAACAAGCCCACTTGGTGTAACTTTCTGCGTGTGTGGTGTTCCGTCTCACTGGACTCCGGCAAGTTAGTAACTAGTGCACAGTGCACCTGCTTCACAGACCATAGTCCCTGGGCCTCCAGAGCAAAGGGAAGCACCCCTCCTCCCCACAGCCCTGCCTGCAGCAGAGGAATACACCCTATCAGTGGGGCCCAGAAGACAGAGGCCTCCTACTCCCTAAGCCTGGGGTGCTGTCACCCCTCACCCATGGCCTCTATGAGCATCTGGCTGGGGCTGCTGGCCTCATGCTTCTGGGCCCCTGCAGCCAGGCTCTCCATGGGCACCCTGTTGTCTGAGGAGTCACTGGCCAGCAGAGCCAGGAGGTGCAGGTCTTGGGGTCTGGGCCTGCAGGGGCCTCAGGTTGAGGGAGCTGGTGGTCGGAGCCTGCATGACCAGGCTAGGGACTGGGTTAGGAATATGGAGAGTCTTTTGATGAAGTTTGTGGTTCCCATCATGAGACTAAAGTGCACAGCCTGGCACTTTGACAAATGTGCAAACACACACACACACACCCATAAACGTTACTGGGCAGTGGACAGAGAGCCCCTTTTACCTGTAAACACGCTCAGGATGTCCCTGGGGCTACCGATTCCTTTCTGCTCAGCCCACACACAGAAGGTGTAGAGGTGCCCCAGGCTGAAGTCCCTCCACCACTAGCCAGCAGTCTGACGTGCTTGTGTTCCTGCTGGCCATGCCCGCCCCATGGCACTGGACCCAGTGGAGGGAGGTCTGCAGGTCTGGACCCTTGGAGCTGTCCAGCTCAGAGTGATGGAGCTGGAGCCTCCACACTCAGGATTCTGTCTGCCTTGGGGGCCGAGACATGGGGAGAAGGCTGCGGTGCGCTAGGAAGGGAATCCCACGGGCCTTTCTGGAAGTGCAGGATGGAGGATGATGGGGTCACTAACCTGCTATTGTGGCCTCTGCTGTGATCCAGAGGGCCTGCAGAGGGATCAGACAGGGAATCAGACCCAGGGATGGTCTGACCTGCAGAATGAGGACGAAGGCTGCTGAGTCCCACCCACCTCATCCCTACCAGCCACCCCAGTCTGCGAGGGAAGAGGGACCTGGCATTCTGCCACTTTCCCAGGTCTTGGTCCCGGCAGGGCTGGAAGGAGCCTGAGAGGGTTGTGCGCAGCAGCTCAGGGAGTTTTGCTTTTGATAAACGCAAATGATAGATCATGAGAAAGCAGGTCTTTGAAAAGGTAGACAGGACATGGGGGGCCAGAATAAGGGAGGAGGGACAGGATGCTGGGACTGCTGGGTGCCCACAGGAGAGCAGCGCCCCATCACTCTGGACAGTCGACCCCACAGAGCCCAGGGACCCAAAGCCAGAATGTTCCCCCAAACACCAGGGATTACAGAACCAGCCCCTCCTCCCTCAGATCCAGGAGTCCAGACCCCAGCCCCTCCTCCCTCAGACTCAGGAGTCCAGACCCCCAACTCCTTGTCCTTCAGACCCAGGAATCCAGAACCCAGTCCCTCCTCCCTCAGACCCAAGAGTCCAGGTCCCCAGCCCCTCCTCCCTCAGACCCAGGAGCCTAGGCCCAGCCCCTCTTCCCTCAGACCCAGGAGCCCAGGCCCAGCCCCTCCTCCCTCAGACCCAGGGGTCCAGGCCCCAGCCCCTCCTCCCTCAGACCCAGGAGTCCAGGCCCCCAGCCCCTCCTCTCTCAGACCTAGGAGTCCAGGACCCCAGCACCCCCTCCCTGGGACCCAGGAGTCCAGGCCCCCAGCCCCTCCTCCCTGGGACCCAGGGGTCTGAGTTGCCAGCTCCCTTCTCCCTCAGACCCAGGAGTCCAGGCCCAGCCCCTCCTCCCTCAGACCTAGGAGTCCAGGCCCCCAGCCCCTCCTCTCTCAGACCTAGGAGTCGAGGACCCCAGCACCCCCTCCCTGGGACCCAGGAGTCCAGGCCTCCAGCCCCTCCTCCCTGGGACCCAGGGGTCTGAGTTGCCAGCTCCCTCCTCCCTCAGACCCAGGAGTCCAGGCCCCCAGCCCCTCCTCTCTCAGACCTAGGAGTCCAGGACCCCAGCACCCCCTCCCTGGGACCCAGGGGTCTGAGTTGCCAGCTCCCTTCTCCCAGACTCAGGATTTCAGTCCCAGTCCCTCCTCTCTGGCATCCACACTTATTAACAGCACCAGGCACCCCAGGACCCCTCATGTCTGCAGGCGCCATGCAGCCCTGGAATCTGCACACCCAGACCCAGTCCTTCCTGCTGCACTTCGATGCAGGATTTCCTCTTTCCCTGCCTTTCGTCAGGTCTGAGTGGGGAGGAGGGGAGGAGATGAGGAGGAAGTAGAAGCTTCAAGCCTGCGTCCAATCCTTCACATCCTCCTCCTGCCTGACCCTTCCTCAGGGAAATCTCTCCTCAGCTTCCGGATCTCCTCACTCCAACTGTGGATTCCCATCCTCACCTTCCTTCCTGGTCCCGGTCCCGGTCCTCCAGGTTCCCCACCTTCCCTTCCCACCTCTGTACCCTCACATCTGAGTCCCTAAATGCAGGTCATGGATGGAGAAGTCGCGGCTCTGCTATAAGAGTCCCCAAAGGCTGGACATGGACAAGTCGCCTCTCTGCTGTAAGAGTCCCCAAAGGCTGGACATGGAGAAGTCGCCTCTCTGCTATAAGAATCCCCAAAGGCTGGACATGGAGAAGTCACCTCTCTGCTGTAAGAGTCCCCAAAGGCTGGACATGGAGAAGTCGCCTCTCTGCTATAAGAATCCCCAAAGGCTGGACATGGAGAAGTTGCCTCTCTGCTATAAGAATCCCCAAAGGCTGGACATGGATGGAGAAGTCTCCTCTCTGCTGTAAGAGTCCCTAATGCTGGCCATGGATGGAGAAGTCGCCTCTCTGCTGTAAGAGTCCCTAATGCTGGCCAGGGATGGAGAAGTCGCCTCTCTGCTGTAAGAGTCCCTAATGCTGGCCAGGGATGGAGAAGTCACCTCTCTGCTGTAAGAGTCCCTAATGCTGGCCAGGGATGGAGAAGTCACCTCCCTGCTATATGAGTAACTAAAGGCACATCATGGATGTGGAAGTCAAGTAGGGTCTTGGAGAGCATCTTGGACCCTGTCACGTCCTCAGATGCAGAATCTAAACACCAGAGAGGGACAGCAACTTGCCAAGGTCACAGAGCCAAGGCAAGGAACACACCTCGGTTCCTCTTTCCTATTTGATTCCTCCCCCTTGTCACCCTCCCCTCCTCCAAGGCCCCTCATCCTCAAGCCTCCTACCCTTCTCCCCTGATACTGCATGTGACTGTAGTGGGTTGTGTCCCCTAAGCAGATATGTCTGAGTCCTAAGCCCAGGTGCCTATACAGGTGACAGTACTTAGAAACAGGGTCTCTGCAGACATAGTTAAGCATCTTGAGATAGAATCACCTGGGTTTAGGGTGGGCTTGAAGACAATCACATAAAGATGGGAGAGACACAGCCGCCACATGCCAAGAGAAGCCAGTGATTCCTGGGAGCCTCTGGAAGCTAAGAGGGCAAGGACGGATTCTTCCCCAGAGCCTCAGGAGAGAGCAAGGGCCGGAAAACACCCTGATCTTGGACTTTGGGTCTCCAGAGCTGCAGGAGAGCCCATTCCTCATTTCAAAGCACCTGGTTTGGGGTAATTTGTGACGGCAACCCCAGGAAACAAACGCAGAGGCTCAACAGTGCTCTTGGCTCAGTTCTGCACAATCCTCACCTTTATCCCCTCAAATGCCCCCCACTAGAGAGCCACGGAGGGTCCCACTGGGCACCAGGCCTGGCTCATGGGGAGTGACCAAGACGTCCGCTGCCATGATCCAAGATGGTTCATCGCCACAGTCACCCTCCACATGCCTCTCCCACAGTGACAGCAGCACCTACACTTCCACGCCCTGTACTTAGACAACGAAACCGACTCAGAGCAGCCAGGAGGGGCCGGTGGACCGTGGGGCCCACAGCGAACTCGGAGGCGGGCTGGTGGCTGGGAGGGCCGCATGTGGGCCTGGCTGAGGAGCTGGGGATCTGGAGTCAGAACTGGGGGAAGGCAGCTGGAACCCCACAGTGGACTCGGAATTCCGTGAATGGTCCTTAAACATCTTCAGCCGGGAGCAGCGGTGGCGGGGCCTGCGCCTGCAGACAGGCGTGAGGAAGCTTTGCTGTGGAGGGTACTTCTCAGGCTGGGCTGGTCTGGGAGGCCCGAGTCCTTGCGGGAGGAGAGGGCCTGGAAGCTCGCCCTTCAAGCTGCCTAGTCAGTCCGTCTTGGGCCCCGGGCTCCTGGGAGCCGACAGTGAGATGAGGAGCTGGGCAGCGTAGTAGGTGGTCATGATCGCCAGGCGAGCGTGAGGCAGGGGCTGGGCGAAGGCGTCCCAGGCCAGCACACCATCAGAGAGTGTGAAGAGCAGCGCGCCCCAGCCGGCACTCCCGCCCCAGACCAGGCCACGCCACAGCATGGCCATCAGGATCAGCCCGTAGGCTGCCACGGGCAGGACCATATCCAGCTCAAGGTGCAGCAGCATGAGGATGAGGTAGGGGCCAGAGGCCAGGAAGATGAGCAGTAGCAGGCCCGGCTTCGGGGGAGAGAGGCCAAAGGCCCAGAGGTAGAGGAGGTGGGCTGTAGCGAAGGCAGCTACACCTGGGGAGAGGGGTGGGTGCCAGTAAGGAAGGCTCATTCTGGTATCGCCCCGAGGTCACCCCTCAGGACCTAAGGGGAAGGATCGGCCCAAAGCACCAGCCCCCACCCTGGCTGAGCCTCCTTGCAGGCCTCCCCAAATGCAGTGTCATGTACTTGCTTTGCTCTGAACTGCCGGCAGGTCCCATCTTCCCTTGGCCTCCAAAGCCCCGTGCCCTCCGGCCCACCAGCCACCCTGGCCTGTTTGGCCACAAGCTGGCATGCCCCTGCCCTGGAGCCTCTGCACTTGCCCTTCGCCCTCACAGGCACATGGCACCTTCTTCAGGTCTGCCAAAATGTGACTTCCTCAGTGAAGCCTTCCTCAGCAACCCTGCTTCAAACTGCAGCACCTCCAGCCCAGGGTCCTCACTGTCCTCCACGCCACTCCCAGCTACTGCCTTAACACCACCTGCCCACCAGCCCTCACTGAAACGTGAGCTGCCTGGCTCACGGCTGTGCCTCCAACGCCTCTGACCACCAGAACTCCCATCAAAACGCCCACTGGAGCCCTCTGCACTCCAGGCTCCCATCCAAGTGCTGGGCCTCCCCAACACGGGCATCTGAAAGGCGTCATGGCAGCTTCTACTCACCATGGAGGAAGGCTTCAGGCCAGATGAGGCAGGCGTCCCCCACAGCCGAGCACAGGAGGGCTCCCTGGAGGAGCCGAGTGTAGCTCCCGCCTGGGGACACAACCCACAGGAACCCAGCCAGGCAGAAGATGGGCAGGCACTTGACCAGGGCAGCGACCCAGGACGGCTGGTCCTCGGGAATCCAGAGGCAGAAGTACACGCAGCAGGAGAGGATGAAGGGAATCAGCCACTTGCAGACATCTAGGCACTTTGGGAAGCAGGGAGCTGCTGAGCTGAAGCCCAGCCCAGCCCCCGTTCTTAGGACTCAGATCTCCTGGCTCCTGTCCCACCCCCACCTGGGACCCCAGCTGTCCAGGCTGGACCCATTCAGGTACCAGGCTGCCAGAACCCAGCTTCCCAGGACCCCAGCCAATTCACGGACAGCACCTCCCAGACCCCCCAGCTGCTAGGGTTCTGGGCCCTATCCCCCAGCCCCAGGCATGGCTCTGAAGGCTCTCACCTGGGCTGAGCAGTGAGTCTTCAGGGTCGACCCTGCTTTGCCAGCATCCATGCTGGCCTGATACCCTCAGAGCGACCTAATCTGGGAGTGGGTAGCTCCAGGGGGTGGAGGGGAGGGCTCATGGTTACACGTTAACCCAATGAGCGTCCTGTGGACTCTGCAACTGATAACAGGGCCCAGGGAGATGTCGCCCTCACCCCGGGGATGGCCTTGCCTGGCACCTGCTGATAAGGCACTGTTGGCATCGGGGGTCCCTTGCCCTAGCCTGCTGGGACATGGCTTGCTCCTCCTGTCTGCTGGGGGGTGAGGTCCCCAAACGCCCATCCCATTGTCCTGGGCCCAGACAATCACAAGAGATGGAGTGCAGAATTCCAACAGCCACCCCTTCATGGGGAAGCGGGGGAGGGGGTTGGCTGGCAGGAACACCCCTGAGGGATTGGGAAGGCCAGTCCCTCCTTCACTTGCTGGCCTAGCGGACCCCCTCCCTGCTCCATGAAACCTTCCCTCATTCTGCTCAACCCCACCAGGCCCTCAGGGGCTCCACCACAAACACTTCCTCAGTGGGCCACAAGGAAGGGGCCCAAAGAATGCAGGGAATAAGCACCCTCCCCTGCTAGCTGAGCCAGCCCTAGGTGACCTCCAAACCAGCTGCCACCGCAGTGAGGACACTGTCCTCATGACCCGGCCCACATGGTCCGGTGTAGCCGAGACAGAGGCTTCCTGGCACCGCTCCCCTGTTCCACTTGCTGTGCACCGGCGTACACTTCTACCTTCCGGCTCAAAGACTCAGACATACTGGGCACCACTGCCCGGCCTCAATGCTGGGCTTGGTTACCAAAGGGGGGTAGGAGCAGGGATTTGAGCCCCCGATGGCGGCTTCCATCCTCCACCCTCGGCCCTGCCCACAGGTGGGGTAGGCCTGGCAGGAGCCATCACAGCCAGTGCCTGGCCCAGCCTGTGGCCTCTGTAGCCACAGGGCTCCCTCTGGCAGGACACAGTGTGGGGGCAGACTGGGTTAGGAGTACCCCAACCGCTGGGGTACAGGGATAACACAGGCTGCCCTCCCCGCATCCCAGAATGTACGGTCTGACCAGCAGAATCGTAAACTGTCTTCCTTTATTTATATTTGCAATATGAAATAGAAGCTCGGCACGAACGCACACACACTCACACCAGCCTGGGAGGAAGGAGCTTGGACAAGGCCACTTGGCAACAGGGCTGGGACCCCAGACCCTCAGGGACCCTGGGGGTGTTGCCGGGGAGGCCCCTGCTCCCCAGAGCCGGGCTGGCCTGGTTGAAAGTGCAGGGTCTGGGCAAAGGCACGGCCCCCACGCGGGACCCTCTGGCACCCCCACCCTCACTGGGCTGTCCCTCATGGTGGACCTGAGCTGAAAGGCCGGGTGTGGGCATGGCCATCTGTGCCTGAGCGTAGGATGGCTGGGCACGTGGGCGGCAACCTTGGACCCCTACCACCAGCCCCCACTGGGACAGGACGGGAAGCTGTGCTTCGGGCCGCCAGCCCAGCTCGGTGTTCTCACCTTCTATCCCTCTCCTCCCTCTCCTCCCTCTCTCTCTTTATATAATATATAATAGACATTTCTCTCTCTCCATTCTCTCTATTTGACTCTCTTTATCTTTATTCTAGGAGGCAATGCTCCAAAACTTCTATTCTCAGTGCAAATGGGGTTGGGTTGGGCCTGTCTCCCTGGCACCAGCCTCCTGGGGGTCCAAAGGAGAGAATGTGGGGGGGTCAGGTGATGAGGGCAACGGGGGCCATCATGGGACTCGCCCTGCCCCCACCCTGGGAGATCCATGGGAGGACGGATGATTTGGCAGCTGCTGCCACACCAGGCAGCTACCTGCAAACAGAGAGAGATGTCGTGTGAGGGTCCAGCAGGCCCAGCCCCACCTGCCCAGCCCCAGGCTGCAGCCACACTCACTGAGAGCCCGGTGATGCAGGCCCTTCCGGGGCAGAGCCATTGGGCACTGGAGGAGGTGTGAGGGCCTGGGCACTGTCACGGGAGGGAGGGGATGTGCAGAGGTCACTTCCTGCCCGCCAGCCCTGCCCTGCCCTGCCCCGCTGCCCTGGTACTCACCTCTGGCTTTGGGTAAGCCCCAAAGGCTCTGGGCTCTTCTCCCCATCTGTGGTCTGTGGGGGCTGGTGGGCCCCGGAGGCTGGGACAGAGGTAGAGGGGTCTCTGGTTGCACTGTGGGTGAGAGGCAGGTGCAACTGTCAGCGTCACCTGCCGACACCCTCACACCCCTGACAATTTCAGTTGGCTCACTGGGTGTCCGCCACTTGCCCCACCAGAAGGGGCCTCCCGAGCACGAAGCTAGCTCAGTGCAGAGGGACTGCACAGCTCTGGGCAAGAGGACAAGCACCTCCCTTCATGTTCCTGTCCCTGTGGAGGAGTTGCTCGAGGCCGGTTGGGACAGCCCCAAGGGGTCTCCTGCATGCTCTCACCCTCCCAATCCTTCACAACCTCCAGGGAGCCTTTTCCAACCCTGGGGGCCCTGAGCATCCCAGGCTACTAAGAGAAGAACCAGCCTGCAGAGTGCAGGGGGCTGGGGCATGACATGAGGCTGGGCCTGGGGGTCCTGCAAGGGTCACCTGGAGCAGCTCAGGGACAAGACAAACCCAAGCCCACCTCACTGAGGAGGAGAAAAGACTTCTCCTGATACCAGCCCCTCCCCACAGCAAGCCCCACCTCATTGCTCACCTGTCCGAGGAGTTGGGGGCAGAACGGATCCCGTGGAAGGTGGCCTGGAGGTCCCCGACGCTGACCAAGGCCTGGCAGGGGGCTGTGGGGGATGAGAGGTCTCAGCCGCAGCATCCCAGCAAGCTCAGAGCTGGCCAGGCTGCTCTCTCTGCCCAAGGCCACAGGTGGGTAGGGCAAAGAGGGGCTCACCTGAGGGCTCCACGACTTTGCTGCCGTCCATGGCTTCCTGAGGTGCTGAGGGGTTTGTGGGGTCCTGAGACCTGGCAGGCGAGAGAGGCAGCCCAAGGGGGCAGCTAGGGTCAGCGCTCAAGCCTACAAGAGAACTGGGAGGCCATGACCACCTCCTGGCCTCGGGATACCAGCGCCATCCAGCCCGTCCCGTCTGGTTCTCACCTGAGCTGCAGGGCATCATGAGCTGGAGGGCTGGCCAGGCTCTGGGTGGGGAAGCCCTGGGGCACAATGAGGGGCCCCTGTGGGGCTGGAGGCCCAGTGTGCAGCTCTTCCTCCCCGGAGACTCGGGGGCTGGTCAGGGCATCCGTAGGCACTGGGTCAAAGGTGGCGGTCCAGCCGGGGCCTGGGGTAGAGGTGGGGGGGTGGGCAGCAGAGGGTGAGCTTAGCAGCAGGCCGACAGCCTGTGGACGCCTGACCACACCGCCTGTTCATTCACCTGGAGGCTGAGGACCAGGACTGGGGTAGGACAGCAGGGTGGCCCCTCCACGGGCTGCACAGCCAATGCCCTCCTCGTCTTCCTCCTCCTCCTCCTCCTCCTCTTCTTCGTCCTCACTGTCTGTGCTGCCTCCACTCCTGCCCCAGAAACCACCTTGTCAGTCAGCTGTGTGGGACAGACCAGCCAACCACCATCTGGTTCCCTGCAGCCAGGATCAGCCCAAGGAGAGTGGGCTGAAGTGACCAGCAGGGAGCCTGGGGCATGACGACACCAGGAAAGGCTGGGAGAGGGAGTTCTGAGCCAACAGAGAGAACACAAGTGTGCAGGAACTGAATGCAGCTGTCAGGAGAGCATTCGTCCCCAATCACCCACGCAGGGTAGGCCCTGGGGAAGTGGGCTGAGGAGACAGATCCACTCAGCTGCTCTCACATCACCTCCCACTGTCACCACAGTGACAGGCCTTTCCACCAGCAGACCCACCCTCTGGACAGAAGGCTTCACACTACTCTCTCCCTCCAAATAGAAACTCCGGGAAGGTAGAGATGGCTGACTTTGGGTATCCTCAGCCCTGAGACCACCACCAGGCACCCATGGCTGCTCCAAAAATACTGGCTGAATGTTGACTCACACACACCTTGTGGCCATGAAGAAAACCCAAGCAACCTATGTGTTGATCAACTGGGGAAGGGGTAAGCAAAGCAACATTAAAATTAAGCTTTAACAATGACGGCACCTTCTGAGAAATGTATCAGTAGGCGATCTCACCACTGTGTGAACATCTTACACACACCTAGATGGTAGCACCAACTACACACCCAGGCTCTATGGTATAGCGTCTTGCTGCTCAACTCCAGAGCTGTACAGCATGTTACAGTCCTGAATACTATAGGTTACTATATGTATCTAAACACAGCAAAGATACAGCAAAAAAAACAGTATTATAATCTTGTGGGACCACCGTCGTTGACCCAAGATGCAGTATAGGACTACATATTATGTCTAAAATGCTGACTACTTAATCGACTACTTTAACTGGAAAGTAATATATCTGCATATAGTTAAAAGTAAAAATATTCAACAACCAAGGAATATAAGGGAAGCCCCTCAACCTAAGGCATATACAAAACCCCACAACTTCCATGGCGAAAGGCTAAATGCTTCCCCCTAAGACCAGGAACAAAACAAGGATGCCTTCTCTTGCCTCCTTTTTTTTTTTTTTTTTTTTTTTTTAGCCCCCACTACATGGGATTTCTCTCTGCTGGAAATCCCGGCTCTTGCCACTTCTGGGCAACACTGTATTGAAGGCTAGCCAGGGCAACCAGGCAAGAAAAGGAAATTAAAAGCATCCATATCTGAAAGGAATAAAAATGATCTCTATTCATATGACATGATTCTGTACATAAAAAATCCTAAGGAATCTACTAAAACTATTAGAATTCATAAATCAGTTCAGCCAAGGTTGCAGGATACAAGATTAACATACAAAAATCTCTTGTATTTTCAAACACTTGTAACAATTTTAGAAAATTACAATAGTATCAGAAAAAAGAAAACACTTAATAAATTTAACAAAAAAATACAAACTTCATGCTCTAAAATCTACAAAACATTGCTGAAACAAATTTTAAGACCTAAATAAAAAGGTATCTCATGTTCACAGATTAGAAGATGCAATCCCTTTAAGAACCTTAGCTGGCTTCTTGGATGAAATCAACAAGCTGATCCTAAAATTCACATGGAATCTCAAGAAATCCCAAATATTCAAAACAATCTTGAAAAGGAAGAACATGGTTGGAAAGCTCAAAGCTCCCATTTTATTTTATTTCAAGACAAAATTTCATTCTTCTTGCCCAGGCTGGAGTGCAATGGCAAGATCTCAGCTCACTGCAACCTCTTCCTCCCGGGTTCAAGCGATCCTCCTGCCTCAGCCTCCCAAGTAGCTGGGATTACAGGTGCCCAACAACACACCCAACTAATTTTTGTATTTTTAGTAGAGACGGGGTTTCGATGTGTTGGTCAGGCTGGTCTCAAACTCCTGACCTCAGGTGATCCACCTGCCCTGGCCTCCCAAAGTGCTGGGATTACAGGCGTGAGCCACCACACCAAGCAAAACTTCAATTTTCAAAACTTACTGTAAAGCAACAGCAACCAGACCAACACAGAGACTGATGGACCAGAACACAGAGGGAGAAACAAACTCTCACACATTTGGTCAAATGATTTCTTTTTTACACAGGTGCCAAGATGATTCAGTGGAGAAAGGACAGGGTCTTCAACAGCTGGTGCAGGAAAAGCTGGTCATCTACATGTAAAGGGACGAAGGTGGACCCACACCTCACACCGAATACAAAATTTAGCTCAAAATGAACAAATAACCATAAAACGAATGATATAAAACTCTTAGAAGAAAACAAAGGGCTAAGTCAATATGCTGGATTTGGCAATGACACACTTTTGCACCAACAACACGTGCAAGGGTATTGGTAACAGCTGCACTCCCAGCACTGAGCAACGGGAGCCTGCCCAAAGGCCTGTCAACTGCAGAACAAGAGATTCAACTGAGGCTCGTCACGCACGGCACAAGAACGTCCCACTGCACAAGAACGAGGCACCCAAACACACCAATAGGGAAGGAGCTCACAAGTGGAGTGATGAGCAAGAGAGGTCAGACAGAAAAGGAGAGGCCGTATGCTGTATGAAGTGAAAACAGACAACTCATCTATCAGCTTAGAAGCCAGGACAACTTTACCGTCAGGAGGGAGGATACTGGCTAGCACAGGGGGATGTGGGTACTGGGAAGGTCCTGCTCCTGGGTCTGGGCTCCGAGGAAGGATGTCCACAGGCCACACACTTAGGATCTGTACACTTGTCTATATGCATGTTACACGTCAACAAAAAGTTAAAACAGCCTAATTTCCAAACCAGAAAGTCATGAGGCAAAAGCTCAGAGCTACAAATGGTGACTCAGTGTTCATGCCGGCAAATCTAAATGGCACGAACCCAGCGATTCTGGGACTGGCCAATACTAGAGAAAAAAAACAATGTAACATTTATACTAAAAGCTGATCACAGGCTTATACTGGAGACAGACATCATCATCTCTCATTTTACTGGAATTAGAGGAAAGAAGAAGGAAAACTGAGGGATGAAGGAAGGAGAGGGGTAGGCGGGGAGACAGAGATGCACACAGACCAAGCCATACCTCAAGGACCTGCCTATTTTTTCAGCCACAGAGATTATCCCTTTCTTTTTTAATAACTTATTTGAACTAGATTTTTTTTAATTTGTTTTTTTTTTTACAGGGTCTCACTCTTTCACCCAGGCTGGAATGCAATGGTGTGATCTCAACTCACTGCAACCTCTGCCTCCAAGGCTAAAGCGATCTTCCACCTCAGCCTCCCAGGTAGCTGGGACTGTACAGGCTCACACCACCACACCCAGGTAATTTTTTAATTTTTTTGTAGAAACAGGGTTTTGCTATGTTGCCCAGGCTAGGTCTCAAACTCCTGAGCTTAAGCGATCTACCCACCTTGACCTCCACCCAAAGTGCTGGGATTACAGGCTTCAGTCACTGTGCCAGGCCAATCTGTTGATTTCTTCATGCATCATCTAACATTTTTTTTGAGCCAGGTCTGGCTCTGTTGCCCAGACCAGAGTGCATTGGTATGATCTTGGTTCACTGCAACCTCTGCCTTTCTGGCTCAAGCCATCCTCCCACCTCAACCACCTCAACCGAATAGCCAGGACTACAGGCGCACGCCACCAGGCCCGTCTAATTTTTGTATTTTTGTAGAGACAGGATCTCCCTATGTTGCCTAAGGCTGGTCTCAAACTCCTGAGCTCAAGCAGTCCATCTGCCCTGGCCTCCCAAAGGGCTGGGATTACAGGCACTCAGGGATTACATGAGCCCACCATGCCTGGCCCTGAATTAGATTTCTATCACTCAAAAGTGAAAGTGCCCCAACTAACACACACACCAATGCAGCTTCCTCATTTTTTTCATTCACTTCAGCCTCGGGCCAAATGTGTTGGGAGATCCTTTGGCCCTGCCATGTGGTGGAAGCTTGGACAAGGGAAACTGGAGGGGGACTCACCGGACACCTGGGGGCTGGCCCAAACGGGCACCCCTGGCCAGCTGGCTGCCCTGCCAGGCACCATCTTCTCCATCAGACTCCCCTGAGCCGTGGCCCTCTTCCTCATCCTCCTCTTCCTCATCATCATCAAACTGCTGGATGCGATCCTTGTAGCATATCTCAAGTAGGTTGGCGTTGGGCTGCAGGGCACAGAAGTGGGAGGATGGGCCACACTGCCCACAGTCCTACGCCCCTCTAGCCCCAACAACCAGGGGACAGGGCAGTACTCACATTCTCATCATCGGCATTGAGGGAGAAGGTAATGTTGGCTGTCTTGTCAAAAGGCGCACTACGAGAGAAGGCAAGGCGTGGTGAGAGTACATCTGGAGGTAGGGCAACACATGACAAGGCCACACTCCTCTCTTCACCCAACAGAGCTGACCCTCATTACTTGCAGATTCGGTATCTGCAAATTCATCCACAACCTGAATCACTGGTCCTAAGGGACAATGCATACACAAATATTAACATCTCATGTAGACGGTGATTTGAAATCCTTAAAACCACTCACTGAGGTAGATTGTTTCCTTGGCTCTAGAAGTGAGAAAATGGGTCTTGGAAATGTTAAGTGACTCTCCTCAGCCTCTTCCAAGGACAGGTGCCAGAGAGAGTTCAGACCCATGCCCTCGTCCCCATCCTTTGGGCATGTGTAGGAGGCTGACACGTACACAAGCCAGGTACAAGCAGAGTGAGGCTACAGCCTAATAGAGCACATCCCCTAACCTCAAAACGTCTCCAGTCTGTGGCTGAAATTCTAAATTATGGGCAAAAGAATCACCATCAGAACTTAAAACTGCACCTGCCAGGGCCCCACCTCCCTCAACATGAGGGTCTAATGATAAGGGTCCGCATTCCATCCCACGTTAGAGAAACTTCAAGACATCATTTGTCTCAAATTCATAAAAATCCTGCCACAAAGATCAATGGATGAAGAATAGTTAATTCTTAATAAAGGACACGAAGTACGTGACACACATTACGCACTTCACTCTCACAACCACTTTACAAGGCAAGTATCCTTAGCTCCTAGACATTAATAAACAGCAGAGCAGAGAACATGCTGGGCACACAGCAGGTCGAGGGCAGGGCAGCCAATGTCCCCGCTGCACCGGCTGCCTCCGCTGACCTGTCTTCTCCTGCGACAGGAGCTCTGCAGGGCAGCATCTTCAGCCTAAGATTATCCAACCAGTCATCCACTTTCCATTCCAGAACTTCTGGGTGTAGTTTTGTTTGCTTAAGTTTTTAACCCTTCTGGAATGTTCTTGGTAGAGGAAGAGCTAACGCAGTTTCACCCCAAAACGGCAGCTGGTGATCCCAATGCCATCTACCAGTCAGTCCCTTCACTGTCCTACCAGGATGGGGTTCAGTTTTTTTTTTTAATTAAAAAAAAAAAAAACAGAGATGGTGTCACACGTTGGCAAGGCTGGGCTCAAACCCCTAAACTCAAGCAATCCTCATGCCTTGCCTCCCGAAGTGCTGAGATTAAGATGTGAGCCACTGTGCCCAACCCGGTTGGGCATCTTCTCCAGGGCTCTCAGCACAGGCCTCTGACCCACAAAGACCAACACTCTTCAAGTCTCTGTGCTGGGCACGGCAGCAGCAAACATGAGATCTCCTGTCTGCATCTGACAGGACCTCTGTCCAGCTGTGGACTAAGTGAGGCACAACTGACTATCCCCTATCGTGGTGTCCCTCACACTATGCTGTACAGGTGCCCCAGAGCAGCCATGGGCAACGATCCAGCTCCCACACTAACTGGATATGTCCTGGGGCCTCAGTCTCCCTGGTTATAGATGAGATCAGGAGCCCTGCAGCCAAGAGTGGTCATGGGCACTCAATGGGATGATATCCAAGAGGCATCCAGAGTGCCTGGGGGCAGGGGCTCCATGTTCCCTGTCCCTGGCCTCGCTGTGGCCGCCCATGCCAGTGGCCCCCTGCTCCTGCCCAGTCCAACTTCAGGAAGTCTCTGAGTCCTGCTGTGCCATAGCAGTATTCTTCTACTTTCCCCCAAGGACACCTCGGACTCATTCTTCCCAAGTTGTCTCCTTCACTGAGGTATCACCCCCAGCCCTGTTCAGTGAGCATCTCCCTCAGTGGCCTCAGGGCCCCAGCCATGCCCGGCCTCAACAGTGCAGGGTCTGGAACTCTATCTCTGGAACAGAAGGCTGTTATTCCGGCATTACTCCCAGGAATCCACAGCCATACCCTGCCCGTCAGGGGTAGTTGGTAACAAAGGCAAAGGAGCCACTGTCCGTCGTCTCTGTGGTGAGCCCTGCCTCCCACAAGGTGACCACCCAGCCTGCTCTACTCCCACCTCCCAACCCAATCTTTGAGATGGATCTTGCTCTGCTGCCCAGACTGGAGTGCAGTAGCACAATCTTGGTTCACTGTAACATCCACCTCCCAGGTTCAAGCGATTGTCCTGCCTCAGCCTCCCAAGTAGCTGGGACTACAGGTGCCCACCTCCACGCCTGGCTAATTTTTGTATTTTTAGTAGAGATGGGGTTTTTCGAAATGTTGGCCAGGCTAGTCTTGAGCTCCTGACCTCAGGTGATCCGCCCACCTCGACCTCCTAAGGTGCTGGGATTACAGGCATGAGCCACCACACCTGGTCACTTTTTTCTGACTCTAGAACAGAGCTTTTGACAAGAAACTGAGAAAAGTTCTGGGTCACAGCACCCAGAGGTGACTGATGTTGAGAGGTCCCTGCCACAAATCAAAACGAGCAGAGCTGGTGACTGGGAAGTCTCTTCTGTCACCCCGCGTCCTGCGCTCGGCAGACTCCTGACCCAGAGGAGGCGCAGCTCTGCCTTAGTCCCTGTGCCAGGACCCGCCGGCCCCCAATACCCTGAGCCCCTCTCGCCTGGGACCCCTAAGGCTGAGCTCCAGGGGTGGAGGGACTTGCTCTGCATCCCCCGCGCAGCTGTTTGTGCTGCCTCCCCTTGGAGAGGAGACTGCAGAGCTGGAGCTCACGGAAGAGGAGGCAGACAAACACAAAAGGCCACGGCCAGCACGTGCCCAGGAGGGGCTGTAGCTGCAGACTGGGCCCTGCAGGACAAGTGGGTGGGCATGGGGGACAGACACATGTAGGTGTGCCCGCTGCTGCTGCAGAGGCAGGACAGAGCTCTGACTCTGCACAGGACACTCACTTCACACTCTCCTCCTGCTCCCCAAACTCCTCATCATTGAAGCCAAAGTGGTCAATGAAGGCAGAGGTCATGCGCTGCATCTGGAAGTCCATGAAGGCCTGTGGGGGTGCAGAGGTCGGGGCTGGAGGGAGCTGGGAGGATCCCACTCCAGGATAGCCCAGCATACCCCACACCACCCCAGGCCCACCTGCTGCAACACAGCCTCCTCAGGGAAGTTGAACTCCTTGAGCCGGTCGTCCTCATCATCACTGGAGGAGTGTAGGTGGTGGGTGTTCACCTGGGGAGAGGAGGGAGTGTCAGGGCCTGCTCAAGCCCCCAGACCAGGGTGAGCAGGCAGCTATGAGGAGGGGGAGGCTAAGACTGGACCAAGAGAGAGAACAGCGGGAGGGGTGCAGGAGAAGCTGGGCCTCACCAGGTCCACCATGTTCTTCTTGTTGGTCTCCGCCAGGGGTCCCGATACAAAGGCTTCCCACTGCTCCTGCTGCTCACTGGGAAGCTCTGCTTAGGTAAGGGGGTGAAGACGTGAAGCACCCCCTGGCCTCAAGCCCCCCATGTACCCCTCAGGCTGGCCTAGGGACCCTCACCCTTCAGCAGCTGCCCCAGCTGCTCCACATTGGGCCCCTTCTCCATGTTCTGCACCAGGGCGTTGGCCACTCTCGTCAGGTGGCCCATGTAGCCTTTCCGAGGACCCCCTGCAGACCTGGCAAGAATGAAGGCCAGGATGGAAGCCAGGACTGGACACCAGGGATGCCAAGCCCCCAACCCAGGCAGCCCCAGCTTCTGGAGACACGAAGGGCAGCAGGTGCTCACTGTACACGATCGTTCTCCTCCCAGGAGGTCAGGATCCGCTCCACCAGGCGGCACTGCTGCAGCAGCTGTGGGAGAGCAGGAGAGAATGGCCTCGGGGGTCAGTACACATGTGAGCAGCTCTGCACTGCAGCAGGGGGCCCTTCCTCAGACCCCAGCTCATCCAAGGACAGGGGTGGGAAAGAGGGATGGAAGCTGGGGCTTGGGACCCCGCCATCCACCCAAGTCTCTCTGGTCTTTCTACAAAGAACATGTGGTGCATACACATACACTCATGCGTGCACACACACGGACACACGTATACATGTTCACACACACTCAAGCATACACACTCACAGACACGCATACATGCTCACATACACATGCCCACACACTCAGCTGCTCGCAGGCCTGCCCCTACCCACCCCTCACTCTCCCGCTCAAGTTGTGGGTCCACTGCTTCCCTGCCCCTGCATGTTTCATCCCATTTCTCCCTGGCCATGCCTCCCACACCCCGTCTGGGTGCTGGCACCTGACACTACCCAACAACACTTGTAGGAGGAAGGAGTGAGGGGTAGGCCTCTGGGGAGGGTGTGCCCATGGGGGACAGGCCCAGGAGGAGGGAATCAAGCAGCCCCAGCTCACATGTTTCACAACGGGGTTTTGGCTGGGCATCTCGGGGCTGCTGTCAGGAGGTGGCCCCAAGCTCAGCAGGGTGCTCACGCATCCCTCCACTTGGGCATGCAGGAAGTTGTTGAAGACATAGTGGAAGAAGAGGTCCTATGGGAGGACACAGGTTGGTACCAGAAAGGACCTGCCCCCAGCACCCAAGCTCCCATTCCCCAAACCCCAGCCCCTGAGTCCCTAGCCCAGTCCAGTCCAGTCCCCGCACCAGCATGGTGTTGGGCACATCCAGTGCCAGGAGCTCCTGCGTCAGGGCCGTGTCATTGGCGCTCAGGGCACTAGCCAGGAGCTTGACCACGTGCAGCCGCGTGTTGCCCAGAGGCGGAGAAAGGGTGCCCCATGTCATCTGTAGCGGTTCCAGCTGCAGGTACAGGGAGGCCTGGTTCCCAAGGGCTGCCCTTCCTGCTTCCCTCGGCTCCCTGAGGACAACCCCCACCTCTGACCTTAGGAGGCTCCAGTAGGAGCTGGTGGAAGCAGCTGAGCCGTGGGCGCAGGGCATGCAGGGCACCCACACTGGACACAGCGCTTTCCAGGGCCCCCTGGGCCAGGAGCTCCAGCTGCCCATCCACACTGCTGAAGAAGTTGTTCATGGTCATGGACTCGGACCTGCAGCAGGGCGAGATTGAAGGCAGAGTGAGCCTAGGTGGCCCGCATGCCCACAGAAGAGCAAGCACCAGGACCGAGTCTGCATCTGAAGGAAAATGAGGGGCCACGTTCCCCCTGCACTACTCTCTTTTGAGGCCCTTCAGACAAGGCCTGGGGTGGGGTGAGGAGCTGGTCAGGCCACAGCACTGGCAGTCCACCATGGGGCACAGGCACAGATGCGGGGTGGGGGTGGGAAGGTACAGCCCAATAAGGTAGTGGCCTGTGTGATAAGGGTGGGGCAGGGTGGCCTGGGGTACCTCCCAGCACAAGCTGCAGCAGTGGCCTCAGCTTCAGCACCCTTGCTGTCACACCAGACAGGAAGACTCCTCTCTTGGCACCCTGCTGTCCACTGTGCAGGAAGCACAAGCAGCCACCACAGAGTGATGCGCCATGGGTGGGGGTTTCACTCGGTGACACTGAGACCCACCCCTTAGGGGCCAGAGAGCCCCTGCAGAAGGGCATCATGCACGGTCTGTGGCCCACACCCCTCACCTGGGCCTCTTGGGCTCAAGCAGGGTCAGCAGCACCTGGATCCCGCTGACGATGACGGACTGGCTCTGCTCCCCCTCAAACATATTGCTTAAGAGCTGCTCGATAGTCTCTTGCCTGTGGAGGCAGGGGTGGGGGTGATGGTAGGGGTCAGGGTGAGAGTCCAGGGGTCCAGGGCCTCTCTAAGTCAGCTCCCCCCAGCCTTAGCCTCGCCCGCACACCCACTTCTCCAGGGTGGCCAGCAGCTGGTCAGGCTCTGGGCTGTCCTGGACTTGGATCATCTGCTCCCGGCTCAGGCGGATGATGTCGCACAGGGACTGGGATGCGTTGGAATGTTGCTGGGAACAGGGAGAGACAAGTGAGCATCCTGGTCGGGCACTGGGCCCACTGCAGCCTGATGCCAGGAGCCCCTCCACGAGCTGACCATCCAGCCCCAGCCCGGACAGGGAAAATCGGTCACCCAGACACAGGGACAGGTATCACAAAGGCAGGGGCACGGAGGCACCAACTGCTAGAGGGAAGATAGCAGAGAGAATGGGAACCCAGGAAGGCTTCCCAGAACAAAAGACATCCACACAAGCCCGCCACACCTATATACGGGGCCAGCAGCACCACCCACAATGACCCAGATGACTGCAACTGGGGAGCGAATATGCCCAACCTAGTCTGTCCACACAGGGGGGTGTCACTCAGCTAGGACAAGGAGTGAAGCTGATACACGCAACCACACTAACAGGCCGCAAAAACATCATGCTGGAGAAAGAAACCAGACACAGATTACATAGTGTACGACCCCATTTATATAAAATGTCCAAAGACAAATTCAGAGAGCGAGTAGTCTGGTGGCTGCCAGAGGCTGAGAGGAGAAAGAGGAAAACTGGGAGGGGCTACTAATAAACACAGGATATCTTTTTTTCTTTTTTCTGGAGAAAGGGTCTCAGCTGGGTGCAATGGCAGATACCTATAATCCCAGCACTTTGGAAGGCCAAGGTGGGAGGATAACTTGAGCCCAGGAGTTTGAGATCAGCCTGGGCAACATGGCAAAACTCCATCTCTACAAATACAGAAAAAATTAGCTAAGAGTGGGTGTGCGTTTCTGTAGTCCCAGCTACTCAGGAGGTGGAGGGGAGGATAACTTGACCCCAGGGGGTTGAGGCCGCAGTGAGCCAAGATTGGGCCACCGCCCTCCAGCCTGGGCAACAGAGCAAGACTCTGCCTCAAAAAAAAGAAAAAGATACAGCGTCTCTACATCACCCCAGGCTGGAGTGCAGTGGTGCAATCATAGCTTACTGCAGCCTTGAACTCCTGGATCCGAGATCCTCCAGCCTCAGCCTGAGTAGCTGAGTAGCTAGGACTACAGGCATGCACCACCAATGCCAGCTAATTTTTAAGTTTTTTTTATAGAAACAACGTCTTGCCATGTTGCCCAGGCTAGTCTCAAACTCCTGGGCTCAAGTGACCCTCCAGCCTCAGCCAAAGTGTTGGGGTTACAGGCAGGACTTGTTTTTGGAGTGATGAAAAATAATCTAAATCTGACATGATGATAGTTAAGCAACGCTGTGAATACACTCAAAGCACTGAATTGTAAGCGTCAGTGCGTGAGTCTTATGCTGTGTAATTTCTATCTCAGTAAAGATGCTACAAAAGAGAAAAAAGAGAGAAGCACAAGCAGAGCTGAGTCTAACCCAACCAGCAGCTGCCAGAGCTTGGCTGTGTGGCCCCTGGACCATGCCTTAGGGCCCTCACGGGGACAGGCCCCAGCTTGGGTAAGCCCAGAGATATGTCTCTGCTCTGCAAGCCTGTGTACTCTCAGAAGCGGAACCTGGCACTAGGACCTGTTACTCTCAGTGGCCTCGAGGATCTGAGGCTCTTGACAAACACCCACTCTACACTTGGCCCTGTGCTGGGCACCAGGGCAGAGATGCAGACCTAAGCTGGAAAAATACGCAGACATGGGGCCCCCCAGAGCTAAATGGGAGGAAGAGAGGGACCTTGAAAGCAAGACTGCTAGATGGACTGTTGGAAGGAGAGAGTTTCAATTAGGTGGGAGACAGGAAAAAGCTGCCAGGCCCAGCAGCCAGCACAGGCCAGGGTGGGAAGGGAAGCATGTGGGGCTGGGGCCGGGGCCTGAGACAGTCAATGAGGAGGACCCTCCCTGCAAACCATTATGTGCCAAGTTCCTGGGTCATGAATAAAATCTTTCCAGCACTTTCAGAGGCTGAGGTGGGAGAATCACTTGAGCCAAGTGTCTTTCCTTTTCTCAAAGGGCATGGATATACCTGGTTCTCAATGCTCTCTTTTCTCACCCCTTCATTTTTTTTTTTTTGAGACCGGGTCTCACTCTGTCACCCAGGCTGGAGTGCAGTGGTGTGATCATGACTCACTGTAGCCTTGACCTCCCGGCTCAAGCAATCCTCCTACCTGAGCTTCCCAAGTGGCTGGGACTACAGGTGTGCACCACCACACTCAGCTAATTTTTTTGTAGAGACAGGATGTTACTATGTTGCCCAAGCTGGTCTCAAACTCATGGGCTCAAGCAATCCTCCCACTATGGCCTTCCAAAGTGCTGGAATTACAGGAGTGAGCCACTGCATCCAGCCCCAATTCCTTTTTCAAAAGCAGGAAGATGCCAAGGGGAACAGACTCTAAGGGGAAGCTGCAGGGGCACCGCAGCACTCACATTCTCATCCTTTGATGGGTGAATCTGCTCAATCAGCCGCTGGACGATCTTCTCCTCGTTGAGCCACTGAGGGAGAGAAGGCAGGGGCTGCATCACCGTCCATGGGCCCAGCCCTCCATCCCCAGAGGAGCTGGCCCTGCTCACATTGACAACGTCCTGCCTCAGCTGGGGCCGCTCCACACAGGTGAGCAGGCGCAACAGGAGGTCCATGATGGCCGAGGTGCCAATGTGCTGCAGCAGCAGATCTACGAAGTCGTCCTTCTTCCGAAGAAAGGACACGAGCTGGGGGCACACGGGCTGCGTCACGCATGTGACCTGGCCCAGCTACCAACCCCACCCCATGGTGGTACCCGGGTGGCAGCCAGGGCACCTGGTCTGTCTTGCGGTTGATGAGGATGCCCATGACCTTGCTGAAGAAGCTGGCCAGCAGCGGGTTGAGGTTGCCGCTACTCTGCAGGAAACCGTAGAGGCTGTTCAGGAGGGACTCATCAGCACCCAGGGCATCATTGATCTGGGGCACGTCTGAGGTCAGAATCTCACAGGCCACACTGGGGTACCTGGGAGGCAAGCACAGGCGGGTGGTGGCTTAGGTCGGGGACCAAGGCTCCACCCTCTTCTCTACACGAGGCATTGGGTTCCTGGAGCCACAGAGACCCCAGTCCGGGAATGAGAAAGGGCATGATGGGGCAGAGGACAGGATCAACGCAGAAACCAAGAGCCCACAGCTGGCCTCCTCCCACTGCTAACACCTGGCCGCCCCATCCTGGGCTCCTTACCACCCCAAGAAAAGCCTGGTCCTGAAGCTCTGGAGCTTCCTGATCCCCCAACCGCAATGCTTATCCCTTCTGCCTCTCAGCGGCTTCACTTGCAAACCTGTATACTGCCCCAGCTCCGGCTGACTCCTGGGACCTTGTTGAACTTCCAACCTCACCTCCTGCCACCCTTCTCCAAACTCTCACCCAGTACCTGATAGCTCCAGGACAAGAGCTGCCCCACCAGCATGCCACTCAAGGCCATGCTCCAGGCCCGACCTGTCAACTGTGGGGAGGTACCCCTTGGGAGGCCGAGGCAGAGAGATCACTTGAGGTCAGGAGTTTGAGACCAGCCTGGCCAACAGGGCAAAACCCCACCTCTACTAAAATACAGAAATTAGCTGGGCATGGTGGCAAGCACCTGTAATCTCAGCTACTTGGAGGCTGAAGCAGGAGAATGGCTTGAACCTGGGAGGCAAAGGCTGCAGTAAACCAAGATTGTGCCACTGCACTCCAGCCTAGGCAACAAGAGCAAGACTCTGTCTCAAAAAAATATAACAGCCCAGGCGCAGTGGCTCACACCTATACTCCCACCACTTTGGGAGGCTGAGGCGGGCAGATCACAGGGTTAAGAGATCGAGACCATCCTGGCCAACATGGTGAAACACCATCCCTACTAAAAATATAAAAATTAGCTGGGCATGGTGGGGCGTGCCTGTAGTCCCAGCTGTCAGCAGGCTGAGGCAGGAGAATTGCTTGAACCCAGGAGGTGGAGGTTGCAGTGAGCCAAGATCATGCCACTGTTCTCCAGCCTGGTGACAAAGCGAGACTCTGTCTCAAAGTACAAAACAAAACAAGCAAAAAAATACAGTCTTTTGAGTCTCACTTGGATTAAAAGTAATTTTAGCCAGACGTGGTGCCTCATGCCTGTAACCCTAGCATTTTGGGAGGCCGAGGCAGACAGATCACCTGAGGTTGGGAGTTCCAGACCAGCCTGACCAACATGGAGAAACCCAATCTCTACTAAAAATACAAAATTAGCCAGGTGTGGTGTCACATGCCCGTAATGCCAGCTACTCAGGAGGCTGAGGCAGGAGGATCACTTGAATCCGGAAGGCAGAGGTTGCAGGGAGCCAAGATCCCACCATTGCACTCCAGCCTGGGCAACAAGAACGAAACTCTGTCTCAAGAAAAATAGAAGTAATTTTAAAGTGTCTTCAATAGCAGACAAGCGCTTCACACCCCCCAAAAAATATTTTTTTTGTTTTTTGTTTTTGAAACAGTGTCTCACTCTGTCTCCAGGCTGGAGTGCAGTGGTGCAATCTTGGCTCATTGCAACCCCCGCCTCCCGGGTTCAACCAATCCTCCTGTCTCAGCCTCCCGAGTAGCTGAAACTACAGGAGCGTGCCACCACATCCAGCTAATTATTGTATTTTTTAGTAGAAATGGGTTTTCACCACGTTGGCCAAGATGGTCTTGATCTCTTGACCTCATGATCTGCCCATCTTAGCCCCACAAAGTGCTGGGATTACAGACATGAGCCACGTCACTCAGCCAAAAAAATGTTAATAAGAAATTAGAAAAAAAAAAAGCATCGAATAAAGAGAAAAAACAGCTGGGCATGTTGTCAAACGAATGTGGTCCCAGCTACTACGGAGACTGAGGCAGGGGGATCATTGGGACCCAGGCGTTTGTTCCTTCCGTGACCCGTGACTATGCCACTGCCCTTCAGAGCCCAGTATTGGTCTACACCAGGTGAGGTATGTGGCCTTGCGCAGGGGCCTGGCTGCACCCTGCCTCGATTTCCTCAAACCCAAACTGGAGTTTACTGATACTGACGCATTTCAGGGCAGCTGTGAGGCTTATGTAGTGAAGGTGTGTGATGCTGACACGGCACCGGCTGGCCCAGGAGCTGCGCCCTGCCTCGATTTCCTCAAACCCAAAGGAGCTGGGGAACTCACTTGTAGCGTAGCCGCTCCTCGCCGCTAGCTGGCGGCTCCTGGGTGACCCAGGCCACCATGGCCTGCAGGTGGGGCGGCTGCAGCAGGAAGTCCAGCAGCTTGCGGTTGACGACCTTGCACTCCTGCAGCACGTCTTCCTCGTCCAGCAGCTCGGGCAGGCTCAGGTCCTCCCGCTCCAGCAGCGTGTCCAGGTGCGAGCTTGTGTGCAGGTCAAACTTCCAAAACATGGCGCCCTGGAGGCATGGACACAACCAGCGCCGGGTCAGATGTCCCAGGGGTGTCCCTGGGGAGACTGATGAGGCACTGACCACAGGGGCTGAATGCCCACCTTGAGCACAGCCTCTCTCCAAGTCCCAGCCCTCTCCCTCACACTGAGCCTGGCCCCACCTGAGCTGCCCGTAGGCTCAGCGTCCACCACTCATGCTCAAGACTCTCGCCAAGCACCAGGGCCCTGCAGGTGCCCTCTAGCCCGCCCCTCTTCCCCCATCTAAGCCTCCAGGTCACCTCGCCTGAGGTCCAGGGGGTCACTTCACACCCAAGGCCTAAGGCCTTAAGTCCTTAGGTGTGGACCGTGTGCAGGGCCTGTGAGGAGGGGCTGGACACTGTGCACTGAGGGGCCTCGGGCCCTGTCCCCCCATGAGGGTCTGCAACCACTATCCCTACTTTTGGGCGGGGCACTACAGGGTGGGGCCTGATACTCTGGTTTTGAATTTGCTTCAGCCTATATTTGTTGAGCAAACTCAAATGTCCAATGATTTCCAGCCCACAGCTGCTGCTTGGCCCAGCAAATCACCCAAGGCTGCGTGGGAGGCATGGGGTTGTGTCAGGGGAAGAGAGGAAGTCTGTGCGTCTCCAGGCTGTGGCTGTTGCCTGGACACCACTCACACACAAACACACCCCAACCATCCTCTCACCCAGCACCTGGGCTGGGACAAGGAAGAGGAAAAGCTGGAAGGGAGGGGCTCCCAGAATAGTCACTGACCAGGGCCCGAAGGAACCCAGGATGGGACAGACAGGCTCTGCGGAGGAACAAAGTGAGCTGGCAACACCCAGCCCCGACCCTGCCCCTATTTGGAGCTGGCTCCCGCCCTCAGGACAGTGCCTCGTTCCTCAGCCTGGTTCCAGCCCCCAAACACTCCTGCGCAGATAACTCACTGACAGTAAGGAAACACACAGAGAGCATTAACCAGATGTCAGGTAACACCATCCTGAGCCCCTGCCCCGCACTACAGCATGCTCCGAAGAACTACGAAGCCTCCACACAGGCCTTCCACTGCAGACCCGACCTGGGACCTGTGCTCTGAGCACCTGACGATGGTCCTGGCTCTGCGCGTGTGCTGTGCACATGACGTCCAAGCTCACAAGCAGCGCTTTGCTATCATCACTCTGCCACACAGGACAAGGGGCAACCGAAGCCCATGTAAGTCAGGCAGCATCCTGCAACCTCAAAGGCCATCTGGTCCCAACAGACAACAAAGTGACCTGCGCAGGAGGTCCCAACTGAGCTCTCACCACAGTTAAGGCATTGACCAGAGCTCATACTCGTCACCTACCTCCTGACAACCGCATCACCAGCTAAGGCAGAGACCACTGCTACCCCCAAGTCACCACAGAGGATGCTGAGAACAGAGCAAAGCCGGCACAGGAGGCCAGGGTGCCTATCTCGCAGACCCTCATCACTGTTGCTCCCAGGCCAGAGGTTAGTCCCTCTCCGACAACACCTTCTGAACCTTCTTCAAGTTCAATCTCCCCTCTGCACAGGCCTCCCATCTCATTGAGCCCCTCTCACCTCAGTGCCCACCAACCCCAGGCCTGACTCAGCCCCAGTCCCCAGGGAAGAGACAGGGACACATGGAGCACCAGGCCCAGGGAAGAGACTTCACGGGCACCTAGGGGAGCAGCCTGTGCTAACAACAGTCAGGCCAGAGCCTCACACATGGCCTCAGGCAGGTCAAATGCCTCCTGGGCCTCCCTTCCTCTCCTTCCCCCATCACTTGAAGCCAGGCCAGCCTAGAGCAAGGATCTCCTTGCCCATCCACCTATGCCTGCCTCGGTGACCACCTTAAGGCTGGGCTCAGCTTGGCGGGTTGTGGTCCAGATCTCGCTCCCAGGCTGCCAGTCTGCCTTGGTAAGTCTAGACTGGCAATAATCCTGGTATGTTATTATGGGTCCCTAAACCTGGCCAATGACAGGTGAAGGTGAAGCTGAGGAAAGAGTTCTGTGACCAAAAACAGTCATGGCAGCGGGTGGGGAACTGAGGGAGGCAGCAGCAGACTCCAGGCATTTGAACCCCTGCTCCTCTCAGGGCTGCCAGGTCCCACTCCACAGCACCCAGTGACTCAGTCCCTACCCTCCACCAGCCCACTTTTCCCAATAATCCCTTTTTTCTTTTTTTTGAGATAGAGTCTCGCTCTGTCGCCCAGGTTGGAGTGCAATGGTGCGATCCAGATTCACAGCTCCGCCTCCTAGGTTCAGGCGGTTCTCCTGCCTCAGCCTCCCCAGTGGCTGTCACTACAGGCACCTGTGTTACCCACATCCGACTAATTACCCATATCCGACTAATTTTTGTATTTTAGTAGAGATGGGGTTTCACCCTGTTGGTCAGGCTGACCTCGGTGATCCGCCTGCCTAAGCCTCCCAAAGTGCTGGGATTACAGGTGTGACCCACCACACCCAGACTCCCAATAATCCTTCTAAGGCCAGCGTGGTGGCTCACACTTATAATGAAGTGTGAAACCCCGTCTCTACTAAAAATACAAAAAATTAGTTGGTCATGGTGATGTGTGCCTGTAGTCCCAGCTACTCGGGAGGCTGGGGTGGGGAATCACCTGAACCTGGGAGCGAAGGCTGCAGTGAGCCAAGATCACGCCACTGCACTCCAGCCCGGGTGACAGAGCAAGACTCCATCTTGGGGAAGGAAAAAAAAAAATCCTTCTAAAGCACAAACATGAGTACCTTTATCTGCTCAGTGATGTGCACTCCACCAAGCCTGCATCCAGGCTCTAATGTCCCTGCCCAGCCAGCTCACTGACTGACCTCCATGCCACCTCGGCAGTGCTCCTGGGACTGCCACTTCAGGTGTCTCCTGCACAGCCTGTGGCTGCCTGAGGCACAGTGCTGGACAGACATCCAGGAGGCCTATGGGTCTGAGTGGATGGGGGCACTCCAGGCAATGACACGGTGGTGTCGGCTGCTCGGCTGCGGCACCTGCGCTGTGCTGACTGCTCTTCTAAGGACCTCATAACTTCACAGCCATTACCTCTACCACCTCTCACAACCACCCTCCAGGGAATGGCCCCATTTTACAGGAGAGGAAACTGAGGCACACCAAAGTAACTGCCCATTTCCCGATCTAGGGGTTGGTGGGCAGCAAAGCAGGCACTCTCAGTCTTCAGAAGTTGAATTCTCGGTGTTTGTCCTTGTCCCCAGCACAGGGCCTGTGTAGTGGACACTTATGGGATGAAAGAGCAAGTTCTGGCCGGGCTGGCTCCCACACTCGCTCTGCCTGAGGGACCAGCTCTGGTCAGAGTGACCCTGACTCTCACCTCAAGGAGGAGCTTGTTATTTCCAGGCCCACTCTGCACAGACCTGTCTGGATGGTAAGCTCCCAGTCCGCCTTGTCCCCAGCACCTAGTGCTTATTCAGCAGAAACCTATGGATTCAGGGTGGAGGGCTGCGGTCCTCAGGTCCCTCCTGGCCCAGCTGTGACAGCACAGCCCACTCCCGGCCCGTCACGACCAGAAATTAGTGACTTCTCAGACCTCCCTTCCCGACCCAGGCACTGCTGAGCTCACCAAACATAACTAGAACCCACCCGTTCTGCCTGCATGACGACCACCCAACTACAGCCCCCCCGACACTCCCTGTGCCTCACCCCTCCCCACAGCCATGCAGAACCAGCTGAAGGGAAAATGAGACCCATTCACTCACTGGGTCAGCACCTGGGACCCTCAATGGCCTCCCTCCCGCTCCCTACTCACCCCAGCCACGCTGGATTTCTGTCTGTTTCCAGAACACACCAAGCTTGGATACACCTCGGCGACTCTGTCCTAATAACTCACTTCTTCTCATCCTCGGATCTCTTGCCAAGCGTTCACCTCTCAGAAGGGCCTTCCCTGGCCTGCCTGGCTCAAGCAGCCCCCAGCCCCACCTCTGTCCGCCACTGTCTCCCTGAGCTGGGCACTCTGACCTGCCACCTGGAAGCATCTCTGGGACACAGCAATGAAGTGCTGGAGGTACACACTCGTGGTCCTACAACGCTTCCTCTAGAACCTTCCCCCAGGTTACCATGAGCACCTGAGGGCGGCAGCTAGCATGGAACCTGGCCCTGGCAATAAACGCTCACGAATATTAGCTGCAAAGCAAACCTCATTTCACAAGGCCCCAGCTCCTCCCAGGCAGGAGGCTGCTGTACCTGTCAGGGCATGGGCAAAGTGAAATCACTCCCACCTCAGCCCCTCCCAGCCACTCCTCTGGGCTCCCTAAATCAGGAGGTGGGGGAAAGTGCAGTATCACCTAGGACAGGCTCAGGAGGTCCGGGCTGGCCCTGGGGGCTGACCCAGGCAGGCAGTGGATGTGTGTTTTCCCAAATGTCGAGTGATGACGGCACCACCACTACATGAGGAAACAGAACTGTGTCCCCTCCTTGTTCCAGGAACCTCCGTGTGCACTCCCCATCTCTCCACTTCTGCCCAGATGCTAGACCTCTCAGAGGGACTGTCCCCTACTTCCCATTCTGCTCGACAAGGACCACCAAGTGCCCATGTCACACAAGAGAAAACTCAGGCTCAGCAAAGGTGACTCACCAGCATGCTGACAGCAGGGGGAGGGGGCATGGATTTCCTGATCTGGGTGTACCTGGGACCAGAATAATCTCTAGGGGTAACCGCCAAATCAATCATGACTCTGCCAATTTCCGGCCTAAGGCTGTAGCGAGCAAAACACTGAGACACGTGGCAAGCACAGACACACAGCCTCTTTCTCCATGAGAGACCAGGCAGGCCGATAGGCTGCCTGTGCCATGCCAGCAAAGCCAGTCCCAAGGAGCCGCATGCTGTAGGCTTTCAGCTATGTGACGTAACCAGAACAGGCAAATTCACAGAGACAGAAGGAGGCCACAGGCTTCCAGAAGCTGCGGGGGATTGGGGGGTTCCCAAAGGAAAGGGTGATTTTAGAAAAGGTTCCAAAATCACTTGTGGTGATGTTTCCACAATGTTGTCATTATACTAAGAAC